CATGCAATATCACGTGGATCGATTACTTTCTGCCGATAGTTCTTTTATTCGTTCAACAAAAGTTTGAATTATATTAGACTTATTTATAGGGGGCTTCTAATTCTTGCTTTGAATGTCGCCAATTTTTAATCATTCTTAAATTTTGGCGGAGTATTCCGTTAAAATTGGTGAAATTTAAAAAAAATGTGCTTACGATCTAGATAATATGGAACACCTTATACAGACAACCTGGATATTTTGGGACACCCTGTACACTATGCAGACAACCTACATATTTTGGAACACCCTGTACACTGTGCAGACAACCTACATATTTTGGGACACCCTGTACACTGTGCAGACAACATACATATTTTGGGACACCCTGTACACTGTGTAGACAACCTACATATTTTGGGACACACTGTACACTGTGCAGACAACCTACATATTTTTGGACACACTGTACACTGTGCAGACAACATACATATTTTGGGTCACCCTGTACACTGTGCAGACAACCCACATATTTTGAGACACCCTGTACACTGTGCAGACAACCTACATATTTTAAAACATGCTGTATACTGTGCAGACAACCTACATATTTTAGGACATTCTGTACACTGTACAGACAACCTACATATTTTGGAACACCCTGTACACTGTGCAGACAACCCACATATTTTGGGTCACCCTGTACACTGTGCAGACAACATACATATTTTGGGACACACTGTACACTGTGCATACAACCTACATATTTTTGGACATTCAGTTGGTGAGTTTAGTGTTTGATAAATCTGCCAAGGTATCTGCAGCAAGATTAAGCTATGAGAGTATGTCTCTGCAGATGTTCAGGAGTTAAGCACCATTTATTTATTTATTTAAAGCAAACTGCTGGGTGTATTCTGGACCCCAGACAAGTCACATCCATAGAGTAGAGAATTTTATAAAGAGCGAAATATAGTCAAGGGGTGCTGAACTTTACGATCTGTACAATTGTTTAGTAATAAATGTCAGAAGGAGATTATGAGCCCGAAATTTAAAAGAGTATCGTTGAACGAAACTCACGAGTTTCCTTTTTGGGTCTTAACGTTTGTTTAGATTTTGATTTAAGAGATTTAAAAAAAATGCAGTATATGAAGAAATAAAATAAAATAATATTTCATCACAAAAATATTAATATCCACAAAACTGCCTAACCCCATCCGTAAAACCTGGGTTCCAAAACTGGTTTTCATAACAATAGTTTCGGGCTCTGGCCTAACCTTGCAGTTGCAGTATAATACTCAAATTTGCAGTACGCTCTCGGTTGAAACCAGTTCTCTCTGGGCGGAATTTGTAAACAAGAATAGATGCATCAGTGTCATAGAGAAAAGAATATATATTTTAGGGGAATTTAGAGAATCTCTCGGTATGAATTTTTTCAGTCCCTTTCAGCCTGAAAGGGAGTTCAACGTGTACAAATCATGTAAATGTTCAACAATTATATGCAGTAGAGTACATCAATACAGTATGTTCCCTGGACTATTCATTTCAATTTCGAATTTTTTAAACTGTTAAATAAACTGTATAATGAATTAGGTGAATAAAAAACATCATTTGTTTTATATATGAAGCTAGCCTATTTCATAATTTGGTTTTCTTTTAACATAAATTTTAGATTTTCCATAAAATGATATTCCAAGGCCCAAAAGGTTATATAGCATAAATATGTGAAGTACACCTGTTGTATGGAAACAGTACAACAAAATGGCCGTTTTACACTTTTTTCTAGTAAATTCCCCTCTAATATATATTCTATTCTCTTTGATCAGTGTTCGACTAGTATCCGAGGAGGCTAAAAGCATTGAATTTTGATAATTTTGATAATTCACATAATAGTGACCAGAATATTTCATTAATTATTTATGTTAAAGATGGATCCCATGTCAGGCTTCGACATCCGACCTGTGTTTACATTACCGCCCAGTGACAGTACACTGCAGTACAAAAGATGCGTACACCTCTGAAATAACTTTCCTTGCATTATAACCTTGCATACGTTAATTTAGGATTAGCGCCAACGAGGTTATAGTGCACATATTATCACTTATAAATCAAGAGTGTTTATTAATAATTAATAATTTAAACGTATTTGATAAATCTGCCAAGGTCTCTGAAGCAAGATTAAGCTATGAGAGTATAACACTCTCATGGAACAACCCACTATCTGCAGATGTTTAGAAGTTAACAACTTAATCATAGAGTAGAGAATATTATACAGAATGAAATTTTGTCGAAATAAGTTTAAAACCGCCATTTTGTTTACCGGTACTGTACTAGCGTAATTTAGTCATTTTTGCTCTTAAAGGTTTTGGCCCTGACAAGATAAACAATTAAACTCGTATTTAATTTACAAAAGACGATTTTCAGGCTTCACTGCTTGATTAAAACCTAATTTTAATTCATATAAAACACGGTTTAACGTCAATTGTATAACTTTATAAAAAGAAGAATTTTTAATGGAATTTTCACACTGTATTATTGTGATGTATAACCACATAGAACTTTCTCTTCCATGTTTTAATAATTTATTTTTCGACTAATTATAAAATTATTTTGTTTTATAAGCAAGTAAGGTCCTTTCTACTGCCTATCTAGCATCCAGCCAATAAGGGCTGTTACTTTTTTGATAATTGGTAAGGAGAAAATGAGAATATGAGGAATGAGGGTATAAGGGAAGGGAAAATGAGGATATGTGGAATGAGGGGTTGAGGGGAGGGAAAATGAGGATATGAGGAATGATGTATGAGGGGAGGGAAAATGAGGATATGAGGAATGATGTATGAGGGGACGGAAAATGAGGATATGAGGAATGATGGTATGAGGAGAGGGAAAATGAGGATATGAGGAATGAGGGTATAAGGGGAGGGAAAATGAGGATATGAGTATGGGAATGAGGGGAGGGAAAATGAGGATATGAGGATAGGGAATGAGGGGAGGGAAAATGAGGATATGAGGATTGGGAATGAGGGGAGGGAAAATGAGGATAGGGAATGAGGGGAGGGAAAATGAGGATATGAGGATAGGGAATGAGGGGAAAGAAAATGAGGATAGGGAATGAGGGGAAAGAAAATGAGGATATGAGGATAGGGAATGAGGGGAGGGTAGAGGAAAAAAAGGAATGACGTACTACTTCTATGTTGTCTTTCATCATCACAAAATTTAAAATCAAATTTTTAAAAATTAAAATTGGCCAAATGATTAAGATTTCCAAAGATGTTTGGCCTTTTTTATTCCAATTTTGGCATTTATATAATTAATTAAATAAATTTCAAAACTGGAGAAAAAAAAACCAAACGACAATCTTAAACTTTTATGTTTAAATGGTTGTTGGCACTGTCTGTAATATTTTGAAAGCTAGGAGCCTAGGACCTAAAATACATAAATACATAAATCTACATATTAGCACTTTTACCTTTTCAGATATCTATATCTTAATTGTCTCTCCTGTGCTGTACCATATTGCATGACAAAAACACTTAAAAGTAAAAGAAAGTCAACCTGGTCCAACCATGTCAATTCATTCGTCAGACTTATTTAGAATTATATAGTTAGATAGATAGTTACAAAGTTATAATGCAAGAAAAGTTTTTTCAGAGGTATATGCATCTTTTGTATTGCAGTGTACTGTCTCTGGGTGGTAATGTAAACATAAGACGGATGTGGAAGCCTGCCATGGGATCCATCTTTCACATAAAAAATCAATGAAATATTTAAGTCATAGGAAACTATTATGTGAATTATCAAAGTTATCAAAATTTAATGCTTTTAACCTCCTATTAATAATTAACAATGATGCAACTATTCTTGTTTACAAATTCCGCCCAGAGAGAACTGGTTTCAATATGTACGCAGAGTATACGCAACTGCAATTAACTTTCCTTGCATTATAACCTTGGATAGATATATACTTCTAATTAAAGTACACAAGTTTACATAGTTTTTAAACAAACACTTTTAATGACGGAATTTGCCAAGCCGACATTGCAAATGGATTCAGCCTTCTTATAAAACGTCCAAACGCTTTTAGTTTTTATTTTACAACTGGTTACTGCTTTGCTGTAGCCCTTTACAACATTGTACCACTATAAAGCACTTGTGTTGTACAGCTTTGGTTTTAAGAAGTAATTGGAAAAATTTCCTCGATTTTTGCTTGAGAGCTTGCAACCTTTAAATCCCAGTGATTGGCCGTCTTTAATGGCAAACCTGCAGATGTTATTGTATGACATAGTTTTCGATAGGACTAGACAGGATGTTCCTGTCTTTTGGAAGAACATGAAATTAATTATAAAATAATAATTATTATTATAATTATTATTAATTTTAAAATAATAAGTTATAGTTTCCTCTCAGGTGAAACTTTTGGATAGCGCTCAGCCAAACCGACAGAACTCAATACGCAAACACAAACTTTTGAATTAAAGGATTTAAGCTAAACTCTGTGCAAAAGATCAACTTAAGAGAATAAAAAAATGAATTAAAAAAAGAGGTGGTTGTATTTGATGACTTAATCCGAGTGCGTTACAGCCAGAATTTAAACTTATAAGGTTGACCTCAGGTCACACGTCCCACTTGAATATCCGAGCTGGGCCAACCTTTGCAGTCCTACTCTGGACTGTACCGCCAATTCACAATTACTAAAGCGGTAGAGGAGTATGGCCCTTCATTCCAAATCAATATTCATTTTTTACAATACGCTACTCAATGCACACATGTTTACCGTCTTAAAGTATTCCTTTAGATACGCTCAGTTTAAACAACGACGGGTTTAAATAAATACTTTATTGACTAACTTATTTTTACTTTATCAATTTAAGAAATCAAAAATATGTCTATTCATGGTGACGTGGCAGATCTGAGTTCTTCTTGCCGCGTCTCTCTATCCGGTTTAAACTTGGATCGTCTTCCGCCACATTCCCATTATAATTATTAAAAAAAAAATCATGTTTCATGAAGATTTTTGTTTCAGATTTAAATTAGATGGCACACAAGTGTAAAGAATTTATTAAAAAGACTGAATGACAGAAGAGCAGACATGAGACTACAAAGAGGATAAAAGAGCACTGAGTATCCAATGGAAGAACAAAGCGTATCAATGGGTTGGATTCTGATTCTTCTATTTCTTCTCATCTCGTCTCGGAGCTGTGAAGAATCCTCCGCCAAAACCTGCTGCCAGGCAAAATATGGATCAAACTTTTTTAATTATTACTATTTTTTATTATTTTTTTAATTCTTATTTAACAATTTTGAACTTAAAGTGACCATTTTTAATCATTCGATTTCTTTATTTTAAAAATGAAAAATGTTGACATTTTTTTTCGAGCAAAGTTAAACTTTTCACTTTAGAAAAGCATAGGTCTTTTAATTACTTAGATACAGTTTAAAAAATTAAGTCCCTATGGGCATTAAGTATCTTTGTGATACGGGTGTCCCACGAAACATGAAAGTTGGTAAATAGTTTTGAATGTCGTCTTCCATACACTGTATTAAATAGTAAAGGCTGTTTGCAGTTTATTTCGTCTTAAAAATATTTTGCTCAAATATATTTTACGATAACATGACTCCTGTTTAACCCTATCCCCGCTGGGGTACTTGAAAACCAGGATACGCTGGGGGGGGGGGGTCAATTTGACCCCCCCCTCTAAATCCCATGTTTAATGCCCAAATATGACAAATGATACATCATTAGAAAGCTCTTGTGCTCTACTTTTAGAATCTGCAAAAAATTTTGCAAATTTGCGAAAATTGAGTTTTTTATCGCAAAATCCAGTTTTATAGTAAAAATGTTTGCAAAAAAAAATTTGTCCAAAAAATGACAAATTATACATTTTTGAAAAGCCCTTGACCATGCCATTTCAAATATGCAAAAAATTTTGCAAAATATAAATAACCTGATTTTTAATCAAGAAAAACTAAAAATGTGCAAATTTCCTTTGACAGGTTTTTTGCAAAAAATTTGCAATTTTTTTTTCGCAAAACTTGTGCAATCCGTTTCCTTATGTCATAGGCTTTCCAAAAAGCTAAATTTTATCAAAATCTGACAAGTGAAAGTAGGTCAAAAAAAAGCAGTCATTCAGGCAGTGTGCCTGAGGACTCAGGTAGTTAGTATTAAAGCCTGGTTTTAGGCCTAAAGGGAGGGCTTTGGGTATGTAAGAAAAGTCAGAAAATTTCAACAACCTCAGACCAATACTTTTTGAGTTATGTAAAAAAAACTACAGGGGGGGTCAAATTGACCCCCCCCCAGCGGGAATAGGGTTAATATTTATATTATTGTCTTCGGTATTAAACAATTAAACAAATTATGGAAGAAACCAGTCTAAACTATTTACTAACTGTCATGTTTCGTGGGACACCCTGTTTATTAAATTAGGGAACGGCACATGTTTTTTAATTAACGGGAGAATCTGTTGAGAAACGGTAAAACCCGGTAATCTTGAACTCGTTAACGAACGAAAATAACCCTTGATGAAAAAAGAAAATATAATTGTAGAGCATCATTGATGAGATTGAGATCGTAACAAACGAAAACGTTAAAAAAGAAAGGAAAGTATCGTTAATCAACGCAACATTAATGTCTATGCTAAGAGTTAAAAAATATATAAAAAGATAGTCCAGAGGCCTAAGTATAGTATTGAAACCATCCATAACCTTCTCCTAGATGTCTGATTCCACTAGTCCGATATGCACTTCAAACTCAACCTGTGTTATTAAGGTAAATAAATAGTGAATAATTGGATAAAATGAACTTTTTTCATAAACTTTTATTTATAATTTTTAAATTATGAATTAAAAGAAATTTTTTTTTCCTACAGTGAGAACAAGAAACTCTGGAATAGAAAGACGACTTTTAGACTTAAATTTGTCTTTAAAATCCTCCAATGAATTGTGCAGTATAAACAGACCCACTTCAGTTAAAAAAAGGTTTAATAAGTGACAAGTGAATTAATTATTTGTAACAACATTAAATGCACTTGATCATTTCACGTCGTCTTCCCCGTCCACAGTTTTGTGATTCTCCCTGTAGTGTCTATTCATTCAAGAATTACTGAATATTGTGGGCATAAGTGGATAGTTATAATTATGCATAAGTGGATAGTTATAATTATACACTAGAAATTGCGAAAAATACAAAAAAAAATGTTTAAATGTTTAAATGTTTCAGTTTTCTGATTCTAATCTACTTGCCACTAGCAAGCACTGTAGTGTCATTCAGGTAATAGATAACAATTATAACAAAATTAATAAAATAGACACGTAAAGTTTTATTTTTCTAATAAAGAGCAATTTATTTTTAAAACTCCGCTATAAAATGTGTTGGTTATGAGCTATGATACAGGGTGTCCCAATAAACATGGGAATTCAGTCTTTGTTATAAATTAGCATTGTAATACCTGATATCAAAAGCCATAATTTTATTATGTCTGCTAGAATTTATTTTTTGAAACGGGTAAAAGACTGTAAAGATGTGTCTATAATGTCTCCGCAAGATGAACAGTGTAGCTTACTCTGTGTGTATACTGCAATTTTCTTGTTTTACTTAGTACAACCGTATGCAGTCAAAACAGAAATAAACAAAATGTGAACATAGCAGACGAAACTCTTACTGATTACAACTATCACTATACTAAATCAAAGAATTATTTAAAAAGACGATATCTAATTCGTTACTGAATTCCCATGTTTATTCGGACACCCTGTATTTCATAAAAGGTAAAAATAATATCACGTGACTTTCCAGTTTAGAGTGGAATATCTGATTTACAACAATCCCTTTAAAAGCTTTGCCGGATTAAGTAGGCATGAGATATTCATCATCTTCTCTTTGTAAATTGATTATTTTTAATTGTGTACTGTTTTAAATGACCCTCTTTAAATGGAAGGTCCCTGAACATGTTTGAAGTTTTTTAGTTCTTCAGCTTAACCCAGTACTTTGGAGTCTTCGAAAAAAATTTATAAAATGTCGTCTTCCTAGGTTACAAAAGCTGCATAATTCTGCAGATGCTGCCGAATGCTATAAATACTGCCATTTTGTTTTTTAATAAAATAATTCTACGAAGCTCTTTAAAACTGATCCCGAATATTCTTTGCTATTAATTTATTTCTAAAATTGCTGAAATTTTGGTTTAATAGAATTTTTGTTAAATATAATTGAATTTAATTAAAAAATGATTTCAGGACACTAAGTTTGAAAATACCAACAGAAGTGATACTATAAAGGTGGATTGTATTCGAAGCAACTTTGATGTGAGACAGAGGTAAATCATAATTAACCTTATCACGATGGGGGGGGGGGGTGTTTTCACCCCCACCCTCCCATAAAGCTCTTTGAAAAATGGGTATAATAACTTGTCATGACATATTCATATTTGTCAAAAGTAAATTTAACTATTTTTACACATTTTCCCAACGTACTTTTGGGAAGATCCGCTTTTGCACCCATAACCATTAAATATAAAAGTATAATTTTGTTATGAGCAGTTGGGCTAGGACATGTATTACACTCCCATATATAAACTCTAAGGGCAAAGCAAAATCATAGAATGGGGGATGGGGTGGTAAACACTCCTTCCCCTCTCAATCTAAATTAGACAAAAATAGCCCAATCAGGAGGATTAAGACGACTTTTATTTCTTCCCTATTTAATTCCAATCTATCAATTTTCAGTAACTGTGCAATAGGAAGACGACATCAAAATAATCTTATGTACAGGGTGTCCCACGAAACATGACAGTAGCAAGACGACTTAAAGGTCGTCATATATTTTTTATATAATTTGCTACATTTATTTTCCAACCTAATTTTAGAAGTAAAATTCTAGAGATAATCACTAAATAGTCCTAGCTCTGGCATTTAAAAAATGTTGATCTGCCTTTTTTGTGCTTTTAATATTTTCCGAGATATGAAGAATTTTGTTCGGACTTCGACAATTTTGGTTGTATTTAACAAATTTGAAATCTAAAAAGAAAATTCTTAATATCTCTGGTAAAATTAAAAGCACAAAATAAGCAGACCCCATTTTGGAATTGCTAGGACTAGGAGGATTTTGTGGTCAATGTTTCAAGATATGCTAAAGTAGGTTGACGACTGAATGTCTGCTCAATTAAATTCAAAGATCTAAGACGACTTTCAATTAATCTTGATTCTGTCATGATTCGTGGGACTTACGTATACTTGATGTTGTTTCAAAGCAAATAGTTTTACTGGTAGCTTTTTTAATCACTAATTAAGTTAAATGGTTCTGTTTATACTGCACCATTGCCGCCGTGTCTCATGTTCAATGGAGTATGTAAAGTCTAAACTTCAGTCCAAAAGTCGTCTTTGATTACTATTTATTGTTTTCACTCTAGACGCCTAATATATGTATTTAAATTATCTATAAATTATTTCCTCGTAATGAAACTTGAATACTTCAATTTTAAAGTTTACAAAGTAGATAACGAGTGCTAAGCTCTTTATAGTGCAGATAGGAATACGATATTAAAGCAGTAATTAAGTGTATTTAATGTTGAAATTAAGCACATTTTTATTAAATCATTGATAAGTATAAATGCTCAATTGCCAATGTCTAATGTTTTTGTTCATTAGACTATTTCAAGTCAAAAGTCGTCTTCCCATTATTATTTATGTTTATCACTTTCGTTTGCGTTTTCTGACAATAAATTATTTAGATTTGAGGAGACAGACACACTTCCCTTTCATATTGAACTTTTTAACATGGAGAAAGATGGGGAATCATTTATAGGTATGTTTTTTTTTATGAAATTGAGTCTTTGCCACAAACTCTGGTTTTCTAATCCCCATTCCATTAAAAGCCAATGGCGTAAACCTGAGATATTTTAAGCATGAATACTGTTAGATTAAATAATAAGTTTAAAATTTCAAAGGTTTAAAGAATTAGAAAATATGAGATTGTGACAAAGACTCAATTCCTTTAACTAGAAACTAAATTACAACAAGTTAAAAAATTAAACCTTCCAAACCATTAAAGAATGAAATGTATACTTTTGACCTTACTTACAAGTTACAAATTGTTTCAGTGTCGTTTTAATTTCTTTTTAAAAATGAAATATTGTGTTTTTTACCGCTATTAAAATTTTTGAATTATAATTTGATTATTTAGGCTTTTAGGGCGCTACGCGCCCATCTTGTATATTTTAACTTTAAATTTATCTGTGAGCATTTTCTCTTTGTACAGTTTAAAACAAAAACAAAACAAAATTTTGCGGATTTCATAACATTTGTTGTGCATTTTCAAAATTCTACAGAAATAAAAAGCTTTTCATCACAATTTTTAAAATTTTGAACATTCATAAACCTTTTCTGTGGTTATGTGAGATCCCACACAAAATTTGGGCCCGATCGGTTCATCGCGCCGTTTTGACATTTATTGGATACAAACACCCTGACAGACTGTATATTATAGATTAATTTCCTTGTTTAGATAAATTAAGAAAATTATTATTTATTAGGATTTGATGTTCGTTTGCATTATATGGAATTTGTTCGAGCAAGATTTAGGTAAAATCTAATCAAATCATATTCTAAACAATATACAGGGTGTCCCAATAAACATGGGAATTCAGTGACGAATTCAATATCGTCATTTCAAATAATTTTTTGATTTAGTTTAGTAATACCTACTGAGAAAGCTGTAGTCCGTAAGATTTTTGTCTGCTATGTATACAATTTGTTTGTTTATGTTTTGACTGCATAAGGGTGTACTTGGTAAAACAAGAAAATTACATTATAAAAACATGAGTAAACTTGTCCGTCTTCACTGTTCATCTTGCAGAGACATTATAGACACATCTTTACAGTCTTTTACCCTTTTCATAAAATAAACTCTTATAGCAGACATAATAATATTATGGCTTACAGTCTCTTTAAATCCCAAAGTATTTAAAGGTATAAATCCAAGAATTATTCATTAAATCCCAAGGGAGTTTATCATTATATTTATCTAAATTTGACTACGAGTAGACGATATGTTCCTTCTTGGTTTTGAATAATATTTTAACATAACGGGATTTAAAGAAAATTGTATATTAAAAAAAACAGCTCTTAAAAAAGAAATACAAATTTCTTTTTGTTTTCCATGAAAAAAAAAATATTTCAAATTAATAAATTTTTTCTAGATTAATGAATCTGCATCATTGTAAAAGTCCTTTTGGTGATATATCTCCAGAATGTAATCCACGATGTGTTAAACTAACCAAGGTAACAAAAAATGGTGTTAGGTACTTTCCCAAAGGAATTTTCCAAAGGGCGACTGCCCCAGTGACAATATCCCAAGTGGGAACTTCCAAATGTGCAATTTCGTTAAGCCCTCTTAGGCGCCTAGGTAGGGATGTTAACGTTTTCATTTTTTTTAAACGATCGTTTCGTTATGATAACGACGACCAAAAATCAAAAACGAAACGATCGTTTTGAAAAGCAGTCGTTTTTAAAAAAGATATTTTTTTTTCAAAACGATCGTTTTTTTAAACTCGTCGTTTCGTTAACGATAGTTAACGACTACCCTTCGTTAAAGATCGTTATCGACAACCCTTTTTAACGATCTTTAATAACTACCCTTCGTTAACGACCGTTAACAAAGAGAGAAAATCGACCTGAAGGGCACCTGTACTTATCATTGAGTAGTTTTTAAGAAAATATCGTTTTTCAAAACGATCATTTTTATAAAACTCGTCGTTTCGTTAAAGATCGTTAACGACGAACCTTCGTTACGATCGTTAACTAAAAGAGGAAACCGACCTGAAGGGCACCTGTACTCATCATTGAGTAGTTTTTAAGAAAATATCAAGAAGTTTTAGCTCCCCCACAACTGGTTAACTTCATGTAAGACGACATTCAATAATGTTGCATGTAATTATTTTTTCAAAAAGTTCGTCGTTTCGTTAACTATCGTTAACGACAATCCTTCGTTAACGGTCTATAACGACGAACCTTCGTTAGCAATCGTTAACAGTTAATCAATTTTTTTCTCAAAACAATTGTTTTTTCAAAGCAATCATTTTTTAAAAAAAATCATATAAAAACGGTCGCAAATCGTTTAATAAAACGATCGTTTTAACAAACAATCGTTATTCGTTTTCTTAAAGTTCAAAACGAGTGGGTCGTTTTTCAAAAAAATCGGTTTTTTCCGAAAACGAAACGTTCGTGTTTGAAAACGTTTGAAAAAGAAACAAAAAACGATCGTTTGACGATCGTTTTCAAAAACGATTAACAACCCTAGCAGGCTGCAATGGGGGGGGCCGAGCGCTGCGGCTAGGATGGGCTAGGGGGCTGATCGCCACGGCTAGAACATACTGGCGAGCGCTGCAGCTAGGGCAGCCCCGGGAAGTTGCATCTTGGGAAAATACCCTTGGGAAGTTGCCACTTGGGGAAAAATACTCTGGGAAAGTACCTAACATCCAAAAAATACAGGGTATCCACCGAAACTTGACAGTAAAGAACGACTTACCCTAATGTGGTCTCACGTTTTCTTCTGATTTCGCAAAGTTAGGTTTTATTTAATCAATTGATATCTGAACGAAATATTCTTAATATATCCTGTATTATTGACAACACAAAAAAATAAATGCCGCAATTTTCTTGAAATACCACTGACGACATCTAAGTCGTCTTTTTACTGTCAATTTTCGTGGTGAGACCTCCTGCAGCTCTGCACATGTTTTAAAATTCTTATCTTAAACCCCCATTTGGAATCTAATGACTTCCTTGTATTACAAATGTACATTTTGTGTATTTTTAAAAATAAAAACATTCTTTTTTAGAATGATAAGTTGGATAATCAGGCATTTTTGTCTTACGACTGTGAAAGTGGATTTACTCAAGACCTTTCAGGACATATACAACCATCTACAGGAGATACTTACTTATTCAGGTATATCAGGACATATACAACCATCTACAGGAGATACTTACTTATTCAGGTATATCAGGATATATACAACCATCTACAGGAGATACTTACTTACTCAGGTATATCAGGATATTTACAACCATCTACAGGAGATATTTACTTACTCAGGTATATCAGGATATTTACAACCATCTACAGGAGATTTAATTTGCAGGTATATCAGGATATTTACAACCATCTACTGGAGATACTTACTTACTCAGGTATATCAGGATATTTACAACCATTCTTACCTATCCAGGTAGAGCCTACCAGGGATACCTTCAAAGAAAGATACTAAAATATGATCCAAAACTTTTAAAATATAACGATTGAAAGGTTAGATTGTGTTTACTGCCTTTAATATAGTCATTCACTGGTTTACTAAATTGCTTGGCAATGAAAAAATCTTGTTTTTAAAGGCAAGTTGTAGCTTGAATGCAAGAAAAAGAACTCAAAAATTACATACAGTCGTCTCTGAAGCCTTATCCTATATGGTTAATCCTCTATATCTAAAAGAAACTAACCTGAAAGATGGCTTAGTTAGTTAAACGACCGTTTTTTCTTTAGTATGTGTATGACAGATTCTGGTGAGGGCCAGACCTGTGGAGAATACTGGTTTCTGGTACCACCAGACACTACAGTACTAGATACATCTAGACCAGATCATCAGGTATATCCTTTATACTGGTTTCTGGTACAACCAGATACTATAAGTAATGGATACATATACTAAGACTAGATAATCAGATATACTATCCTAATACTGGTTTCTGGTACTACTTGTACTACAATGACGAGAAAATTGTGAATTAGGAAGACGACTTTTGGATTTAACGCATTATATGACACATCAACTGCATCCTCGATATTCAAATATCATGATATTTTTTAAATGATTCAAGGAAAGGTGTTTCTGTGTCCGGCGACTTGAATTTAAAAAATATCAGTTTTCTAATCTTTATGGACAAACATTTCGACTTGAAGTTTTATATATATATATATATATATATATCGGTGACTTAGAAATTGAGTCTTCTATTCCCAATATCGTTGCAACCGAAGACCCAAGCTATTTCAAACTATATTTTTTGTTAGATTAAATTATCAAAGTTTAAAATATCAAAGGCTTAAACCATCAGGTTGCCAAGATATGCTAATAAGAACATTTGAGTTTGTGGCAAAAAAAAACAATTCCTTTTTAGGTTCTGCTGTTGGTTGACAGGACGGAGTACGACCAGAACACTGAGGTAGTTGTGTACATACCTGCCAGTCATGTCATCAAACATGATGCTGATATGCTCAGTGTTCAACTTCTCCATGACAGTGCTGAACCAATGGTAACTATCTTAAAGGGACTGTCAGCAGTATTTCACGTGACCCTCCATGCAAAGATGGCATCGTCCGATTTACAACGGTACCGTCGGCAGATCAATGAATTCACTCTATCCCCGTAGTAAATTTGAATTCTAACAGGACCTGCCCAGTTTGTACCGGCCTGCCAGATAACAGCGTGTACTGACCCGATCCTATGGTACAGTACGTCGCCCTAAACAGACTGACATACGACAGGGGTAAATTTTCTTGAGTCCCGTGAGAGGGCTAACTATGACAACTCCCATGGCGCCTTCAGACTTTTTACAGTACTCGGCCTAATCCTAGGCCTATTTGACCGACCCCACTGGCTTTGTCCACCGTGATTAGATACCAATGTTTATAATTTTAAAAGCTGACTATTTTCAAGGAATTATTAGAATTAAAACTTTTCAACCTAGATAAACCATCAATATCTTCCACATTATTGATCAGATAAAAAAGGTTTCAAGGGTAGCGTTGAGAATGGGGCATTGTAATCTTTGATGAAGGGTCACTTGAAATTACGCGTACAGTGTTTGGGAAAGAAAAATTTTTCCCCAAAATATTATTGATAAAAATATCACTATCATGGATATCAGATTACCAAAGCGCTAAAGATAATATCAAATAAGCTCATTAATACTTAATTTAATTTGCATTATAAAGTTTTATTATATAAAGCCTACAATAATGATGATATTTTTAAATCTTTGTAATCATGTCAATTGTGTTTTTAGGTTGAAGATCCTTTTGTTGGAGAGGGATGTTGGCACAACAAGTAAATAATTATAAAAACAATATTTTTTTAGTTCAGTTTTGGCATGCTTTAAATTCTCCTACTTTATATCATACAGGGTGTCCCAATAAACATGGGAATTCAGTGACGAATTCGATATCGTCTTTGTTATGAATTAGCACTGTAATTCCTAATTTTTAAAACCATGATATTATTATTTCTGCTAGAGTTTATTTAATGAAAAGGGTAAATAATTGTAAAGATGTTTTTATAATGTCTCTGCAACATGAACAGTGAAGACGGACAAGTTTACTCTGTTTGTATATTGCAATTTTCTTGTTTTACTAAGTACAACCATATGCATGGTCAAAACATAAACAAACAAAATTTAAACATAGGAGACGAAAATCTTACTGACTACAACTTACTAAATCCAAAAATCTATTTTAAAAGACGATATCGAATTCGTCACTGAATTCCCATGTTTATTGGGACACTCTGTATATGATTGCAGACTAAGAAAGCATGCTGCTAAATTTTACATTTAAACATTAAAGAATAGTAAACTTTCATGAACCGTACCCAGTCTTAGCCTTCATTACATGTAAAGATGGATCGCTTTCACTGTTTTGAAAACGATCGTTTAGTTTTGTAAACGACGAAGAAAAAACGAAAAACGAAACGATCGTTTAAAAAATATCATTTTTAAAAACGATATTCGTTTTAAACAAAAAACTATCGTTTAATAAAAAACTATCGTTTTTGAAAACGACTCCTCGTCAACGACGACCCTTTGTTAACGACCTTAAAAAAAAATTCAAGACAACATTCATAACCTTGTCTTTCTGAAAAATATTTCAATTAATTGTCATTAGCGATTTTTTCGAACGTTTTTAAAAACGATTAACAACCCTATACATGTAAATTAAACTATTTTGTGCTGAGAATCTCTGAATCAAGCATTGATCCCCATCCTAAGCAGACCTATAGGTTATTTTAATCCCTCTTTGATATATCATGTAGTGGGTCTATCCTGTAGGGTTAACTTTAGTTGAGAGATCGAGCGTGCATCCTCAAGTTATAAAGTGCCCACATAGGATGTCGAGTTCAATCCTTCAGGATTAAGTTGTCCATGTTCAGAATATTACATTTAACAAATTTACATGTATTCTGTTCATATCTACTGCTGCAGTTATCCATGTTCAGAATATTACATTTAACAAATTTACATGTATTCTGTTCAGATCTACTGCTGCAGTTATCCATGTTCAGAATATTACATTTAACAAATTCCCAGGACACAATATCAGAGGTAAGTTTTAACAAAAATATTTATTCTTTATTAAGTTAAACTATTTTTTTTGTGGAACATTCAGAGATAAATTTTCTGTTCGACAAAATTTCTGATTCATCAACAAATTTTAAAATTCTTTTTTTAAACCATCTTTTAATAAAACACTTTGTTTGCAAGCTGTTTTGTATACAACAAAAAAATCATTTTTTAATCTTTAGAAAATAATACTTCAGCTGCATTGAGTTCACACTTTACGATAGTGTACACTCTAGTTGTACTGTACTGCAATATGAACATTATTTTAAAGATACAAGCATAGAAGTATCTGTCCTCATTTATCAGTCAAAGGCTTAAAGAGTACTGTTGTAAATCGAACATTCTCCTCTATAAATAGATTTAATCTATAGCTATCTCAAGCTCCAGTCCGACTAATAAATATACCGTACAAGTCTAATATTTAACTGTATACGGAGCAAGGGTACAAAACATCGAAAAATTACAAAACAACCTCACATCAAAACAGTTAAATCTAAACTTCATGCAAAGATAGAAAAAACTAAATTTAATTTTAGAAAAGAAACAGGTAAATGTTTAAAAACTGGAGCTTTTTTAATTTTAATGATGTTAAAAGTTAAGATTTTTTTTACCTTTAAATGAAATTTAGGTGTTTTGAAAATAAGGAGTTTTGGAACTATGGGTGTTCAAATTTAAAGTTGTTTTCAAATTGTAACAATTTAAATTTTTAAAATTTAAGATTTTTCTGTCTTTAAATGAAATTTAGGAGTTTTTTACCCTGAAAGGAAATTTTGTATCTTTGGGTGTTCTGGCACGTTGGGTGTTTTGACATTTAGATGTTTTGAATTGAGGTACGTTTTGTTTTTGGGTGTTTTGTACCCTGCACCCTTATTACATTGCCCACAATAAATGGTTGAAAGAATAGAGAAAGGAAACTAAAAAGCTTATATCAATCCCCTCAGATGAACACAACAAAATTAATAGGGTGGTGGAAATTGTGTACACTTCGATTTTTATCAAATTTTATCGAACATTTTGCGAAAATTCCGGAAATGGTTTATCGAAAAATTGTGCAAAAAAGATTTATAAAGAATTTGGCTTATAAAAATTTCGTAAAGGAGATTTATCGAAATTTTGAAAACCGCAGATATTGCTTTCTGAGTAAATACGACAGCTTAGAGTTTTGAAAATCATTTAAACTTTATTTTAGTTTATTGTACTTGAGGTGTCAATTTAGTATCTATAAATATAAAGTTGTAATATCTGTTTGTTTGTCCGATCATAACTCATGAACCCCTTATGCGATTTGTCTCAAATTTTGATTGGGTAACTCGGGAGAGCCACGGAAAGTAAGTTAGTCGACTTTTATAGCGAAAATTTAGTTTAGCGGTAAAATCGTCCAAGTGCGGGTGAACGGCGGGAGTAACTATGAGTAACCTCGGCATCGCCGGGTTCCCAAGCTAATGTAACATATTTGTATATATTGGTAGAAAGGATGAAAATGGGACAATGGTTGCCATGGGTCATCCATCTTGTTCCACTAGACTAGAACGACTAAACCTGGGGAAACATGCATTGCTAATCATTCTAGGTATTAATCTTTATATTTTTTTTTGATTTATTTTAAAACATGTTGGATGTTTGTTAGATTGCATGCTTTGATTAAAAAAGAACTTAATTCTAACAAAATATGAAGACTAGAAAAATTTAAGTGCAACCCTTCATGCAAAGATGGCAATGCCTGATTCACAATCTTGACCCTCAAACCTTTATCTGATAAAACTGTGGAAAATATTGTCGTCTTCTATAATTAAAAGTTTTCATATATGTTTTCTTTTCCTACAGTAGAAATGCACAAGTCACTTTGGAACCCACAATTAATAATAATCAGCTTTCTAAATTATAAATATTTTAAACATTATAAACACTATAAACATTATAAACATTATAAACTTTATAAACATTATAAACATTATAAACATTTTAAACATTATAAACATTATAAACATTATAAACATTATAAACATTATAAACATCATAAACATTATAAACATTATAAACATTATTAACATTATAAACATTATAAACATTATATGTTGGCAAATTTTTTTTAGAAAAAACCATTCATAATATTTAAACATTAACTAATGAACATTTTTTAGTAATGCTAGGTGTAGTTATATTTTCTGGACTCTTTGCCACCATGTACAATGTACTGAAAGAGGATGAAACATTTGTCAAGTAAGTTAACGTAATTTTAAAAACTAATAATTATTAGTTAGATATTAATAACGCCTTATGTATTGTAATTTCTGCTTAAACTTAATGTTAGATTATAAGAAAACTATAATATATTTATTTAATGTTTTTGAACATCACACCACAATATTATTTCTAAGTGTTCAATGTTCTTATTTGATAAATACAAGAATTTACCTAGAAAGCGAAAATTCTAGGAATTTTTAAAAACTTATAAAAACGTTTTACAAGTTAATATTTATAGCTTTCTTTACTAAATGGGATAAGCTGAATCAAGATATAGTTAGTAAGGTTAGGTATCTAATAGAGTAGAGGAATTGAATATTGAAATTTTTTGGTTTTCAACTGAAATTTTTCAGATCTTTTAAAAAAAGACCGTTAATCTTTATTACTAAAAAATTGTAATTTTTCTGTATTTCCATTCAAAAATACGGGTGGCTTTGCTTCAAAAATATTGTATGAAAATCCTAGATGTTAGAGGCAAAAAGCATTTGAAACATTCAATTTTTTGTCAAAAAATAAAAATGACTGAAAAATGGAATTATAGTATGTATACTTAAATATGTCAATACGTCTTTTCTCAATATATTTCTGTACAACGATTAAAATCTGAAACTACAAATATTACAAACATTACAAATTATTTTATTTAAATTACCAAAAAAAATTAAATATTTAATTTCTTTACTTTTGAAATTGTGAATATAGACAAAATATTTGCACATTCAAACCCTCAATGTGAAAAATGGAGGAGTTGGCTTTTTCTCCGCAACAAAGACATTTTCAAAAAAATATTTCAACTCCTAAAATATCAAACAATTGGGGTTTAAAGGTTTGAATGCGTTATATTCGTCTGGAGTTGAGAGTTTCTCGTTTGAAGAGTTGATTTAGGAGTTTGATTCAAGTTTGAACCCACCGCCAAAATATTTTCTATTCGATTAAAGGGACTGTAAGCCTAATTTTAAGTGAGCTTCTCTCTATGCGCGATTCACGACGGTACCCTTAAAACCCTTACCGGTGTTTTCTAGTTTTAAAACTATTTTATTCAGATACATCCGATATATTTCCCGCCAAAGAAATGCCCAAGTCATTTTTGCAGAGAAACCGCAATCGAAAAACATAATTTTAAAAATGTTAAACATTTATATTTAAGACAACACTTTACAGAGTACGGTTGTGAATCGAACATTGTCATTTTTGTACTGAGGGTCACTTGAAATCATGCTTACAGTCCCTTTAAGCACAGAGTTTTGCATGCAAAGTTATGGAGTGTTTTCAATCAAATGATTTGAACTGACATTATTCAGTTTTTCATAATATCCATTTAATGTAATAAGTTCGGTTAACAAACTGGCATTAATTAAGCTTTAAAGCAAAACACAATTTTGATACATAATTACTTAAACTTATTTGTAAAAGCTAAAAATTAAAAAAAATTAACTAATATATTTGACCAGAAAAGTCGAAGTCACCAGGTTTGTAATAATATGGTTTGTATTGCTTCAAAATTGTGAAACAACCGCACTAAACAGTGCTGCTGACTTTGTGCATGAAACTGGACAGGTTCGAGAATTTGAGTAAAAATTAACTGTCAAGCATTTTATTTTTGAACGGACATAACTGATATATGTATATATATAGCTTTAGTACCTAAATGGAGCTTCAAATTCCATTTTTCCTTGCCATAACTCCAATATTAATGAGCTGAATTAGTAAAAAAAATTTAACGTATTTGATGAAAATAAAACGTATCTTTTCAATTGTTTCAAACGTCAAAGCTGAACACAAATTCAGTTGAAAACAGTTGTAAGTAATTCTCAAATTGCATGCAATGAATTTTCTTAAGAAATTGGTTCTTTGTGGTTCCCGCGTTCCCTATGCAATATGCCTTTCAATAACCGATCTAATCAAATCAATGATGAAATAAGATTGGGTCCTTATGTCAAGCATATAGAATGATAGTTCGAACTCTATACAAATGTTGATTGAAATAATGCCGCGTTATTTTGTGCACTATACTACTCTGCTCACGCACTTAGCTCAGCAGTCTCGTGTTTTGTACAGTGAAGACGACGAGTTCTACCCACGCCCAGCGAAGTGCCGCGTTTTGTCTTATGGAGAGGAATCAGCTGACCAGGGAATAGATGAGGAACTAATGGCGCTAATTAATAAAACAAACAATCTTTATGAAAAAGGAATCTTTAACTAAAATCAGGCTTAAAGGTTTTAGTATATGAATAATGTAGATAACAATTGGCTTATATAAAAAACACTCATAAACTCTGCTTAAATCACTGTTCAACAAATTTATCACTTATTTGATTTGGTGTACGACTGATTGTTTTCAATCATGCAATAAATTTTTAGGTAGGGCATTGTCGTTAGATAAATTTTCAAAATTTGTTGATTAACCCTTGAAGGAAAGATTACTTTTAATTAGACCACTGTAATTGTTTTACTCTTTGCAGTCTTCTTGACATAGATAAGTATTTTATAACATTACAAACATAAAAATGTTTTTTTTTGTGCTTTAACTTTAGTAAAGAAATCCACAAACTATTGATTTATTTTAAAAAGGGGAAAAATGAATAATTTACCTTTCCATGATCAAATTTATCTAACAACGAAGCCCATCCATCTACAGTCTAGATGTGCTGGAAAATAATAAGGTTTCCATGATTCAATTATATTTTAAAACTGTGGATATAAGTGGTATACACTCTTGGGTTGATATCTACGGGGAATACAATCAGAAATTCAGTACAATCTCGTTGTATATATCAATACAATAAAGATGAATTTATATTTCAAGTTTGATTCCTACCAAGGTTTTTAACAGCAAAGATACATAAATACATAAACAAAGAAAAGTTGTCAATTAACCTCTTTGTTTACATGTAAATTTAAAACACGCTTGTCAGAGCATTCTTTGTAAAAGTCGTCTTCACTGTATTGATATAAACATCTACTCCTGGAGAAAAAGAAACTACAGTTATATATCTACATAAAATGTAAAAATTGTTTTTGGCAAATTTGATAGAAAAAAAAACTTTTTAAAATAAGAATCAAACTATAATTTTACCCAAATATATCAAATCCCTTTTGCACCAGCAAAATATTATAAAAAAGCAAATAAGGCGCTGAATATTAAAATTAGTTTTTTTTTATATTAAAAAATACAAACATTGTTTGATAAAAGGCTAATAAATAATTTTTAAAAACATCCAGTTTTTTTGCTTAAAACTTATTTTATTTTCATGGATTTTAAATATTTTTAAATTAACATTGTTGTCTTGATATCACAAAAAAAGCTAAATTCTAAATAAGTTTTAAAGTTATGAAAAAAAAATTATCTCAATTTTTGCAATTTTTTTAAAGAACATTTACCTTCAGACTTAGTTTCATCCTTATTTAAACATCTAGAATTTTACAAAGTTTAAGGTGAAATTCTAAATTTTCTAAGGCTGTGTACCATGAAACCAAGTTATTATATCACGAGAGAATGCAATTAAACGAAGTTTTATTTGTTTGTTTATTTTTAAAGCTTTAGGCACGCAATCTATCAAGCTTTCTCCCACAGCGCAGAGTATTAAAGCATTTAAACATTAAAATTCAGGACAAAATGGTATAAAGAGAAAAATACATATAAAGAGAAAAATACATTTATAAAAAAAAATACATTTAAAGAGAAAATTTTATTTAAAGAGATTAATAAATTTAAAGAGACAATACATTTAAAAAAACAATATATTTAAAGAGAAAAATACATTTAAAGAGAAAATACATTTAAAGAGAAAAATACATTTAAAGAGAAAATACATTTAAAGAGAAAATAACATTTAAAAAGACAATACATTTAAAGAGAAAAATACATTTAAAGAGAAAATCCACATTGATTTAAGTGCCACACCATTTGAAAAGTTATACACCCGATTAACAACGGTCCTTTTTTTTAAACAACTAGCTGAAGAGCCCGGCGTTGCCCGTGGAAAAAATTAAGAATAAAAAAAAGTAAAAAAAATTTTGAGAAAAAAAATTTCGATTTTTTAGGCTTGGCCACCCATGAGTGTCCGCAAAAAATTTCATCTCAATAAGTCCAACCGTTTGGTCGGCTATAGAGGCAACATATATATACGAATGTCTTGTTTTATTATAGAGAAGAATAATAATGGAGACATTCTTATTTTTAATACATGAGAATAGAAAATTTAACTTAGCAGTTTTTTAAAACGTAAGTTCCAGATTTATGCAGAAGCGACAAAGAAGGAAATGGATACACAATATCTCTTGGCAAGATAAAGGAATGTGCTGTTGTGAATCGGACGTGTAACTCTTTAAATAGATGCACACATCACGTACATTGACTTATTTGTACTCTTACTGTAAAGGACAAAAAATACTCAATATAAGATTTGACAAATTACTTCAGAATAAGGGTTAAAATAAGGCTTACACCTAATAAATTATCCTGTCAAGCGCAAAAGTAAAAATGTATAAACCAAAAAAAATTTCCAATACGACTAATCAGTAATCACTTATAAAGGTTATTTTTCTTAATAGACATTTCATAGATTTTAGACCGGTCACTAAGAACAAACCTGAGAAGGTGTTTTAAAATGTTCTATCTATAGAAACCTTTAATCCATGAATTGTCCTATTTAGCATCTGCATTCTGCATATGTCAATTTGTCCATCAATGGCTAGGGAACTGAGTTTTTGCCACAAACTCAAATTTGATGATCCCTTTATCGTTGCAACCTGATGGTTCAAAACCTCGATATTTCAAACTTAGACTATTTGATTCAACGGAATTCATAGTTTGAAATATAAAAGTCTAATGAGTTGCAAAGATATAGAAAGAAGAAAAATTGAGTTTCCAGACACTTTGCATTTTTCAATAAGAATGCTGAATCACGAACCAACACAGAGCTTTCTTCAGCAACTGCTTTCTTTGAATGAAATAAAAATAGATTTTAAAAATCTAAAAATATCACCAGCAAATTAAGATTCTCAGTGTTTATCCGAAATAAAAAAGCAAATAAATTCAATAATGAAATGAGCTGTTCATGAGAATTGTTTCAATTTGAAATCAATGAAAAAATTAACAATTCATTTGTAACTATTTTTAAGTGAAACCCTGGTTTTGTTTGATTATTCATTTTTTTCATAAAATTGATAAAATTTTTATTTATTTTCAGGGACCCCTGTAATATAGTAGTTATAGCAGATTTTGATATTAGGAATAGATTTATTGAAAACTTTAAATAATTTAGCTGCACATCTCAGTGTCAGTGCCATAGGAGTGGATGCACTGACTGGTACTACACAAAGTAGTGCCATTCCAATTCAGTCCCCTCCTAATAATACTATTCAAGATCCTACCAGAGGCCGTTCCTTCCATAAACTACATTGGTCGACAACTTGACGTCTCCTATATTGGTCGTCAAATGTACAGAGAAATATCTATCTATCAGATAAGAATTTAGCATGAAACATCTAGTGGCCTACATATCGTCCCCCAAAGTACGTGAACTACACGACCACTCTCTTTGGGGAGAACGGACTCTGAGCTACAAGCCATAGCACTGATACTACCCAGCATAACTGCAATGAACCATCTGATTATATTTATATTCCGTCGGAAATTTCTTATGTCGCAATGTACAGCTGTAAATTTGAGTTCATTGTTTATTTCGGTTGCTTGAGCATACAACACTCAACATTAATACCGCAGTTAAGTGAATGTTACAGTCGTTATTAGAACAAACAAAGTACAATTTTTAAAAAGTGATTTTTGCCTTATCCGTTTTTGGCCTGGGATTTACGTGTCTCTTTTAGTGCTGAAATTTATCATGACAAAATTGGATTTTTTTGACAAAAAATTATAATAAGTTATGTTAACCTTTCTTGATAGAAGTTTTGACCAAGTCTTGTGTGTAAAACTGTTGTGTCTTTAATTTGTTTAATTTAGGGATGGTATTGATTATATGATAAATATGATGCCGTGGGTTCATAAATCAACAAGGTATTGTTATGAATGATCACACTGATAATAGTCATAATAATGATAATAATGATAATAATAATAACAATAATAATAATGATAATAATAATAATTATAATAATAATGATAATTATGATAATAATGATAATTATGATAATAATGATAATTATGATAATAATGATAATAATGATAATAATGATAATAATGATAATAATGAAATAATGAAAATAATGATGATAATGATAATAATGATAATAATGTTAATAATGTTAATAAAAAAAGTTTTGCATCAAACTCAAATTTGCCAATTTCTTTTAGCTTTGCAACCTGGTGGTGTAAATCTTTGGTATTTTCAATTCAGATTATTAATGACCTGGCAGAATTCAAAGTTTAAGTATTAAAATTCTCCTACAATGGGTTGCAAAGATGTAAGGACTAGAAAATCAGAGTTTGAAACAAAAGCTTTGTTTTTTTACTTCAATACTGTTCATTTTGATAACTAATGATCGCATCCTGTCGATCAGTGTTCCCAAAGTGTAGAATGCGATACCGTATTGTAAAGTTTAATCCCATATTGTAGAGTTTAATTTCATATTATAGAATTTATTCCCTTCTTGTAAAGTTTAATCCCATTTTAGAGAGCTTTATTCCATTTTGCAGAATTAAATACGATATTGTAAAATTTAATTCCTTGCATAGCTTATTCCTATATTGTAGAGTTTAAGTCTATATTATAGAATTTAATCCCATATTGTAAAGTTTAATCCCATTTTGGAGAGCTTTATTCCATATTGCTGAGTTTAATCCCGTATTGTATTGTTTAATCCCATATTGTAGGGTTTAATCACGTATTGTAAAGTTTAACTCTTTATTACAGAGTTTAATCCTATATTGTAATGTTTAATCCCATTTTGTAGAGTTTTATTTCATATTGCAGAATTGAAAACCATATTGTAAAGTTTAATCCCATATTGTAGAGTGTAATCCCATATTGCAGAATTTGATACCATATTGTAAAGTTTAATCCCATGTTTTAGGGTTTAATCCCGTATAGTAAAGTTTAATCCCATATTATAAAGTGTCATCCCATTTGTAGAGTTTATTTCATTTTGTAGAGTTTAATTCCATATTGAAGAGTTTAATCCCATATTGTAGAGTGTTCCCATATTGTAAAGTTTAATTCAATATTCTGAGTTTAATCCCATATTCTGGAGTTTCATCCCATATTCTGGAGTTTAATCCCATATTCTGGAGTTTAATTCCAAATACAGAGTTTAATCCCATTTTGTAAAGTTGGATCTGGCTCCCATGTTGTAGAGTTCCATAATGCAGAGTTTATTCCCATATTGTAGAGTTATTCCCATGTTGTTCAATAATAATAATAATAATAATATTAATAATAATAATAATAATAACATCAATAATATTAATAATAATGTTGAATATTAACATGGAATGAATGCTAGGGTTGGGACGGATGAGCTTCTTCTATATCTCGGTCTAACTAACCGTCTTCAACCAGGTTCTTCAGTTATGCTCTGATATACGAACTAACAAATATACAGAAAACACAGAGATTACAACTTTATACATAAATGTTGGGTGTAGTGCCTTTTTAACCGTTTCGAACAACGCTTCGCGACCCATTACTATTAACAATTATAGCTGTTAACGGTTGCTCTTTTTTATTATAAATCGTATCTCGCGGATTTTTCTAAGTTTGCGCATTTTTAAAATAATCTCAACATTTTTCGAGCTAATTTTTTCACCTTTAACCATTCATAAACCTGTAACAAATGCCTTACTCCTATATAGTTCTTTTAAGTCTGTATCAATCCAAGTACAACCCAATCTCGAACTCTATATTCTCCAATTATACGTTAGTCTGTTTCAATCCAGATACAGTTTTTTAGTATGTTTCGTTCAAATACAACTCTCGAACTCAATGGAAAACCAATAATACTTCAGTTTGCATCAATCCAGATTCAGCACTCTCTGTATTCTAAAGTATGTATCGTTCAAACTGGATGCTCTCTACACGAGAAATAATACGTGTCTAAGCGTAATAAAGCAAAGATTCATATCCAACTGATCTATATTTCGGATTTTTATCGTACATGTTAAAAATATGGAGGATGGTCTGTTCAGAAATTAAATAGTAGTTAAATTAATGAACGTAGTTAAATTAANGAAATGGAACAAATATTTGAGTAGTCCTAGTTCTTCCAACGGAAATGGAACAAATATTTGCCATTTTTTTAAACCCTTTTTTTGAATTTTAGTTTTCCAATATTCTCATTTTTTCGTTTTTACAAGTTTACCAAACAAAGAGTTTTATGTTTAATTGTTTATGTGTATCCGTGTTGCTGAAATAAGAAGTCGTCTTCAATTGTATTAATAAGTACGATGAAGACTGAAGTTAATTTGCTTAAAAAAAATTTGAACCTAAGAATATTTTTGTCTTTTAAAGTCGGCTTTGTTATTTCTTGAAGGAACTGTAAGCGTAATAATTTCAATTGTGACCTTTCATGTAAATATGACAATGCCTGATTTACATGGATACCGTAGAACCCTAATTTTGATTTTTTACTAGATAATTTGATAATTTGCAGTAGTATTGTGCAAGTCAGTTTTGTTGAGAACTTACAAGTGAAAATAATCAATTTTCAAATTTATAAAGATTAATATATACTTTATACTTGATCAGATCCAAACCATTTAAGGGTACCGCTGCCGTCTTTGCATGGAGGGTCACTTAAACTTTCACTCTCAACTTTCTTAGTTTAAATTTAAATATGGTATTGTTCAGGTGGCACCGAAACGGAGGAAATACCCAAACCTTGTAAATCTTCAGATGGAAAACTTAACAGAGGAAATTATATCTTTATCCAAGTTTATAAAACTCAACAACATGAAAACAACTTATTTTTTTACAGTTAGAATCAGAAAACTGTGGAATAGGAAGACGACACTAAAAAAATACAAAAGGGTTTTAACAAAGCGCAGCAAATAATTTTACTCATAACTTCTTAAATCACTTTTATAGTGAAATGTGAAGTTGCTGTCATAATTTAAGTCTTTAAGTCGTCTTCCTTTTGCAGAATTTTCTGATTCTCTCTGTACTTGAAAAGATGTAAAAATGTTAATATTAGAAGGAAGACTCTCCTTCAAGTTACCTCGAGGAAACCCCGGCTCAGAAACTAACGTTAAATGCAGCAGTTTTACAGGTATAAAGGCCCAGTTTAGTTAAAAATATCTCTTTTAATATAATTGTTGATTTGATCTATATTTTTGTAGGAAAGAGTTGCAATTATCAAGTTTCCTTATTCCGACCTCTCAACAATCCCGTCAGAGGTAAAATAAAATTATATTTCCTTTTTTTGAAAAAAATCTAATCCCTGTATTACTTAAAGGGAGTGTTCGCGAAAAATGAAAGGGGGTATAGGCTTATGCGATAAAAAAGCGCTTTTGATCGCTACTAATCTTACTTCTATCTGTTGCGTCTGTAAGGAGAAAATTGTTAAAGACTTCTCATACCGAAGAGCGTAGTGTCCATACAAATTAAGAAAATTGCAACATAATATGTTTTAATTGTTATGATCTGAGAGTTACATTTATTCCTGTTTCGAAGATTTTTGGTGATGAAGACGACATTTTCATATTTTCCAGGATTGTTCGAAAACAAGTTATAAGCTAAATATTATTTTATAAAACAAAATCAAAACTAGTATGAAATATCAAATGTATACAAATGTGGCGAAAGATAATCGATGACTATAGATTGTAATATCTGAATGATTTGTTTGAAATTAAATGGATTTTTTTACGGTCTAAGTCGTATGTTAATTTTCTCAATTTGTATGGACGCCATGTTATTCGGTATGAGACGTCTTTAACAATTTTCTCCTTATAGACGCAACAGATAGAAGTAAGATTAGTAGCGATCAAAAGCGCTTTTTTATCTTATTAAGCAATACCCCCTTTCATTTTTCGCGAACACTCCCTTAAAGCTTAAAGAATAAGTTAAGTTACACTCACAAAAGGTTTGTTTAAATAAAAATTTTTTTTATTTTGCGGTTTTTGAAAAAGTAAATTTTTAATCAAAATAATTTAATTTGAAATCATGATTTTGAAAACGAAAAAAAAACGTTCTTGTCTATTTTGTAACACTCTTTAAGAAATGTCAAATTTTGTTAGATTAAAATATTACATTTCTTAGAGTGTATGTTTTGATTAGTTTTGTTTATAACGCAAAAATGTAAAAATATAAATATTATACTTCTTAATTTTTTATATTTTCAAAAGATGCCTCGGAAAGCTGTTTACAATTCTGTAATATCCATTCCTCAAGATATAAGAGAACTTATCAGGTATTGTACATTTTCACTTTTAATTTAGAACATGAGTAATAATTAATTGGGGTCCTTTTCTCATTTGCTGGTTTATAAACAGTTGCAACTTGCAATATGATATAATTGCATCAATAGTTTGTAATTTAAAAAACGTCATGTTGTCATATTTTACTGTTCGTTTTTCGTAAATACATTTAAATTTTATAAATGATATATTAAAAAAGAATTTTTAAATTTTTAGATTATTACAGCGGTGTGAACAGTTATCTACGCCAATGAACCTTCAGGTAGAAAAAAAAGAGAAAAAAATGTTTAGTTTTGATAACATTTTGCAAATCCTTCCTTAATGATTATATAAGACAACTTGTTAATTGATTTTTATTAATTTGAGAAATATGGTTGTGTCACGATGTTATGACGAAGGTGCAGCATTCAAAGTTTTTTTTTAAAATTTATATCTAATCTGCATTTTTTGTTTAAATGCTAACATCCCAGAAAATTCAGAGATAAATTTGAAAAAGTAATTATTAAATTTTTTTGAGTGTTCTATTTTTTCGTTAATTAACATTAAAAGTCATGAGATATAAATAATGATAAATATATGATAATTTAGTTAAATATGAATGACACTGAGCTTGAAGTTACTAAACTACTAAATATATGATAATTTAGTTAAATATGAATGATACAGAGCTTGAAGTTACTAAACTACTAAATATATGATAATTTAGTTGAATATGAATGATACTGAGCTGGGTCAAAAAATATTGACTGCCATTAAACAAGTTTGTGCTGAACAGAAGGAGGAGGTAAAAAATTTACCATTTTTTTGAAAGGCCGAGAGGCAAAGAGAATAGATCTGTATAGAGTGGAATTAAGTCAAAAATATATTTTCTTAAAATTATTTAATTTTCTCTAAAACAATTCTCTGACAACCGGTTATGCATTCCCATGTTTATTTTAGCATAAGCTGTACTTTACATTTCCGAGTTCATTTCAGCATAAAAAGAAGAATTTGAATAGGATATGTCCAATTCTCTAGGGATCAAACTGTATTATTGTGTATAATTTGTAAACATTTACATGAATTTTACACTTTGAACTTCTTTTCAAGCTAAAAGGGACTGCAAAAATTTATACCGAGGGATAGACTTATTTCCCTTCTTTTCTAATCTCTGTTCTGTTCAAAGAGGGTAGGGCTGGGCATATTTAAACTTGTTTTATACCGTTAGTTAATAATTAGTAAACATCGCTAGAAAAACGTTCGTTCTTTAGTCTAGAACTGCACGTTCTGTTCGTTAACGGTATTTTTCGTTCTTTCTCAAAGTTTCCGTTTGTTAACGATCTCAATGTTATTAACGGCGTTAACAGTAGAAATTTTTGAAAGTGTTAGAGTCGCCATTAACGATTATTTAATATAAAATAGCTAGAAAAAAAACATTTGAAAACATCAAAATATGCTTTTATTCACTCTTACTTTAAAAATTCTTCTACAGACGTTTAGGCATTTTTAACGCTCATAGGACGTTTAGTGGCCATCAATAACTTGAAGTACAATGACGATTGCAATTCGACATTTTTTTCCAACCTCTAAATTCTTAAAATATTTGTTCATTTGAGGTATTTATTTGCTGAATTTTTGTCAAACATTTAATTCAAATGAACAACATATTCTAAAATGAAGCATTCATAAAAATCGGTATAGTTCACTTCACAGTAGTTCAATTCGTCTTCCAAGGAATTCTCGTAAAAGTGTTTAAGTTTGATCAACGTGTAATGTAAAGTGACCCTCCATGCAATGATAGCAATGCCTGATATACAACGGTACCCTTGAAAGCTTAATCCTATCAAACTGTGGAAGATACCGTCCTTTTTCTTACTCCGGCACTAACATTTTTGCATGGAGGGTTGTATAATATCGTCCCTGTGAGTAACATTAACATAATTTTTAAAATTGTAATAAATCGCATTTTTTCACTTTTTTTGCCTAGATAACGGGCTGTCAAGTGCCTGAGAAACAGTCCTGGAAAACTGTGATAAAGAAGTAAGATTTTATTTTAAACATCATTTTAAACAAAAAATATTATAATTTGAGCCAAGATAAGGGAAAAGGAATCGACCCGGCCCGCCCTACCATATGATTATACATGCTTTGCAGACGGGGTACTTCATTTGAAAAAGAGTTTTTTAAAGATCGTCTTTTATTTTATAAGTTGGTATTTACTATACCGTGTTAAATAAAACCGATTTTTTATTCTATATAATACAGTAAGACATTTATGTATATATATGTTGCGTATAGCCGGCCAAACGGCTTGAACGATTGGGCTGAATTTTTTTTGTGGACACTCATGGGTGGCTGGGGGGTGTTATAGGCTTAAAAAAATTTAACATTATTATAAGTTTAACTGTGTATATTCATTTTCACCATTTTCGTTATAATTATTATAATTATCAAAGACATTAATCATGATCTTAATCAATCCTGTTAACATCACGTACAAGCAATGTTAACTTTTTGTAAACATTATCACTCGTCATTATAGCATAAAGTTTTATAAAGTTTTTCGATATTTTTAATAATTCAACAGAAAATTAAATAATTTTTTTTTCTATTTTTTCCTTAGATCTGTTTCCTTCCTATCCGGAGGGGGTGGAGACGGGTTGGATACTTTCCTTGTACCTCTAGCAACCTCAGAGGTTTACGAAGATAAAGATGAGACCTCAGTTTAATCCTTATCTTTAACCACAGAGGATTTATGGGAGATAGAGATCTGACTTAGTTTAATCCTAATCCTTAAAAACCATAGAGGATTAAGAGGAAAGATAAGACCTCAGTTAAATCTTAATCCTTAGCAACCAGAGGATTATGAGGATACAGATGATAAATCAGTTTAATCCTAATCCTTAACAGCCAGAGGATTAAGAGTGATAACTCGTTTAATCCTAATCCTTAGCAAGCAGAGGATAAAGAGGAAACAGATGAGAACTCAGTTTAATCCTAATTCTTAGCAACCATAGGATAAAGAGGAAACTGATGAGAACCCAGTTAAATCCTAATTCTTAACAATCAGAGGATTAAGAGGATACAGATGAGAATTCAGTTTAATCCTAAACCTTAGCAACCATATGAGAATAAGAGGATAAAGATGAGAACTCAGTTTAATCCTAATCCTTAGCAACCATAGAAGATTAAGAGGATGGAGATAAGACCTCTGCTTAATCCTAATCCTTAGCAACCATAGAAGATTAAGAGAATAGAGATAAAACCTCTACTTAATCCTAATCCCTGGCCGACCAATGAATCTATTTTACTTCTCCAGTGCACACTGCACATGTTTGATGCCTTCCTATCATTTAACGGTGTTGATATTTTATATAAATTTAGCTTTCTTCACTAAGTGCNATGTGGATCCGGATCCAGATTCTGGATCCCTACTGGAAAAAAATGGATCCGAATCCAGGAAGCCAAAATGTTATGGATCCAAATCCTAAGCACTGCTTAGCAGGACAGCTTGAAATAAACTTGACTGGGGTTTCCACGAAATGACCACATTTTATACGCAAAATTCACGTAATTTTCGTGCAAATATTTTTTTAATAACTTTTGCGCATCTTTTATGCATGAAGCGAAATAAGTTTTTCGCATTTTATGCCTAATTTGCGCAAAACATGCTGATAAAAATTGACCAAAATTTTAAGCTTCAGCACAAAATCAAACAACTAAAGATTTATTCAAAAATCTACATAAAAATTAAGTATGATTCTGCTCAATTGGTTACTTTTAGTAACACAATCTTCAAATAGAGGGACAAAAATAAAAAAAAACAGAAATTAGAAATTTGAAAATTGATGCATAGTTTTTATAGATGTCTGAATCTTTGAGCGGTGGTTATTTATTTTTTAAAATTGAGATTCTTGATACATTAATGGGCCTTTTAAAACGTGAAACTTGTCATTGTATACATATTAATTTACTTAATAAATATGAAATTTTATTAGAAAATTTGCTTTTGCTTGCTGGAAAGATATACCTTTTCCGCCTTCCCTCTTTTGTTGGAGGATTTAAAATTCTATTTTATTTCTTATCTCCGCAGCTAGTTAACAGTAGCAGATAGTAAAATATATTTTAATATCAAATCAGATAAAAGTGTAGGTGGTTATTACAAGATAACCTTGAAAAATACCCACTATTATATCAAAGTGATTAAATACTAAAGTATATATAAATTGGTCAGTACAGAGTGCATACAGTACAACAGAAACTGGACTCCCTTTGTTTACAAACACAGACTTAGAATTTGTATTTAACTTAAATATAAATTAACGTAAATTAAGATTTCAGAAGTGAATTTTAGCCATTTTACTGAACAATAAATGATTTCAGACAGCACAATAATGCCTGCAAGCATAATCTGTAAAACAAGGAATGCACAATTTGTGATACCGAAAAATGAAGATCTTCGAAATATATCTGTTGGTCTCCACTTTCAATTTTTGTATTTTGACAGATTTAAGAGTGGTTAAGAACTAGACATAGTTTCAAAGATATTAAGAGAGGCGTATTCAGGATTTTTTCCCCAGGAAGGGCTTACATTTCTTTTCTTTCAAGGGGGGGGGGAGGCCAAAACCCCCCCAAAAAGCATATATATTTCACTGCTCCAGGAGGGGGATGAGTCCCAAGTGTTTAAGAAATTCACAAACATATTTCGGAATGGAGTGAGATTTGAAAGAACAAAACTAAACAGCTTTAAAGATAAATTCGTATAGAATTAGAAGTGCCAGGCAAAATCAATGAATTGATTAAGCGACTATATTGTATTTACATATAAACTACATACAAACATACAAAATATTTTGATTTTAATTTTCGAAGTTCTAATTGAAGACGACATTTACATGGGACTTTAGTCTATTTTTTCTAGTCTTCACTTTCCAAAAGAAATCTTTTCATGCAATTATTTCCAAACCAAATAAAACCTTATGGCCCAACCTGTCGTCGTTGCCTTAGCCTGTTCCACTTAAGTATTTATTCACTTTGCTATTATATTGTAATGTACATTGTACAAATACATTTTATTGCGAAGACTCCTCATTTTTATTTATAAGGATATCTTTTCTTTTCTAATTTTCCAATGTCTTGAATATAGTTTTCTCTGATTGATTAAAGGGATTGTATACAAAATTTCAAGAGAACCTCTATTAACACACTGCAATGGCATGTCTGATTCCCAATGGTGGACGGTGGTACCTTTGTAATCTTTATCTGATGAATAAGGAATGAGATAACCATATGCTTCTCTTTGAAAATTAAAGAATCATTTGAAAATACGAGTCATTTTAACTTTTTGTAATTCTCTAAATCTGACAATTCTTCTGTTTTCAATTTCAATAATTTGTTAATGAAAAATATTTATTAAAAAAACCAAATGTAAAAAATAATAACATCTTGAATATTCTTTTTTTCACAGGAATAAGGAGATAATCCATTGCTTGGGAAATAAAAGTTAACGTTTTAGATGCTGATAGTATTGTGGGTTTGAATGGTTTGAGTGGAAATGGAGGAAAATGATTATGATCCATTTCTAGGGATCGAAATAAAAAAGGGGATTATGCCACTAGGGATGGGAATGAATTATGCGGTTATGGCACCCCTACTAACGATGGGAATGGATTCTGTTTGCTGACAACCAGTTTCTGATGCTGATGGGAAATGTATCCCTAGAAATAGAATATAATGACATTTTTTATACTCATAGAAACAAAAAGTTTTAATATTCATTTCATATCCATATATGCAATTCAATTACTACCCCCCCCCCCCCGGAATTATAACTGTTTCTGTTTGTTTAAGTATTAAAAAATTGAATTTAAACCAAAAACCATATATTCCCCAAATGATAACACAAGATGGTTGGATGTATTTTGATCGATTAAAATTTCACTAAAAAAAGCGAGTTTTATGCAAATCCGTGAAATGTAAAAGGAAAACAGTTTTGCCGGTATAAAATGTTACTTATTTGCCTCGTAACAAATACAAATTTGTTATACCCAAGATCTTAAAATTGTGAGTAAAAAAGAGAAATAAAAATTATCTCAAAATTGGATTAAGATCTTTTGCAGAACTTGAAAATATGTATATTTTACACCAAACTTTAAAAAAATGCATTTTAAAAACATCATTCACTGCTTTACGTCCAGCCCCATTAAAATGATCAGAAAATTAATTTTAGAAAATTAATAATTCAATTTCCTCCAAAAAGAAGGGGTTTACCTTGATCTTAGATTCGTAGATTAGGTTTGCAATAATACAGGCTGTCTCCTCATTATCAGCATCTTCTATACCCATTAACCTGGACAATATATATAATACAGGGGTCTCCTCATTATCAGCATCTTCTATACCCATCAACCTGGACAATATATAATACAGGCTGTCTCCTCATTATCAGCATCTTCTATACCCATCAACCTGGACAATATATATAATACGGGCTGTCTCCTCATTATCAGCATCTTCTATACCCATCAACCTGGACAATATATATAATACAGGGGGTCTCCTCATTATCAGCATCTTCTATACCCATCAACCTGGACAATATATATAATACAGGCTGTCTCCTCATTATCAGCATCTTCTATACCCATCAACCTGGACAATATATATAATACAGGGGTCTCCATATTATCAGCATCTTCTATACCCATCAACCTGGACAATATATATAATACAGGCTGTCTCCTCATTTTCAGCATCTTCTATACCCATTAACCTGGACAATATATATAATACAGGGGGTCTCCTCATTATCAGCATCTTCTATACCCATCAACCTGGACAATATATATAATACAATTTTTCATCAAAAATCTTAAAATTAAACACTCCTGAAATAAAAAAAATTACCTGAGAGCAACGGTGAATGCTTCAACACTGACTTGATGCGATTTCATTATTAGATAAACTTTCTTAAACAGGTTTCTGTAAACAAGTGCAATAATAAGATAAACATTCTTAATCAGGTTTCTGTAAACAAGGGCAATTATAAGATAAACTTTCTTAAACAGGTTTCTGTAAACAATTGCAATTGTAAGATAAGCTTTCCTAAACAGGTTTCTGTAAACAAGTGCAATTATAAGATTAACTTTTTTAAACAGGTTTCTTTGAACTAGTGAATTTTAAGATAAACTTTCTTAAACAGGTTTCTGTAAACAAGTGCAATTATTAGATAAACTTTCCGTAATCAAGTGCAATTAATGAAGATGCAAAGGAATTGAGTCTTTGCCACAAACTTTAAATGTTCTAATCCCTATATCTTTGCAACCTGAAAAACGTTGAATTTTCATATTTAGATATTTGATCGAACAAAATTTATAGAAAATCAGAGTTTTTGGCTAAGACTCAATTTTCTTTAGCATTATTTTACCAATTAAACGAAACAAAATGGAATAAAAAAAAAATTTTCTTTTTTGATTCCACAAAAATGTAAATTTTTTGTTGAAAAATCTACCTGTAAGTGATAATCTTGAGTTTCTCGAGAATGAGGAATATTCCCCATTTAATAAACGTCTTCTCTAATCTGAACATTTTTTTTCCTACTTTCGTTTTTATATTTTTAAGCAATAAATCGAAATAATCCTAGATAATTCTAGATGTAATCTAAACTTTTCTTATTTTAGCGTGAATGCAAAATAAGCAAGAATAAAGAACATTAAAGGCAGAATCTTGTTATTTCTTATCTTATAGAATTTGATCATATTTTTTTTCTATATTTTTTTCATGTTTTCAGGAGCACTTAAAAGTATTTAAAGGTTTTTCGCTAAAAAAAGTTTCCGAAAATATGCAAAAAAAAATAATGGATTAATCTTTAACATGTATTAATTATTAAAAAAAAAAACATCTAAAAATCTTGCTTGTAATGTCAAAAAGTTTTATATTGAAAAAATATATATTATATGGAAAATTAGTATTTCAAAAATTCTTAATTATCAAGTCAAAAAGTGGAATAGTAATTTTTCAAAAGTTTTGACCTTTCTAGCTCCTGGTTCAGATGGTGCAGGTTTCCTTCCTTCACAGAGTTCATCACACCCTGTAATGTAGCAGATATTGTCGTTAAAAAGTGTTTCATTAATTTTAACAATTTCCTTCATTGTTACTGAATCAGAAAACCGCAAGTCTCTTGACTTGAAAAAAAACGATCAATTTTCAAAAAGGAACCGATGAATATTAAATTGATTTATGATCAAATAAAAATATGTATGGAATATGCCCCTCCATGAATGAAGAGTCGGTTGAGAAAAAAAACATCTATTGCCCCATATAAACAGAAAAAAAAAACATCTTTTGCCCCATATAAACAGAAAAAAAACATCTATTGTCCCATATAAACAGAAAAAAACATCTATTGCCCCATATAAACAGAAAAAAACATCTTTTGCCCCATTTAAACAGTTAAAAAACATCTTTTTCCCCATAAAAACAGAAAAAACACATCTATTGCCCCATATAAACAGAAAAAAACACATCTTTTGCCCCATATAAACAGAAAAAAACATCTATTGCCCCATATAAACAGAAAAAAACATCTATTGTCCCATATAAACAGAAAAAAAAACATCTTTTGTCCCATATAAATAGAAAAAACCATCTTTTGCCCCATATAAACAGAAAAAAACATCTTTTGCCCCATATAAACAGAAAATAACATCTTTTGCCCCATATAAACAGAAAAAAACACCTATTGCCCCATATAAACAAAAAAAAACATCTTTTGCCCCATATAAACAGAAAAAAAACCATCTTTTGCCCCATATAAACAGTTAAAAAACATCTTTTTCCCCATATAAACAGAAAAAACATCTATTGCCCCATATAAACAAAAAAAACACATCTTTTGCCCCATATAAACAGAAAAAAAAATCTATTGCCCGATATAAACATAAAAAAACATCTATTGTCCCATATAAACAGAAAAAAACATCTTTTGTCCCATATAAACAGAAAAAAAACATTTATTGCCCCATATAAACAGAAAAAAAACATCTATTGCCCCATATAAACAGAAAAAAACATCTATTGCCCCATATAAACAGAAAAAAACATCTATTGTCCCATATAAACAGAAAAAAACATCTATTGTCCCATATAAACAGAAAAAAAAACATCTATTGCCCCATATTAACAGGAAAAAAAACATCTATTGCCCCATATAAACAGAAAAAAATTTAAAATTACGATTAACATAGAATCAGAATATTTTTTACGATTCGCATTTTTAATGAAAGAACTGTTATTCACATTTCAGTGAGTCTTGAGTCTCAAAATACAGTTGAGTACCGTATTACAACGGTACTGCTTCGACCGCAGGATGGTTTAACTCAAAATCGTCAAAATATCTTAATTGGTCTGATGCTCCAGCACAAAACTTGTGAACACTTTATAAATATACGATTTTTTTGACCATATCCAATTTATGGTTTCTGTGTGAGCTAAATCTGTCATTACCTTAAACTCCAGAAGGTCGTACTTTTTCAAGAGGGATTCCTTTGGCATCTGACCTAGATATTATTATTTGAAAAAATTCACATTTGGCTGAAATGCGTTGAATTTGCCCCCCCCCTCTCTACAAAAAAAAAACAAAATAGAAAGGGACGATGGCAGAGTAATTTCAAGTGACAATGACAAGTGACAATTCCCAGTTCACAATGGTAACTTTAAGAATTAATTAGATATCAATGTATATCATTTTTAACTGTGGTTTCTCTACAAAAGTGACTTGGGCATTTCTTTGTCAAGAGTTATCAGGATTGAACACTTTTAAACATTGAAAAACGACAATATCTTCCACATAATTGATCAGATAAAGGTGTCAAGCAAGGGTATCGTTGTGGATCGGACATTGTCCTCTTTGCCTGGAGGGTCCCATTCAATAATTTGAATCCTACCAAGAAGCATCTTGACCGGAATGAGGTATATGAGGATCAACTTCTTATTCTTCTTCATCCTCTGATCACATTTCTCAAATGCATATCTGGATAGATCACGCAGTTCAAATTGATGCTGTATCTTTGAAGAGCTACGCACATCCGCTATACTAAACTTCTGACCTACACTCTTGAGGTTTTACAACTGCTATTTGAGATGTGGCCGTAACGCAAAGCCCCCTAGCCTCTTTTAGCCGTTCGATCGTCCCCCTTTCCTATTCTTGTTGCAGCGCTCGGGCCAGCAATTGTCTTGACCTAACATAACCAATAAAAAATTAATATCTGTCGTAGGTCAGATATTGCAGCAGATCGGAAAGTTAGTTGGTCAGAATTTCAGTAAACGGAATGTTGCATACAGACGTTGTAACTTAACCGTTAAAGTACTTTAAAGTCATTAAAACTAAATAAGTTCATAAAAACTTTAAACGTAGAGTATTCGATTATTCCCTTATATAATTCGACTTAATGATTTAGTGAACAAAAATACAAAATACAAATGGAACTGAGATTTATTTTTATTTAAAACTTCAATTTAAACTATCTAATTATTATGACATAATTTGAACTGAAGATTTCCTTAGGTACTCTTCCGCCTCTCTGAAGTTGTAGTCAAACATATACTTCCGCCCCACATAGTACCTAAACATAGACATATACTTCCGCCCCACATAGTACCTAAACATAGACATATACTTCCGCCCCACATAGTAACTAAACATAGACATATACTTCCGCCCCTCATAGTACCTAAATATACACATATACTTCCGCCCCTCATAGTACCTAAATATACACATATACTTCCGCCCCACATAGTACCTAAACATACACATATACTTCCGCCCCACATAGTACCTAAATATACACATATACTTCCGCCTCACATAGTACCTAAATATTCCCATATACTTCCGCCCCACATAGTACCTAAATATACACATATACTTCCGCCCCACATAGTACCTAAATATACACATATACTTAGGCCTCAAATAGAGTACCAAATTCCTAAACGTACATATAATATAATTAAAAGAGATATTTTCAACACAATTTATAATTTTTTAATCTTTATGCCGAAATGAAATTGACAAAAAGCTTTTTTAATTGTAAATGGTGTTGTTACCTGTAGGTTACTAACTGAGACTTCTTAAACCTATCTTTAAAAGCTGAAGATTCAATGGCTCTGAGAAAATTCAACTCATGGAACAAAAATACAAGAATTTAAAGATAAATTGTGATATTTGAAAAACCCACATTTTTATACTTTTTCTAGCAACAATTTTAGCTTTTCAATGTTGCTGTTGTCAAGTGGCCTGAGCTGAAAACTTTAGAATGGTGGATATCAGGATTAAGGCTTAAACCACTATTTTCAAACTAAGTTTCTTAATATCCAGTTTAAATATTGCTTGTTCTCCACATGAATTTAAACTCCAGAGAAGTTAACCGATCGGATATCTGGATATTTCATTCTAAAGTTTTCAGCTCAGTTTTCTTTCGTAATTGGAAAACCCAACATTTTGCGGATTTTTTATGAACATTGAGTGATTTCAACATTTTTTAAAATATTACTTTGTTAATATAAAGATAACCAAAGTAATAGTGAGTGAGTACATACAGGTTGAGATTCCAGAGACGACTGTACGGAATTTATTAAGTCTTTGACCTTACACTTAAGGTTTTATGCGGCTTTAAACTAATTTATCGTCATAGTAGAAGTCTCTTCCTTTGAGGGACACCCTGTAAGTTTAAAATTTACGTAAACACAGTACAATCAATATAATAAAGCTCTTATATTTATGTGTCCTCTGGCTGGCTGGCCCACTGGACCAAATAGGCTGAATTTTTTTAAGGAAACCCGTGGCTACCCTGGGGGTAAAATTGTTTTTTTTTGCATTTTAATTTCTACGGGTAACGCCGGGCATCAGCTAAAAAAAAAATTTAATACATAGCGCGGTTGAACAGCGGGATTACCTATGACTATAATTAAAAATATAAACCTGGACAACACCGGGTTTCCAAGATAGTTGTAAATTAACCAGTACATGAGCTGAATCCCTGATGAGAGGTTTGCAGAGATGAAGTTTATTTACTTTAAAATAGATCTTGAACAGCTGGTTCACAAGATTCAGCATTCCCCATCTTAACAATTATTAATAGAAATTTTTAAAACAATATTTTTCGGAAATAAGTAAATCCTACAAATTAGCGTTACTTTTCTTTGAAACTGGGTAACTACTGTTTTTTATTTACTTTTACATTCAGCATAAAATTTAAATCTATTTTTATTTTTTATGTCAACAAGTAAACGTGCTCCTATGGCGTACTCAGGAATTTGTCCAGGGGAGGGATGAGTACATCTTTAAACCCATAATAATTTTTTAGGTTAGAAAAATTATCTCACTTCTTTGACAGTTCTTCTGCTGATCTAGCATCAGCAGCACAGACCCTGAAACAGGCCATTATCCCCTCACTAGCTTTCTCCAGAGTTTGTCCTGTGTTGTTCTTCCCACCCTTCGTCTTCTGCTGGTCAGCTCGTAGAGCAAACTTACGCAGGTCCAGGCACACAACCTTCAATCAATCAATCAATTTTAAAATCAATTTTAAAACTTAATAAAATGAATACCTTACAATTATAAAACCAATCGGTTTGAGTTCAATGTGAATTTTATCAGTTAAGTGGACTGTGAGCCTTTTTTTAAAGTGACCCTCCATACAAAGATGACAATGCCCGGTTTACAACGATACCATTAAAAGCTTTTCCCGATCAAGTATGAATTATTTATTAATATTAAATTTGTTTGCTCATTTCTACTGCAGTAAATCATATGGAAACTATTTTTCTTTTATAGATCAGACAAAGCTTTTAAGGGTATCCATAACTATATAATGTACGACAAAATGTCAATATTAACAGCAGCAAACATTTTAAAAGATAACAATTTAAAAAAATCCGTGATACAGAATTGTTTTTAGCCAAGTAAGATCATTCTAACTTTGGCCTAAGATAATCAATTTTTAATTACATAGAAAGAAAACAGAAATTTCGCTACTCTGAATTTATATCTTGCAAATTTTTCTACTTTTCTACCTGCATAACAGGAAGCAGCCAATTTTCATCTTTACATGAGCTGAGCAGTCGGGCGAAGCTGTTAACAACTATTTCTTGGCATTTGAAAGCTTCTGTGAACTCTAAATGTAAAAGTTAATTACAAAAATCCGCAAAAAATCTCGGTTTATTTTAACGCTTTTTTACCTGAGTTTGCCCAAGCCCAGCAAGCGCGCAAATGCGCCGCAACCATTTCATCAAGAGGCTGATCGATCACGCGCTCTACTGCAGCCTCAGGCTCTTGAACCTATCATAGATCAAATTAGACACATCAATCAATCAATCAATCAATCAATCAATCAATCAGGTTTTTGTCGTTTTTTTAAGTTAAAAAGTGCTTAATTCTGATAATTTATTTATGTTTTCCCAAAGCATAAATCACAATTAAAAATAATCAGTTTTCAAAATTAATTTTAATAAACATTGATTACTAATTCATGCCTGATCAGACAAAACTGTTCAGGGTACTGTGGTGAATCGGACTTTGCCCTTTACAACAAATAATAATCAATAAATTTAGTCCAGAAGAGTTGACCTGGAGCCTGCTGTTGGCAATATGACTGTCCTCGAAAGAGAGAAGAATAGAGAGATTGAATCCATCGTAGTTTTCATAAGCAACAGCAACCTACAACAACAATTATAATTTAATTTAAATTTTAATATTTAGAAGAATTAAACTAATTAATCTTTAATTTCATCGTAACATAAAGACAGAAAAAGTAAAAACTAGACTGAGCTAGGAACTTTTAAGCTGGATACTCATAATCTCGATCTATTGATCTCGATATCCACTGTGAGCAATTTTAATATTGAGGATCAATGCTTAATCTCTTCATTTTAGTAACCGTATAGGGTAGGATTACCATGCGGGATATCGAATAAAGTTTAATCTAATCTGCAGAACAAAAGATCAACCATTGATCTCGATATCCACAACGCACAAGTTCCCAGCTCAGAGAAGAAATAAGATTATTTGAAAATCAGATTTTTATTAAACATCACGATGCAATCCAACAGGAAGACTTTTAAAAATGTTGGCAAAATATTTTGTTTTAACTTTTTCACATTTTTCATCTATCCAATTTATATTTTTTGGGGGGAGGGGGTAGGGGGCTTTTTAACAAAAATCCTTTTAAAAAATATGTTATACCTTTGAGAGGTAAGCATTTAAAGAGATTCCCGTCATCTTAAATCTGAAAACATTTATATATTTCAAAAAATATAAAAATTTAGCAAAATTTCGAAAGTTATTTAATTAGATCTGGGAATTCCGTTGAATATGAAAACAATGCCTTAATTTCTTGAACAAATCCATTTTCAAAGAATTAGAATTTATGAATCCCAAGATAAATCTGAAAGAACTTCTTCTACGGGGGTGAGGACTCCGTGAGCTTTGCAAAATCTATCACGTCGCCATGCTTCTTCTTGTCAAATATAACCAGTCTCCTATCCTTGTACTTCTCAGGAGCTGGAACAACAAATAAAATTAAATAAATTCTAAGGCCATTCCTTTTAAACGAAGTCTGTTCTTTTGAGATACTTTGAGTGACGATAGATTGGCCTCTAGATGTCTCATGTAAGTTTATTATCTGATAGATAAATAACTAATGTTGAAAAGAAAAATCCTCTGAACAACAAACAAACAATGTATACATACACAAAGTACGTTTTCTTCCAAGTGCTACAATGCTATAACAGATGACGTTTCAGATTGTGTGCGTCACACTTATCTCTCGCGTCCCAATTATCTATCTATCAGATAAGAATCTTGCGTGCGTCATCTAGGGGCCAAGCTATCGTCCGTCTTTCGGGACTTTCGGGCGGAACCTTGTTATTTCAGAAAACGTACGAAGGATGAACTACAAAAAAATAACAATTTAAAGCGAACCAAAAACCCTTTGAATAATGAATATAACGAAATACGGATAATTATTGAATCCTCCATAATTTCATATTTATAGGGAATCAGGAATGAAAATTAAAGAAATTAGGAATGAAAATTTAAAAAATTAACAAATTACGTTATTATCTGAACTCTTATGGTAGGTATAATCTTGAACTTTGTACATGTAGGGGCGGGGGGGGGGGGGTCTGATACTTTTAATCTAATAAATCTCTTAAAACTAAAATTACCTAATTGTGTAGATTCCCTGACCTCTAGGTCTGCTCTGACCGCTGACCAAACTCCGTCATCTGTTGAAGTGTACAGATGATAAAATCCATTCCCATTAGGACCCTTAACATACAAATATCTATGCATAAATTTAGCTTGACTGTCGCTATTTGTATCTAATAAACGTCAAAAAGACTGAAACGAAAGGGCTAAAATGTTATTGAAATGGCCCCTAACACAGCAACAGCTAAACGCTAAAGTATTAAACTGAATTAGGGGGCGCAAAACACATTTAAAGTCTGTTTGCAGATATGTATACAATACATATACAATGTTTTTTAAATACAATCTTCTAAATAATAAATTACATGGAAATATATACTTTCTTTTAATATTTTAAAAAAATTCCCCACCCCCTTCCCCTTAATTTTCTTACTACTAAGGCGAGGATAATTCTTAAATTAAATAAACAAAGAAACCTACCTTTACTGGGATTTTATAAATAGTCTGATTTTCCTTTTTAATAAGAGAATTTACATCAGAAGAATCTATTTTAAAATCCTGAAAATAAACAAAATATCACTGTATAAAATTTGTTCTAAAGAGACGCCAAAGCAGTTTTAAGTAACCCTATATTTGAGAAGTGTCAAGTACAATTAACAACGGTACCCTTTTAACCGTTATCTGGGTAATATAATAAGTCATGATATCATCCTTCGTCGTGTCTAATTTATAAATGGTGAGAATTCTGTGGTAGAAAGCAGAAAGAAAACAAACAGTTGAAAATTATCAATTTTCAGAGAGAAAACAAGAATTTCTTTAAAATCCTTGGTTTGAAAAATATTTGAAGGGCACCGTTGTGAATCGGAAATTGCGCTTTTACATAAAGGGTAAATTTAAAAATAGCCTGACATTGTCTTTAAGAATTTAGATCACCTTTATAGGGTTTCCTAAAATATGGAGTGCCCCTGGATTCTTCTTTAGTATTATTAACGCACTTTTCACGACGGGGGTCTCCTACTTTATAATCAATTTCTTTTAAATTATGTCTTCTTTTATACTTAATTACAAATATAATTTGTTCGTTTGTTTATATCTATCAAATTAAACGCCGAACCGATTAAATTAAAACCCGATGGGTGATTTGATATGACCCCGGAGTAACCCTACCGTCAACATTTGAACATTTCCGAAATCCCCCCAAAAAAATTGAAAATCTGCAAAAATTATTTTGTTTTTTTAAAAACTTATGCTGACCCCAATTTTTTTAAATAGGCAAATTACATCAAGATCTCTGAAAGTCAAGAGTAAAAATACGTCAAGATCTCTGAAAGTCTAGAGTATAAATACGTCAAGATCTCTGAAAGTCATATATCATTAAGAAATTATTTCCCTTAAACTTATTTTGCAGTCTAGAATTGATGTTTAATCCAGCAAGACCTAAATAAATCAATTATCACAATGTATTATATGTCTGAAAGCTTAACTTCATGCGAAGACCGATTCAAAAAGGTATCATTAAATGCTTTATTTTATCAAGTTAGGTTACTAATTTCTGATTACATTAATTATGATTTATCTACTAAAGTGACTTCCGCATTTCCACTTCAGGGAAACATTCAGCAATTATCAGAATTAACCACTTTTTAACCCAGAAAAACGGCAATTTTTCCACAATGTTGATCAGATAAAGATTTTAAAGGCCCTGCTGTCATTTGGACATTGTATCTTTGCATTGAGGTAAACTTTAACACGTACAGTCCCTTTAATAAAGGAAATATTCACTTAAATAATCAATTTAGCAATCAACCTATTTATTTTTTTATCAAATATTATGAAGCCTATCCAATCTTAAACAATATTCAAACACAATTATTTTATTTTTCTTTATTTTATAACTTTATGCTAAGCGAAACTTTTTTTTCTAATATCTTACAGGTCTTGAAATTTCTAGCTCATTTAAACACCGTAAATAAAATTCAAACTATTATTTAACCTACTATCATTCCTCCGACTCCCGCTATTCCCATTAAATCACGATTAGAAAATCGCCGAAAAAACATTTTGATCTGAAAATTCTAGGTCTAATCGTCTTTATGTCGTTTGAAAAATCAAAACAAATATAATAAAATCAGACAAATCACAGATAGTATCTAATGGACGGAACAAATGTCAATATTTAAAATCTTATTATAACTAAAATGTGAACATAACTAATGTTACAATAAGAGATAAAAAGTTATTAAAATTAATATGCAACCATTAATCAAAAAATTTTAATAATTGTGCGTGCAAGAAACTTGAAAACATGGTATTTTAAGTGTTTAATCATAAGAAATGCACAAGAAATGATGAAGATTGATTTATCAGGATTTCCAAACTACTGTGATTGTACTTCAATAGAGTATTGTAGCCACTTCGCCATTTTGTTCCTTTAATCAGCTGTCTTTCTGATTGGCGCCATTGTGTTCATAAAATCAGCTGAATTTCTAGCTAACGCCATTTTGTAACTAAATCAGCCATTTTATTCTTAATTACAATGATTTACCAATGCGCTTCCAGCTTTTCTGCAGTTTTCTGGATAAAATCCTGGAATTAAAAAGGTGAGTGTGAAACAATCCTGATTCTGAAAATTATAAATATGAACATTTCATAAAGGTATTAAGTAATTGCCACAAACTTTGATTTTCTAATACCTTTATCATTGTAACCTAATGTCGTATACCTTTAATATTTCAAACTATGAATTTTGTTAGATCAAATAATTTAAGCTTGAAATATCTAAGGTTTACGCCCTCAGGTTGCAAAGATATTAAGATTAGAAAATTTGAGTTTGTTGCAAAGACTCAATTCCTTTGGAAAACGTGATCTTACAATTTTAAAAATGTTTTAAATTAAAGAAGAAGAATTGATTTAGAGTTTTCAGCACAACGTGGAAGTTTATTATTTTATTACTAACCTTATGACTAGCGTACAAAGTTATCATTCCACTTATAGGTTTCCATTCAAGGCTCCTATAATTATGTTTTTGAACTGTTTTGCAAAAATTATGGAAAAATAATTCAACTATTTATAATTTGGGTAAATCTAAATTTCTAAAAATCTTTTGATATACAATTAATGTAACCAGTAAAAGGTCAATTTCCATACTCTACATGAAATTCAACTAGACTAGACTAAAAAGTCAAAACTACTTTGACCTTATTAAAGGTTTTATTTGTATTCTACTAATTTCGTATACAGGGTTACCCTCAAAGAATGAGATATAAAAGACGCCTGTTTGTAATTTGTACTGTCAGCTTCCTTATTTTTAAACTTGTTTCTTTCGTTTGCAAATCATTTATTAATTAAAGGACTTTATTAAAGAGAAACCACTTAATTTAACCCACACAACAGTTCCCAGCTCAGGATAGATACTTTGGAAGTAATTCTATTATTTACTAACTTTGCATCATCCCCAGCCTTGAGTTGCCATCTCCCAACCTTCTCCCCTGTATCATCGTGAAAGTTGACCGCTACAGTTTCCATCCACGCGTTATCTGTATTCCTGAAGGTCAAGAGTCGAAGTAATTTCAATACCCTTAAAATGGTGTTAGGTACTTTCCCAAAGGCGACTTCCCAAGTGACAATTTCGCAAGTGGCAACTTCCCAAATGTGCAATTTCCCAAACGGCAATTTCACAAACGTTAGGGAAGTTGCTAGTTGGGAAAAATCCTTTGGGAAAGTACCTAACATTCTTAAAACTAGGGCTAGGCAACGTTCCATTAACGAACGGCAAATTTTGAAATCGTTAACAAACGGAAATTACCGTTCACGAGGACAAAATAACGGCGACAATCGTTAATTTTTTTCTTAAAATTGCAAGAATCTTAAAGAAAATAAGATAACATTGTATATTTTGAAATGTTTTTTTTTTAATTATGTTACATAATTAAATGTTTTGAAATGTTTAAATTTTGTATGAAGTCTTCTTGGAATATTCACCGCTATCCTTATTTTTATGTTTATTTTTTTTTCTCTCAGTCAAAATATTTAGCATAGTTAGGAAAGCAAATGTTTTCCAAGTTGATAATTTTAAATATTTACTTTTTCCCCTAGGCAGATAATAAAAGCAAACAAAAAAGTTGTTAAAACGATCTTTTTTCTTTGTTTTCCATTTTTAAGAATATTGCAAAGTTCAATAAAAGTAAACTTTAATAAAAGTAAACTGTAATAAAAGTAAACTTTAATAAAAGTAAACTTTAATAAAAGTAAACTTTACTAAAAGTAAACTTTACTAAAAGTAAACTTTACTAAAAGTAAACTTTAATAAAAGTAAACGTTCACAGTTTTGAACTGTTTGGAGTTTTTAAAAAACCAACCAACGATAAAAACACTAGTTATGTTCATAATAAAAATGCTAAATATTGCAATACCTTGGATCGTCAACATATCCTTTATATATTTCTTCTCCATTTAAGAAATATTCATCCAACATCTTTGCATTCTTTGCATTCTCTTCTCTAAAGATTAAATAGACTAACATTGAATTAATGCTCATTTTCTACATTAAAAAGTTGCAATCTTAGGCGAAATTTTTGTCGCTTTTTCAAAAGACATTTTGTTATAATCACACTTTTATATTCACATCTTTTGTCCTAGCAACTATAAAATATGGTATAGTGCTTAAATAGCTTAATAAATCTCTTCTGCGGATCATATTTAGGACAAATTTCGTGATGTTATGCGACTCATTCTATGAATAAAAATTGCTTTTTACTTTTTTTAGTTTTTGTATTACTCCAAGGACCTATAAGGGTTTGTGGTAGGAGTTATAGTGGTTAAACATATAAAATCTGCATTGGAAGTTTCTCATTATTATTCTGTTAGTAAAACAAGGCAGATTTAATGCATGAAAGTATGAATATATATTCAAAGATGGGTCTCTGTTATTTTTTTTAAAGGCATGTTATCATTTGATGTTAAAAATATTCTTTTCTAATTTTTGGGAATTTTTACCTAAAATTAGTTTATTTTGTGTTCAATATAAAATAGAATTACTCGTTTTTAGTGGTAGAGTCCATAGCTTCCTCCATAAATTCTCTTTTAAGTGTAGCCGACACTGTTTCTCCAGGATCTACCATCCCTCCTGGAAGTTGCAAAATTCAACTAATTACAGAGACACCTAGTGGTTACTTTAAAAACTTATTAGTAAAGAGGTTTATCCGAACCTGGAATAGCCCAACCGCCGCCATCTTTTCTTTCAATGCTGACAAACTCGAGGATTTTCCTCCCAGTACTCTGGTTTATTTCCACCACTCCTTCCTTATTCCTTCTCCAACTCAAATAATAGTGTTCCCGAATAATGATTTGAAAAAAAGACCAAAAAGATATGAAAAAATACCCCCCTCCCCATCCCAACATCTTACCGAGTGACTATTGGATCGGCAGCATGATTGGGACCCCATCTTCCTAACACACCTCGACCCTATATTAATTAGTCAATCAATTTCCTAATTTATCAATCAATCAACCAATTTAATATTTTATAAATCAGACAATGAGTCTACTAATTCATCAATCAATCAATCAATCTAGTTATGATTCAATCAATCATTTTGAAATAAATACATCAATCAATCAATCAATTATTCATTTAATTGGTCAAACAATCAATCAAGAACTCAACCTATTAAAAAGATGTCAATTGAATTAAGAATTTTTCAAGCAACAAGGGTCAAACTATCGTCCAATAATTCGACTACAATATTGTAAACCTGAATTCCTGTTCTTCCTTCAGGGTTTCTAGGAGCCCCATCCACAACACTGTATTCGCCATTAAAACTTTTCCTGTAAGAAAACCAAGATGACTGTTCCTTTAAATTATCATGCAAAATTTTTATTCTCATCCAAGTGCGTTGTCAGCTTGTCATTCTTCACAAAACATTCGTGGATTTCTACAACCCAAAAAGTGTCTCAGATTTTTCCAACAAGATTTGAATATGAAAAAAGAAATAAAAAAATTGCTGAGGACGGTCAGAGAGGCTCTTAGATCAATTATGATTTTCATAGATTTAATTAAATCTGTTTTTCCTGGTGAGATAAAATGAAATAAGCCAATAAAATACAGAGGTCGAAATTAATGAATAGAGAGAAATTAGGTCAACCACTCCTCTTCTTGAATTCCGAACTCTAGTCGCACAATTTAAAGAAACTGTTAGCGTAATTACAAAGATGGCAATGCCCGATTTACAACGGTACCCTTGAAACCTCAATATGATCAAAAATGTAAGAGTAACTGTATTTGTTCAAACTCAAAAGGTGTTAAATTCTGACATTTTCTCCATTGCTTCTTAAAAGCAAGAAATGAGCAAGTCACTTTAGCAAAGAAGCCACAAATGAAAATAAACAGCTTAAAGAATAAAACAATGATATACAATTAAAACTTGACAGGCAAAGCTTTTAAGGCTAGTTGTAAATCGGGCATTGTCATCTTTGAACGGGGGGGGGGGGCAATTGAAACGATACTTTGTACTGTTCCTTAAATTCACCTGTTTACTTTCCCATCCACACTGTTCCATTTTGGATCAAATCCTATATAGTAAAATAAAATAATTTTTAAATGTAAAAAAAATTACTGATGAAATTTTTGCCTTCATGGCTTGTTTTATTAAAAGTTTACGCAGCGGATAGCATTGCTTGAATCCGGATCCAACAGTTTTTGGGTTTTTGAATCCGGATCCGCAAAAATATGCGGATCCACAGATCCAGATCAAAGGGCAAAATAGCAACCAAAAACTGCAACAATATCCCCTAATTCAGGAGTCACATGTATATATGTTTTTTAGAATAACCCCCTCCCCCGGCGAAAATTAAAAAGTTGACATCAACTAGAAGGTTTTACCCCTTCTATATATTTCTAAAATAATCAATCTAAAAATATTTTAGAGGAGGGGAGAAGGGGAGTGATATATTATACAAAATATACACCCCTGTAGATCCCTACCTGGAGTCCCTAGGGGTGGATCCGCCCATGTGGCGGTTAGCACAAAGGGAGCTGTGAACTCTACAGGTTTATAATCTTCCCAAACCTCACTCCAGTTAACCTGAAAGCATAAAGTAATTGGACGGCTTTATGGTGTCAACTACTTCCACTCAGGCATAAAAGCATCATCCATCTTCTTCAGAAGGAGACAGGATTGTGGACAGGGTGTATAATAATTAATAGATAAGTCAACAGGGTTACCCATAAAGGATGAGACTGTAATGACAACCCAAAACTCTTTAATATGACGATTCCAAGGTTAAATTAGTTGATGAATGTGCAAAAAAAGAAACTAGTTTATAGTTACAGGGGGGTCCGTCCTAGTATACGATTTTTGGACGAAATGAATTTTATTAATTAAGGATTTACTACCTTGTCCTCAGGAACCGATGTCCTTGTTACAACCGTGTCCTCATTCATCCGAACCGGGTATATACTTGTCCTAGCCTTGATATGCATCTTACAAACCTAGATAATAGATATATACTTGTCCTAGCCTTGCATCTTGCAACCCTAGATATGTACTTGTCCTAGCCTTTATATGCATCTTACAAATCTAGATATTAGATATATACTTGTCCTAGCCTTGCATCTTGCAACCCTAGATATATACTTGTCCTAGCCTTGATGTGCATCTTGCAAACCTAAATATATACTTGACCTAGCCTTGATATGCATTATACATCTTGCAAATCTATATATATACTTGTCCTAGCCTTGATATGCATAATGCATCTTGAAAACCTAGATATATACTTGTTCTAGCCTTGATATGCATTATGCATCTTGCAAACCTAAATATATACTTGTCCTGGCCTTGATATGCATCTTGAAAACCTAGATATATACTTGTCCTTCCCTTGATATGCATCTTGCAAACCTTTATATATACTTGCTTGATGTGCATCTTGCCTAGATATTTACTAGTCCTAGCCTTGATACACATCTTACAAATCTAGAAATATACTTGTCCTAGCCTTGAACTTCTTCAAGCATAAATATATACTTGTCCTAGCCTTGATACGCATCTTACAAACCTAGAAATATACTTGTCCTAGCCTTGAAAGACATCTTATTCTTGCTTAGATATAAACTTGTCCTAGCCTTGATATGCATCTTACAAACCTTGAAATATACTTGTCCTAGCTTTGAACTTCTTCAAGCATAAATATATCCTTGTCCTACCCTTGATACGCATCTTACAAACCTAGAAATATACTTGTCCTAGCCTTGAACTTCTTCAAGCACAAATATATACTTGTCCTTGCCTTGATATGCAGCTTACAAACCTTGAAATATACTTGTCCTAGCCTTGATATGCATTTTATAAACATAGATATATACTTGTCCTAGCCTTGACATGCATCTTACAAACCTTGATATAATATTGCCTTAGCCTTGATGTTCTTCTAACATAGATATACATATGTTGAATTAAACAATACATATATATTTCTTACATTTTACCTGAAAATATTCTGGACGGAGGAGTCCTCTAAATTAAATATTTTTAATATTTAGAATTATCAACCTAACAATACCGTCCTTTATGCTATGAAAGGGGTATTTTTTTCTTAAAAATCATTTTTTTCTCAATCCCCATTTAAAAAACCATTTTACCCCCCAAATGATGGGAATGCAAAATTGGTTGAAGTTTTATTCGCTAAGTTGGGGTCAGAAAAACTAACAATGAGGTTCAAAACTTTATTCCACCTCACCCCCTTTTCTTCCCATGAGCCTCAAAATAAATTTTCTTGAATGTGTTTACCCCTCTATCTTGATCTAACTCCCAAGTGTCTATTAATTCATAGGTGAGGGTCAATTTTAACATTTAACAATAAAAAAATCTAAGTTCTAGAGCATTTTTTTAAATTTTTACTTTACGTTTTCTTCTTTTTTATCTGCGGTGAAAACCGGTACAGTGAGAATCAGAAACCCCTAGAACAGGAAGACGACTTACAGACTTAAGTTATGATTTAAAACCCAGCATGCCATAAAATAGGGGTCGTCATAAGACGCAGCAATTGTTTAATTTAACAGACCCCATGAATTTTATTTAATTAAGTAAGTTACAAGAAAAATTGTTTTCTTTGTTACAAAATCAAATACAAGGAAGCATTGTTTTAATGTCGTCTTTATATAGCACAGTTTAAAGGTAATATTAGGACGAATATACCTGATATAGTTGTGTAAACTGTTTACTCCAATTCCAACTTCAATCAACTGTCTACAACATAAAACTAGTAGATAAAGGGAATATTAAAAAAATGTTTCTATACTGAAAATTTTTGTTAATCAAAGATAAAATCAGAATGTTCGCTAAGAAGTATTTTTTTCTCTATGTTCAATTAAATTTGCAGTTGCAAAATTTTCCGGATTTTCCTTTAAGTGAATATTTTCCGATCTGTGACTAATAACCAACTTATCAATTTAGTAAAAAATAAAAAATAAAACAATAAAAGATGCAAAAAAGTATGAATCGAACGAACAGACTAGAGCGGTATAATATGTTACATATACAAAATTGGTCCCGGGGTATATCTTTGCTTTAAAATCATTTCTCCAGATTTTGGGGGAAATAAATGATTTAAATTTATATTATTCAAAGCTTTTTGACAACTACGCAGTTCGCCTCAAACTCAAATTTGCAACCAAATATTCTTAACAATTCTGCAAAATCACATTTATAAGTTTGAAAGGAGCAAATGAGTATTGAAAAGGAATGAAAAGATGGATGAATGAGGATGAAATCAATGGATGAATGAGGATGAAATCAATGGATGAATGAGGATGAAATCAATGGATGAATGAGGATGAAATCAATGGATGGATGAATGAGGATGAAATCAATGGATGAATGAGGATGAAATCAATGAATGAATGAGGATGAATACAAACCTAAATAAGCAAGTTACAGAAGTGTAGCTTTAACTTAACTTCAATGTGGCCTGAATCATTGAGAAAATGAGAATGATAAAAAGGATGAATGAATGGGACGAATAAATGAATGAGGACTTTAAGGGCGCTTCGCCCTCATCTTCTATTTTTATTGTGAACATGTTCTCTCTGTGTATTTTAACTAAAAATTTCGTGAATTTTCTAAAATTTAATGAACATCGAATTTTGATAGGAGACAAATATTTGAAATTTTTATCATTCATAAACCTTCCTGGGGCCACGTGAGGTCCCACACAAAATTTGGGCCTGATAGGTTTAGTCATTTATTATATACAAACAAACAGACAGCCACCCAAGCTAAGCTTACACACAAATGGCCCCTCAAAGATGTTGATTGTGGAGAGCTGAATCATTATAAGCTCACCCTCTACACACACTTGCAACTAGTAAACAGAGAGTCTTCGTCAACATTCGTCCCCGCACATTTTTCTGAAATTAAAAACCGTGGCATTCTCTTCTAAAATCATTCATTGATCATCTTTCAGTTGAAAGTGGTTTTTTAAAAGTATTTTGGAGAAATATTATTTTCTCTTTTTTCTCTTTCTTTTACCTTTTTTAAACATTCCGAATTTAATTCCAAATTTTTTGTTATCTCTGTTCTGGCTCATGTCATTTTTTTCTATTGAAATTTTAAAGAAAATATCTTGGAATATAGATTATTTAGCTACAAATCAAGATCTTCTTGAATTGAAATTTTACTTTAAAAAATAATTTAATTTTTAAATTTTTAAAATTTAACCAGACTAACATAAGAGAGGCCGGAAGATAAAACTTTTTTGTTTGAGCATATTACAAGTATTTAAAAATAAATTTATTTAATTTATATATATTTATTTCTGTCACCTAGATAACAAAGGATAAATCAACTAGTAGAGAAGATTCATTTTATTATTAATCAAATACATAATTATTAATACCCTAACAATATTTATTACTTATTCTATGCTTGCCTTTAAATGTTAGGTTTTTATAAAGTTTTCTTGAATAATGATAAAATATTTAGTTTCATAGTTTGTTAATTCAAAAAATATACAATTAAAATTTTGTTTTGTTAAAACAAACTTAAAAATCAACGTTTTACAAGATTCAAGATTGTTATCCAGTGTAGAGTCGACAGTCACCATAACCTTCACTAGTCACCAATTTTAATGATTAAAATTCTATGATTTATATGTAAAGAAACAAGTGTTTGGAAACTCTCTCCCCCCCCCCCGAGCCAAATAATTGTATTGCAAAATATTTTCCTTTCCTTTTATAAGACAGTTTTTGATCCCGTATATCACATATTTTGCCCAATGATGCCCATTTTCAAAAATCAAAAAGAAAAAAACAATATTTTAGCGAAAAAGAAGATTTTTTACTACGCAAATAATTATCGATTAAAATTCCTGAGTTTTTAGAATCCCTTCTCTTGAGTTTAACTGGAGAATCCTTTGTCTTTAAGTTTACTAAGAAGCTCGGGAACATCAGCTACAGTTTGACCAGCCTCGCGCACAGGAGGGTCAAGCACAGATACAATCTAATTAATCAACTGAAAGGGACTGTAAGCGTGATTCTCCTCCATGCAAAGATGGCAATGCCCGTTGTGAATCTGGCATTAGCATCCTAGCATGGAGAACTACTTTAAACTACGCTTACAGTCCCTTTAATTCAATTCAGAACAAGAACCAAATCTTTTTCAAAATATATCAATATGAAAATGAGACCAAGTGGTTGTTAAATATAATCCAATCTAGTCAAATATTTTAACTGGTAGACTTATCATTAGAAAATAGCTCTTTGACGTGTTTTTTATAACTTTCCCGTTAAAAAAAATGTTGAAAGGCATTCCCCTTCCCCGGTCCCCATACCTCTATTCTGGCTCCCAGGTCTACTCCTAAATCTGCGGCAGAAATTTTGTCAATCTTCTTCTTTTTAGCCTGTAAACATCAAACATATCTTGCTTTCAATAATTGTAAGACTCAAAATATCAATAAACTCATGTTCACTTCAGGATTACTAACAAAGGATGAATAAAGACGACCTGAAACGCATTAAATAGAACAATCCAAGGTTATATTAAGTCTTCTTCCTTGAATATCGTCTTCTAATGGCTTATTTGATAATTTGGCAAGAAACAAGTTTACAGTTAGTTACATGACCGTGAATATAAGGATAATGGAAACAGACAGTATAATCTCCGTACAGTCGTCTCAACCGTTAATCTAAGATTCTAGGGCGTCGGAAGCACGCCAGAGTACTTGTTTCATCTCTGGTTCGTGTATAAAGTACAAAGTATAAAGTTTTCCGTCGGATTTTAAAACTTTAAAGCAACATTATTACGACTTACACAATTATCCCCCAAAACAACGTGAGCGGCCGAGCCTTCTTTGACTTTAATAAGAGGTTTATGGTGAAAACTCATTTTCCCCACTCAGCATTCTCATGTGGGGGCGAAGTGGCACAGGCGTGAGAAATCTATACAATAAAAAAAGACATTCGTAAATATATATATAGCCGGCCAAACGGCTGGACCGATAGGGCTGAAATTTGTTGTGGACACTCATGGGTGGTCGAGGGGTGTTTTATTTTTTTCGAAATTTTTATTTTCATTTTTTTCAAAATAAATTTTTTTTTTCAAAGGAAACGCCGGGCCCTTCAGCTAGTTAAAATATAAAATAATGGGAATACTGACAGTGCAATTCTGAAAATAATTTTTGAATATTTATAAAAATTAAAAAATTTGAAAAATAAAATTGTTTGAAAATGCGACTGTTTCCTTCATAATATTGGGAAGTGTTGCGTATCTGGGTTCATTTAGTCGGAGGTCCGCTGAGAGAACACATGGTAGTTTTATCTAGAAAATAACACAAATATTAGTTTTAAATATTTATCATTTATAATTAACTTTTTAATTAATTCATTAGTATGGTATGCCCGATTCACAACCGTACCCTTATAACATTAACCTAGGCAACATCGATAAAACTTGTCATTTTTCTATAAAAATAAAGTGCTAAATTTTCTTTTTATTCATATTTATATTGCAAATATCCGCAATTAACATTTATACAGAAACTACAACTTTAAAATAGTTGGTTTAGATTGAAGGATATCTTCATTTTGTTCATACGAATGTTTGAAGGGTAAAGTTGTGAATTGGGCATGCCGCTTTGTAAATGGAAGGTCACTTCAAATTCAGTAAACAGTCCCTTCACTTACAGTCGTTATTGAGAAAAAAGAGAAAAAAATACATTTTCCAAATTCATTTTCATTCTGCGACATTTTGAAAGTGACACAAGGAAATTATACGAAAGTTGCAATCAGGAAATGTTAATTTTTTACAAAAATGCTTTGAAATTACATTAACTGCAATTAAGAGCTCCATCCACTTCTCTTAACCTCCAATATTTACCTAAATAATCTCCAAACCTCCATCCACTTATCTTAACCTCCAATATTTACCTTAATAATTTCCAAACCTCCATCTTCTTATCTTAACCTCCAATATTTACCTTAATAATCTCCAAACCTCCATCCACTTATCTCAACCTCCAATATTTACCTTAATAATCTCCAAACCTCCATTCACTTATCTTAACCTCCAATATTTACCTTAATAATCTCCAAACCTCCATCCACTTATCTTAACCTCCAATATTTACCTTAATAGTCTCCAGCCCTCCATCTACTTCTCTCTCAACCTCGAGAGTATCTCCATTCACATTCACTTTGGAGGCAAACACTCCCTAATTATGTAATACATAACACTAATTACTTAATACTTGCTAATGTTAATGTTAATGTTAATTATTCATACACAAACACCTAAAAAAGAACTATTAATAAATTATCCCCCCTCCAACCATTCTCCCCAAACACCCCTGATTAGACAGTAAGCAGTACAATACAATTATATAATAACATAAAGATTGTTGAATATTTTTTGTAATAATATTTTTCTTAATGGTCTTAAAGAAACTTAATAAAACACAATTCAGGGGTGTTAAATGTTTATTGTTTAAGAACTTTAAAATGATTTTTGAAGATCAAGGAGGGAAAACAATGAAAAATTGGACATCCAACGCAAATTCTCATCTTTTTTTACTTTTTACCCCATTTTTTTTTTGTTTTCCAATAAAACTATTATTATTTCTCCCAATTCAGCGAAAAAAACGCACTTCTAATAATAGTTACTTTTATAAGGAATTTTTCAAGAACACACCCCTGTGAAAACGTTACTACCCCCCCCCCCCTGGCCGGCTCCTTAAATACCTGTGCGCAGTCTAGAAGGGCGGCTGTCATCTGTGCTGTTTGATTGCTGTCATCATCAATAGCTTGTTTACCAAGGAGAACAAGATCAGCTGATTCTTTTTTAACAAGAGCTGCCAGGATCTTACTCACCTAGAAACACAGTTTGTATTATTAAGCAGTGATTAGGATCTGGATCCGAATCCGCAAAATATCCGGATCCACGAGGCAGAATATCAACCAAAAACTGCAAAAAAAAACTTTTTTACTCTCAAATCCCAAACCTGAACTGTTGTAAAAAGAGAGAATCTAAAAGTTTCCTGAACTCTGAATGGTTCATCAAGTTTTAGCGTACATTACAAATAACCAAAAAAAGAATAAAAATTATTTGACATTTATGTTTTGTTAAAACAAATTCAGTAAATCTAAAAGAAATGTTCATGACCCGGATCCGGATTCATTTTCTTCCAGCAGGATCCAGGATCCACATCAAAATTGAATGGATCCTAAGCACTGTTTTTGAGAAGGCAAAATAATTTCCGAAAAGTTTTGAAGAAATAAAAATTATTTATAATTCCCAATTATTTCATTTTTTTTGATAATTTTTAAACTTTTCGTTGCAAATACAGTAATATTTTACATTTCGTCATAAATAGTCAATCATAGTCATATAGAATTTTCGAAAAATCAATCTAATAAAAAAAATTTATATTATTCAAAGCTTTTTGACAACTACGCAGTTCGCCTCAAACTCAAATTTGCAACCAAATATTCTTAACAATTCTGCAAAATCACATTTAAAAGTTTGAAAGGAGCAAATGAGTATTGAAAAGGAATGAAAAGATGGATGAATGAGGATGAAATCAATGGATGAATGAGGATGAAATCAATGGATGAATGAGGATGAAATCAATGGATGAATGAGGATGAAATCAATGGATGGATGAATGAGGATGAAATCAATGGATGAATGAGGATGAAATCAATGAATGAATGAGGATGAATACAAACCTAAATAAGCAAGTTACAGAAGTGTAGCTTTAACTTAACTTCAATGTGGCCTGAATCATTGAGAAAATGAGAATGAAAAAAAGGATGAATGAATGGGACGAATAAATGAATGAGGATGAATGAATGGGATGAATAAATGAGGATGAATAAATGAACACTAACATGAAGAGGTTGCAGAAGTGCCATCTGAGCATCTGGGACTTCAATATGGATTCCACGATCTGCTCCCATGGCCAGCGCAGTTCTAATAGTTTCCTAAAGAAAAATGGTGAGATGACTAATAGTCATTGACTATAAGAAAGTTTGGAAGGATTTGTGCTTAAAATAGATCCTCTGTGATAATTTAAATTCGTATGCAATAAATGTTGTTGATTTTACCGATGTTTTTATATTGTTAATGGAACTCCAAATGCTTAAAAATAAAAATATCAATGAAATCAAATATGTACTGGCATCAATAAATTAATTAATCAATCAATTATTAAAAGAAAAAGGGCCGAAGAAATGAATCATTCAATCCACCAATCAATCAATCAATCAACCATTTATTAATAACTCGGCTGGATTGTGAAAATCATGCGAGTCAAAGAATGTCTTGGATTTTTTAAACTTTGCTGGACCATTTTTATCAAAAATGTCTCCTTTGACTTCTTGAAGGTATTTTGAGGCTAAACATTGACTTGCATGGGGTGGCTGACTGAAAAAGATTGACCCTGACATGTATTAACCATTTAACGAATTATTGAATCAATCAATGCAATGAACCAATTGAACAAGGAAAAAGTAAATGTATCAATCAATCAATCAATCAATTATTGAATTTACCTGGCTCTGAGTGGGTCCACAGCTGACAACAATAATCTCCTTAACCAGCTTCTTCTCCTTCATCCTTACCTAGATATTAAAGGGACTGTCAACGTATTTCAAGTGATCCTCTATGCAAAGATGGCAATGCAAAATTCACAACGGTACCCTTGAAAGTATTTTCTGATCAAGTATGAAATAGAAATCCATATGTTTAATTTTTAAAACTTTTGAATAGGGTACAGTTTTGTTTCGGACAATGCCATCTTTAATTGTAATATTGGGTCACTTGAAATTACGCTTACAGTCCCTTTAAGGTAGAATCTTAGAGGTAGTGGTGCGGGGGGGGGAGGGATTTTTCAGCAGGGAATGGAAGATTTTGGAATATAGGGGGGTTTCATANTCGACAATTTTAAAACAATTAATTTCAGTTTTTGTTTTCTGAACATTCAGACAATAATTATGCTCGAAATCTGTTCAAACTCGACAATTTTAAAACAATTAATTTCAGTTTTTGTTTTCTGAACATTCAGACAATAATTATGCTCGAAATCTGTTCAAACTCGACAATTTTAAAACAATTAATTTCAGTTTTTGTTTTCTGAACATTCAGACAATAATTAGTTAATGTTTGCTGGGGTGTAAATTTTTCCGAAAGAAGATTATTTTTAATGAATTGTGCAGAAAAAAAATAAAAGATGATGATATACATGAAGTTTATTCATTCTTTTTGATACTTTTTACCCAAAAATGTATCAGTTTATCCATGAAAATTATTATTTCCCCAGGTACAACGTCTAAACACCTAATATTCTTCTAGGGAACAAAAAAATTCAAAGGGGGATGATTTTTGGGAAAATCCCTGATAGCTAATGCTTACCGCCTCCTCCACTGCAATCTCGTCGAAGGGGTTCATGCTGTGCTTCACACCATCCGTCACAACTCCAAGTTTGTCAGGACGAACCCTAAATAATAAATATTATATTTAAAGGGACTGTAAGCGTAATTTCAAATGCCCTCCATTCGAAGATGACAATACCCGATTAAAAACGGTCCCCTTAAAACCCTAATCTGATAGTAAAATAAATATCGTATTTTGTAAGTAGCCAGTATAATTACGTAAAAACTAAAAAAGTGTGCATCCGGACCCATGTAGCTAAAAATTTTGTCCGGATTTACAGAACTGAATTATTGAATCCGGATCTAAGGAGCTAAAAACTATTGATCCGGATAAGCAGAGCTAATATATAAAATCCAAATCCAAGGACCTAAAATTAATAAATCCGGACCCACAGAGCGGAGTTTTTAAGTCCGAATCTTAATATTTTTTCACCTGATTTTGACTGCGTAGTCGATAACCCTCTTACAACCGACCAGAACTTTCATTGCCATTTTTAAAACTTAAATTTATCTAAAATATAATTTATACATATTTTATGGATAGCATTATTTGGGATTTAAAAACGAGAAACTAAACATACAAATAATAAAAATATCAAATTTTAAAGTGAAAGGAACTGTGAGCTTAATCCTAATCTTAAATGCCCCTCTATGCAAAGTTGGCATTGTCTGATTTACAACGGTACCCTTGAAACCTTAATCCGACCACAAATGTTGAAGATAACATCGTTTTCCCAACACGGAAAATCGTGTAAGCAAAAAAAAGCGCAAGTCACTTATTCCAAGGAACCCACAAATGAACATACAACAGTTAAAAGAAAGAAAAAAATGTATATTTAATTCAAACACTATCAGACAAAGCTCTAAAAATTGGGATTCCCATCTTTGCATGGAGGATTACTTGAAATTAAGCTTACAGTCCCTTTAAGGAACAGTTTCGTACAAATAGATTCCATAAACTTTTTTTAAAAATTATTTATATAAATTATTCCCATAATTTTCTTTCTGATTGTAACAAAACAATAACATTTAACATACTGGGCTAGTTATTATTTGAGGAGGGGAATGACAATACACACCAATATATTTAATAAAATGACATTCTACGAATATAGCCAATTATATTTAAAGGGTGGGCGCACAATAACACATCTCAGGGTTAAATCGTTAAATTTGAATCTATAACCTGGCAAGATTTTAAATGACAAATATTTAGAATTTTTTTCAACAACATGCCTCGCAGTTTTTTTTCTGACAACAATAATGCTCATTTAATACTGAATTTAGGAGGGAACGTGACATTTCTTAAATGCACTAAATAGACACTTTTTAACATCACACATGTTTAAATTTTTTAAGTGTTAAATGAAAATTTTTTAGTGTATATGCAGTAATATTTCAGAAAAGATTTGAAAATGAAAATTATTTGGGCTTATGTAAAATCAACTTTCAACATTTTCACAGATTTAAAGTGTATATTTTAACCACAAACCTTTTCAAAATCTAGAAATGAACAACATAAATTAATAAATTTATGCCCCCCCCCCCTCTCTCACAAAAAATATTCTTGGCAAAAAGTAAACCGAATGCCATATATTGGAGAAAAATATACACTTCTGTAAAATATAAAATATATATAGTAAAACTATTTCATCAAGCTATCATTCAATACCCCTAAGCTTGAAACTTTTAAACAGAAAGAATCAGTTTCAAGTCCTAATGAGTAAAACTTACCAGATCTTTTAAAAGTAGTTTGAAGTTTAATTTTTACGATTTACTAATTTCCTCCGATTAAATCTTCCCAGCTTTCAGTTTGAATTCTATGCTGTTTGTGAAAAATGCAAAATTTATTCTGTAAATCATTTCTTGTAATGTTTTTATTTACTGAATAATCTGAGGCTTGTCGTATATACCTCTGTAGAAAGTTTGATAGATTTTGTTTTGATGCAATTAGCGAACAAAAATCATGAATCTTGTTTATCTAATTTATCGGCATTAAAGGGACTGTAGGCATGATTTTGAGTCACCCTCCATGCAAAGATGGCAATGTCCGATTCACAACGGTATCTTTGAAACCTTTATTTAATCAATTATCTAATAGATAATGTCGTTTTTCTTTGTTTAATAGGGATTAATTCTTTTACAAAAGTGACTCGCAATGGAAATGCGCGAGTCAATTTTGTAAAAAAAAAACACAATAGAAAAGATCATTTTTACACTTGATCGGCAAAACTTACAAGGGAACCGTTGAGAATCGGCCATTGCCATCTTTGCATGCAGGGTCACTTAAATTTTCCTTACAGTCCCTTTAATGATTTAACCAACCCAAGGAATATCACTTTTCACTCCGCAGCAACGTTTGGTCACAGACTAGAAGGAGTTATACTCCGAAAAATCTACAGCTGGGTGGGGGCACTCTCCAATCTGTAATCTGTAGAGGGCCATGTTCGAAATGCCATGATAGTGCACAAACGCTCCCGCGATAACAAAGCAGTGGAAAAGCTGGTGTGAGTGGAATAAGATGTCTACTTTTCCCGGGAAAAACCGTTCAGGGATTCTAAATGCGTACAGAAGGGCTCCGGATATGTAGAGAGCACCCATTAGAATTAACCAGCCAAGCGCCGCCTCGTTGATAGATTTCTCCCACCCGTTGATGATCGAGTAGTGTGTCGCGGGGGCTATCCCAGAGAGCCCGAATGTGATGAAGACCCCGGCTCTAAACGGACGGTATCTAGGTGTCCCAAACTTGTCCCACAGACTCACAATGACCGCTAGCAGTCCGAGCAGGACTACAATACAGCAGTAAACTACTTTGGGAGTGTAACTACAGTAGAAACTGTAGTATAGCCAGGGCACAAAGCTACCAACAGTCAGAAATGCAATCCCACAATAATCAAACTTGGCAAAGAGTTTTCCGATAAACTTGTTTTGATGGCAGCAGACCGTATGGTATGTAAAGGATAGACCCATGCATACAATTGCTCCGGCAAAAAAGCTCATAAATACAAATTTCTCTTGAACCTCTATTTCCGTGGACGGCCTCATCATGAAGTACAATGCGAGGCCAAAGAAAGCTACTACACCAAGAAGATGAGTCCAAATATTTCCGGTTTCAGTGTGAATGCGAAATATTGACTTGAAGCATTCTCTGAAGCTAGGAAGAGGGGGCCTGTGCCCCTTTCTCAGGAAATCATTGTCTTGGAGCCACTGGGGCAGATTATAAAATCCTACAACATTCCACGATTGGAATTTGTGCCAAACATTGATAGCAAACTCTTCTGCTTGCTCTGCTGCATTGTACATGAGAGGCCGAGGATCTAACCATCTTGGATCCAACCAACCGATTTCTTCCGGCAATTCCTCTTCATGAATAGTATTGATAACTACGTTCCCCAGCTGTTCCTTCAGCTTACGGTCAGCGTGGGGGAGTTGGTCTTCGTCCAGGGGCGTGGAGGGGAACAGGTCGTTTTCGTCAGGGGTGCCTCCCTCTTCAGGGTGGTAGTAGAGATGAGGCCCGAAAAGGGGTTCCAGGGGGGGCAAGTCAAGATCGGAGAAATCAGACACCCGGCGGGAATGGCTGCGTGAATGGGTTTCAGCTTTAGTCTTGGAAAATCTACGATGTTTCAACATATTTTCTGGAACTTGGGAGCTCACTGTCGCCACTTCTTTACTGCAGTCGGAGAAAACCTCACTCTTAGCGTCCTCAAACTCTGAGGTTGTCGGAGTCGGAGATTGGGATAAAGATTGGTTGACCCGGGAAGGAGAATTCGGGAGAGACGACAAACGGGAGTTGGGAAGGGAATGGACCGGAGTCGAATTCTCGATGGAGTACAATGGAGTGGAGGAATCGGAGGGTGGCTGGCCATTGCTTGCAAGGTTTTCATTGCTTCCGTTGATTTTATTGACCGAGGTATCATCGATAGACTTGGCAAGTTCCGATGCAGACTGAGAAAGGAGTCGAGATGTTTCGGTTTCTCCATCTTTTTCGTCAAGAGGAGGCTTTGATAACTTGGAGTTATTATCAAACGACTCCATTTTCGTCAGATTCCTCTTCTTTGGACGTGAATCAAACAAAGATATGCTTGTTCGTTTTGTGATCTCAATCTCCAACAGGCAAGAATTTATCTACAAGACTAAGAGTATGGAAATCAAAAAGTCTGCGGCATTTGTTGCTTTCGAAGTCGTCTTCATTTCTGCATTGGTCAAATGTAGGTTAATGATAAGGATCTAAAGAATTTAAAAGATATTTTTCAAATATTATAAGAAATCATTTAACAAAAGGAATTAAATTGCAAAATTTTAGGATGAAATTTTGCATACATTTTTGCACAGACACCCTTAAAGAGAATTTGCAAATTTTTAGTTTTCTTGAATGCACATTCAGTTAAAAAAATGTTTGCAAATTTTCTAAATAATATAATTTTGAACTTAATCCTTGGGACCCCCTCCCCAGCCAGACTATTTTGCGTGAATGAGACGTCAGCCTGAATAGGTTTAAGAAACTAGTTGCATTAAAACAAAAATTGTCTTTTAATAGATTTCCTTTTTTTCAAACTTATATATATGTAATAAAACAGGTAGCGTTACTAGCGTTAAATTATAACGTCATAGTAAAGTCCCCTAACTGTTACATAACATTAGCAACGTTAAAGAACCGTGAACGTACTCGATCTTTAAATGTAACTTTAATTCTGTTAAACAACGTTATTTAGTATTGTTAGATAAAGTTGTGTAATGTTAAGAAACGTCATTTTGAAACGTTAAATAACGTTATGTAAGTAACGTTACTTTTACGTAACAGAACTATTCAGAATGACGTTATACATTACACAAAGCAGGACTAAATATTCACGAAACATCAACTGCACAAAAATGCATTTTTAAGTGATAATCTAAAAATACTTGATGTGTTTCAAAGGCATTGATACATAAGAAATTTATTTAATGCAGACATTGTGGTAAATTCAATGTTTAAAATTTCTATAATTTGGAGTAATATGATGTTTTCATTAGAATTAATGTCATTAAATTCTCGATCATTTGATAAATAGAAGTTTCACTTTGGCATTCTAGTAACAGGTATAATGGTAAGTGTGTAAAAAAAACCTAAAAAATCTAATGAATCAGGAATTTTTAGGGTTTCCTATGCGTAAAAATACGTATTTTTAAGGCGTATTCAAGTTTTAACACCAAAATGTTGAGAAGGTAATGAGTGATGACTATAATTATGCATGCACCATGCACATTGTTCCTTCATATCCATATAACTAATTCCACAAATTTCTTACATCCATATTCATATCAATTAATTTCAATCCAATCCAATATTCTTCTACACAAATTTACACCATAATCTTTCCTTCATCTGTATCCATCTTTAAATCAATATTTATACATAAACTGTTAAAGTGTAACTTCTATTCATCAAAAAATTGAGAATTTACTGACATATTGATTCTAATAAAAAAAATCAATTTACTCTAAAACAATAGAAATTTTAAACATTGTATATTTACTAAAATAATCATAAATCATAAAAAATTATTAAATTCTAACTTCAAAAGCATTTTGTGCAGTTGAGGTTTTGTAAATATATTACATTTAGAAAAATTACTTTTAGTATGAAATTTACGAAAATATACGCATAGGTTTGCAGCATCAAACTTTTAAACGATAAAAACGAATACAATTTTTAAGTAAAAAACCTTTAAATTTTGAAAAAGTATTTGGTTTAAATTTCGCGAAAATATATGAATCATTAGATTTTCATCAAACTTTAAACTCTAAAAAAATACAATTTTTAAGTCAAGAAAAAACAGAAAAAAACGTTAAAGTACGTAAAAATAATTACAATAAAAACCTAAAAACTTGGAAAAATCATTTGGTATGAAATTTACGAAAATATACATATTTTTAGGTTTGCATCAAACTTTTAAACTTACCAAAGAAATACATTTTTTAAAGAAAAAAACGAAATAATACGTAAAAATACGTAAACTAAAAAACTAAAAACTTTAAAAAAAATACTTTATAAAAAGTAAATCTAATTATTCGTATAAATATATTTCTGGAAACCCTAAGCATTTAAAAAAAAACGCTAGGTAGGATTAATACGGAAAAATACGTAAATACGTACGTTCTTCACCAGAAAGTTAAGCAAACAAATTTTTACGTAAATATACCTGATTGTATGTATACCTACAGAGGCGTTAGTATTTTTAGGTTTTCGGGTTAGTGGGGAGGGATAGCAGATTTTGAATACATAATTGTTGATGTTACAGAAAAAAAAATGTAAGGATGTTGACAATGGTGTGATTTTGTGTAGAAGAATACTGGATTGAATTGGATTGAAATTAATTGATATGAATATGGATTTAAGTTTTATTAAATCCATGGATTTAAGATAGTTGTGGAATTAGTTGTATGGATATGAAGGAACAATATGCATGAAAAATTAGAGTCATCAAGTTCTTAACATTTTGGTTTAAGAACTTAAATATCCCTTAAAATTTACAGGAAATAACGTTAAATATATGTTACTTTACGTTAATTAACGTTACATTTTTCGTTAATGTGCAGGTATGTTTGTGCATTACTAGGAAAGTAAAATTATTGTGACTTTAATTAACGTTAATGAGTCATAAAAGGACCGTTATTTAACGTTCTAAGAACGTTATTTCGCAATTATTGGGTGCAGAGGCCAGAGACCCCATATTTTCATCAGAAATACGAGGTTTAAATTGAATTATCTGATTATCATTGGAGACTGTTAAACATTACATCTGCTCTCCCCCTTTTTATTGATGAAAATCCGTGGGTGTCCAATGAAAAGGGTTCTTTCAAGATAAATCGTCTCCAATGAGAATTTGAAGATCTTGACAACGATGAGACTGTAGAAAGACGATTTAAAACTCTTTCAACATGACGATTTTAAGTTAAAATGAAGTGTCTGCCTTGAAAGTGATCTTTAAATGGCTACTTAATTGATTTGCAAAACAAAGAACAAAGTTTTTAGTTCCAGGGAGTCATGTAAATTCCATACAGTCATCTCTGAAGTCTCATCCTTTGAGAGTAACCCTGTAGCTAGACGAGACCCATGCAATGTTTCCCAAAAAAAATGTAAAAATGTAAAAATGTAAAAAATCAATGTAAAAATGTACAAATGTAGAGATTTTATATAATGATTTTAAAATTGAATCCCATGGGTATTTTAGTATTTATTTTCAAACACAAAATACAAAATAATAATGTATGATGGTTCAGCTTAAAATAAAACACAAAAGAAAATTGAAAATATAATGTTTAATTTTCTTTAATTCTAATTGATAAAGATATATAATTGTCAGATTTGTAATTGCTCCAATCAAATTGTTTTTAATCAATAAGGAAAATATTTAAACACTTAATGAATACTTTCAGTTTACATGAGAATGAGATCTAAATGGTGTTTATTAGTTGATCTAAAAAGTTTAACATAGTTTAAACAATTATTGTATTATAAATATTGTTTGTTGTTTCAACTTTCCCAACATTCATTACAATGCCAGCGCTAGTCTTTCCATCTGCTGTAAAAACTGTCTTGTCGCCATCTTTTGAGATTTTGGCGCCGTTTTGAGAATCAGATGAGTACACAATCTTAGCCCCAGTTTGAGGATCTGGTTGGTGTGACTCAAATTCTATTTCCATTAATCTCTTCCCTGCTACTACTCCCTGAAGAAAATATTGGCTTTGCAAAGTGAAAAGATCAACATTGTCTGGAATAAAAAGTATTTCATGCCATGATGCCACACCATAATTTGGAATGCATGAGGATGCTTCTAAAAATTCTATAAAATTTAAATTTAAAGGATTTTAACATAAACATGCATGATTATGATCATATATTTTGCAATCTGCAATGTAAAAAAGTATTGACTACAGAAAGAACCAGAAAAATCTGGAATAAGAAGATGACTTTCAAACTGAATTTTTGACTTTGTGAACATGAGACACAGCAATTGACAATTGTGCAGTGTAAACAGAACATTTAATTATATATGTGATTTAAAAAATTATTTGATACTTGAGTTGTGCTATGTTGTCGTCTTCATATTCCACAGTTTTCTGAATTCTCACTGTATCTTTTAAAAGAATTTTAAATAACAAATCATTTTTCACAAAAAAGGGACTAATAAAGTAATTTAAAGTGATGGACCAAAAAAAAATTTACTGCCCTTTATTTTCAGAACGAATCCCTTAAACCTTTTTCTGAACAGCGATGAGGAAGAAATCGTTGTTTTTTCATCTTGAAATAATATTGATTTGCCAATTTTCCTTACTTTTACAGTTGCACCAATGGCTCAATTTAAATTGAACCTGTATACAGTTCATTAAAATTCAAATACTGAACAATATAACCTACATTAGATTCTTGTTCCTCCGCTGGATCTGTCCCTTTAAATTCATAAATTAAACAATATAACCTACATTAGATTCTTGTTCCTCTGCTGGATCTTTCCCTTTAAATTCATAAATTGAACAATATAACCTACATTAGATTCTTGTTCCTCTGCTGGATCTTTTCCTTTAAATTCATAAATTGAACAATATAACCTACATTAGATTCTTGTTGCTCCGCTGGATCTTTTCCGAACAAATGCTTGAACTCTTCACCTACAAAATAAAAACAAAATTAAATTCTAATTAGAAAAGAAAAATGCAAAAATTATGGCTATTAAATTATTAACTAATTTATGTTTGACTGTTTAAGAAATAACCAAAAAAATATGAGATTTTAGACTTACCCAATACTCTATTTTGCCTTCAATCATAATTGCCATTTTATATTTTTTCTTCTTAACCATGATCAAATTCAAGCCAGAAGAAAAGTACTTTTTTAAAATATTTTTTAATTGTTTAGATATACAATTCCAGCTTTGTAGGGATTGCAATGATTATACCCACATGAAAAATATGAAGAAATATCATCCAGAGTAAAAATATTGCAAAAACTTAAAAAGAATGGTGAATTTTGTTTTAAAATGGCAAATCCTTGTCTTCTTTAGTTTTCCATGTCGCATCCTTTCCCTTTCATCCCTTCTCTTAAATCAGATAAATACATGGTTGTGTAAATGAACTGGATTTTCGATATTTTGGACATAATTTTGAAAACTTGTGCTTGCTTCGGATTTTAGAAATCTGCAGTAATTGTTATCAAAAAATACATTATATCTGAATTATGACTTTAAAAATCCAATTAGTTGGTAAATTTACTTTACTTTTTATCTCATTCAATTTTTTTAGTTTTTTTTTTATGAAATTTTGGAAAACAACAGAAAAAAAACAATTTCTCTTTTAATTTTTAAAAAAATTGGATTTTTATTAAAAATTGGTTAGACGGGTTTTTTCATGTCCAAAAATATTTTTAATTTTGTATTCCTTAAATTGGAAGCAAACAAAAATATTGAAAATTTTGTCCAAAACATTGATAATCTCGGTTTTTTTTACTCACCCTGTATAATAAGAACATTATGAATCAAGGTTAGAGTCTGGAGATAAACCTGTTACTTTAAAGATTTTAGGGTTTTTGACTGTGATTAGTTACAAAAATACACTTTTTCTAATGCAGTATTATTTGAAGAGATTGTTTTGCATCGCAACAAAACTCTTTAAATTTGTCACTGATCAAGAATCGACTTGGAAATCTGATTAATCTCCAAGACAGCTGGCAAATTAAAAACTTCGTTAGCAAGCGGTTTTAAATTGAAAAATATTAATTTTTACTTTCTAGAAATTTGAAGATGATAAATATATATTTACTTTCGAAATTTTAAAAACCACTTTAACTAAAAATATTCTGAATTTCCGATTGACAAAAGTATCGTCAGCTTAGTTAAGTTCACACTGTACACTAGTGTACACGGTGTACACTCCAGATTTACGGAAATTCGAACAATATTTGGGAGATATAACCAGCAAGTTCTCTGTACTTGATGAAACGACAAGTGCAGGGTTGTAAATCGGACAAAGTGCCATATTTGCATCGAGGGTTACATGAAATTACGCGTATAGTCCCATTATAATATGTTTACCTTGGCAATCTGAGAGTCTAACACCATCCTTATTATTGGGTCCTCCTACCAAACAATGTTACAATAGTAATTTTTTAGGGAAAAATCTGGGAATAACTTAAGAAAAATTATAGTAGTGTTTTCAAAGTCTCACATATAAAAATAAAAAAATGGAAAATAAAATTTTCCCATGGATTTGGAACTGTTCATATCTACAAATTAGAATAATACTTGACTTGACATGTTTTGATTGATTTAAGGTGTTAACATATATGTATATTGTATACCCCTCTCTTAAACATCGAAAGTGGAATTTCACAGCAGACCCCGTCTAGAATTGTCCGGCAACAATGACGACCTAAAAATAAATATAATATTGCAATATTGCTGTCCCTAGCAAACAAAACCTTTGAAACACCAACCTGTGTAAAGAACTCGATTGTTTTCATCCCTAGAGCAGAAACAAGTTCTTCCATCAGGTTCAATATCTGCCTCCCTTCTGTGCAAACCACTCTCACCATGATGTTTGTTTTTGTCTGTTCGCTTTATTTCCCCAGCAACAGTATTTTGTTTATTAACATCATTAATAACGTCAGGTTTTATGTCTTGTTGACTCGCATCATGAACAGCATGTGAATCCCAAATCTCTGGCTTTTTCTTAGGACCATTATTAGACTTCTGAATATTTCTGCGCTCTTCAACATAGCTGTTTGATTCTTGAATACCATTCTGCTCATGATTGTTAAAAATACTACTTGATGCTTGAGTCACGTTCTGGTTGTGCTTTTCAAAAATACTGCTTGATGTTTGAGCCACATTCTGTTGGTGCTCTTCAAGAATAATGCTTGATGCTTGAGCCGTATTCTGTTTGTGCTCTTCAAGAATAATGCTTGATGCTTGAGCTGTATTCTGTTTGTGCTCTTCAAGAATAACGCTTGATGCTTGAGCTGTATTCTGTTGGTGCTCTTCTAGAATACTGCTTGATGCTTGAGCTATGTTCTGTTGGTGCTCTTTAAGAATTCCGCTTGATGCTTGAGCCGCATTCTGTTGGTGCTCTTCAAGAGTACTGTTTGATGCTTGAGCCACATTCTGTTGGTCCTCTTCAAGAATATTGCTTGATGCTTGAGCCACATTCTGTTGGTGCTCTTTTAGAATACTACTTGATGCTTGAGCCGCAATCTCAATATTATCTTTAATGTTGCTTCCATCCTTCTTATTCTCTCGATCCAACTCTATTCCAAGAACCGAACTAAATATATAAATTCATATTAAATATTGGAATTATTTAATAACTTAAAAACGGCTCAGTTTCATTTGTTAATTCTTACCAAATTTAATTTTAATTATGGCAAGTGTTGCATATGGCACATGTATTATGGCAAATGTAATTATGGCAAAAGTATTTATGGCAAAAGTATTATGGCAAATGAAACTGAGCCCTTAAACACATTTGTCTTTAATAAAAGGCCCAGTGCATTTATTTCTAAATTACCAGAAAACTGTAAAATAGGAAGACAACATTAACACAATACTTAACTGTAAAATAGGAAGACAACATTAACACAATATTAAACTGTAAAAAATAGGAAGACAACATTGACACAATACTAAACTGTAAAATAGGAAGACAACATTAACGCAATACTAAACTGTAAAATAGGAAGACAACATTAACACAATGAAAATGTAAAATCACTTAATCAGTTAAATGGGTCTTTTTACACTGCACAATTACTGTGCCTTACGTTCATTGGACTTTTTAAAGTTATATCTTATGTCTTAAAGTCGACTTCCTATTCCAGAGTTTTCTGGTTATCACTGTAACCGATATAATGTCGATGCAGATTTTTTTTATTCAATAGTTGAGGATTTGCAAAAAATGTCCGGAACAAGTTTTAAAATAGAAATTAAAAAGTCTTTAGAGACATATCAAATAAACTTTAACAGTAGCCAAGACAAAAAAATCGTTTCTTTTTTATTAATTCCACTCTACCAATTGTGCCAACTGATTTTTAACAAAAAGTTTTACTATTTTAAAAAAAAATGCTTGTCCCTTTTTTAAAATAAATCTCTGTAAAGTCATTTTTTGACATTTTCTTGGTCTAAAAATCATTAGGTATACAAAAGATGAAGGAGTAAACAAAATGGTTGAATTGAATTGAAATCTAGATCTAGAGCGTTTTTCATAAAATATATGGAATAGAAATACTGATTTTAAAGTCAAGTTAAGACATTAAGTAGTCTGATGTGTATGAAACACAGCAATTGTTTATTGAACTGAGGCCCATTTCACTCATTAACCTGGCAGTCGAGCAATTGAAAAAAAACTTTTTGTTTTTAAGAGACACTAGATGCACTTTGTTAGTTTGGTCGTGGAAACCAATGATGGTAAAATTATTAAATTTTCCCAAAAATGAAGAAAAAAATGCACGATTTGGTTTATTATGAGTTGTTCTTATTAGTCAAACGTTATTTAAAAACCTAACCTGAAGATAAAGAATACGAGGACAAAATAATCCTTCATCAGAAATAAATTCAGTTTCAATCTTTTCCATCCAAATCCAACTGATTCAGATTTTAAATTTTTAATGCACCGTTTTAAAATTGGCAATTATAAAAAAATGTTTTTTTTGTCAAATTAATATTTATCTAAAGGGTAAAAAGTCTAGGAATATTTGTAGTGCCTGAAAAAATTTTGTGAAGTTTTTTTTGACCGGTTCCTTGAAATATATTAGTCTGCATAAACAATAATTATAAAATTTGATTTTGTCGAGTCATTCCTTAAACAAGAACTTAAACTTCACGGAACAAAAAGAAAATCTAAATTAATATTTCTATTTGAGTAAAAACAATTTTAACCTTTTTCCCAAGGTCATTCTAAAGGGTAGGGTAGGGTAGTATAGGGTGTAATACTAATAACCACATCCTTTTAGAATCAAAATGATGCACCCTTCCTGACTAATAATCTATATAATCAACAAACTTTTTTGATGAACAAATCCTTCTATAAAAAGCAGTATAAAAGTTCAAAGAAATAAAAAAAGCTTTATTCCAAAAGAAAAGTACATTATTAAAATTAAATATATTTTTTTGTTAATAAAAGCTTTATTAAAAAAAAGTAAATTATTAAAATTAAATATATTTTTTGTTAATAAAAGCTTTATTCAAAAGAAAAGTAAATTATTAAAATTAAATATATTTTTATTTTCTTCATCAAATCTATTTTTTTTTTTCTACAAACAACATACGATTTTCCACTTAAACTGTAATTGGATTAGTTCTCAGGGAACCTTGCAGGGTTCTTCATAGAGAGGAGCTAAAGGAGGCATGTGCCCAACCTTGCGCACCAAAACCATTGGACAGGTTGAAATAAAAACTGGTATTTGCTCTGGGAGATCAGAAGCTGGTGGAGTATTATGACGAGTTGGTACAGGACGGAAACCAATCATTGTGTTGCGTAGATCTTCATTAAACTTGTCTGAAGAAGGATCCTGATCTTTCAAAAATTGACGAGGAAGGATTAAATCAGAACCGTACACAGCTCCTGAGGCGCAGGTAGCAGAATCTTCTCTAGGAGTAGCGTGTAAACCCAGGAGAACCTATGGCAAGTGTTCAAACCAGTCAGCTGAAGCCAGGTGAGCTCATAGGGAATTCTTTAATGGAATCTCTCCACCATGCAATTGAACTAAGGATGGAATGCTGTGGTGGTGTTGTGCTTGATACCTAGCAGGGAGCAGATGGTAGTCCACAAGGAGAAAGTGAACTGAGCTGGGAACTTTTGAATGGTGGATATCGGGATTAAGGCTTAATCCACTCTTTTTCTTAATCTCCAGATTAACATAATCTTGCAAGATTATCTTAAAAGTGTATGAAAAACGATAAAATTCAAATTAATATTTAATCATCTGAGAAACTGTAGCAGCCAATCAGAGAAAAGCTGGCAACCAATGAGAGAACAGAGATATTCTCATTGGAGAAAACAATTAACGGATATCCAAGGAGAGAGAAAAAGAGTGGATTAAGGACTAAAATGAAAAGTTTCCACAGTGGATATTCGGATCAAGAAGTCAGGATTAAAGTTTATCCATTCTAAAGTTTTCAGCTCAGGATCCTCTTTCACTTGTGATGATTCCAGGAACGCCGAAATCCATCCTTGAAAAATGTTTTTGGTTTTTGTAAAGTTTCTGATTTAAATAGTGGAAGTGCTAATTATTTACACGTGCAGATAAATTGCCCGCGCTTTATTTTTCAAATTATACAATTAAAGCTTAAAAGGGGAAGATCATCAATTTTCACATCGTTTTTTCACGCGATGCCCCTGCCTCAGAGAGGACTGATTGAATGGGAAAGAGGGGCCGGCCCCCCCCCCCATAATTGAGGGATGTCCCCGACCCTGGAAAAATTAGGGGTGCCAGAACAGTGAGCAGACATTTTTTAATTTCCGAGAAAAAAACTATTATTTAATCTAAATTTAAATTTTAAAAAATATATAAAAACCAAATTTTGGTAGCCCCCCCCCCTTACATCAGAAATCAGCAAGCATTTTACATGGCGTTTCCAGCAAAAAGGGGAAATGGTTTCGCAAAAAATTCGCATTTTGTTCGCCCGCGAAATGTCTTCATCAAACATTTATTAAAGGAAAGGAAGAGAAATAATTAATAATTATATAACTTCTAATGCTAAACTTTTAGAGCAGATATTTGCACAAGTTATTTTTGCGCAACTTATTGTTGCAGCCACAACTCTCATGGTTTTCGCGAATTTTTTTATCGCAAAATAATTTTCAAAGAAATTTTGCTTTCATTTTCACGAAAAAATGCGAGATTTTGCATAACATTTTTTAAAAAAAGCGAACGAAAATTTTGGCATTTTTTGACATTTTTTGTGTGCTGGAAACCAAATTTTCACAGCAGCATGGAACACAAAAAGTAACTTTCTATTTTACTTAATTTAATATTTGTAGCACACACACAGATATCAAATTGAAGATTAGTATAAAAAAGAAATTGCATATAAAGAGAGCTGAAGCTCTGGGGCAATATACATAATTTTATATTAGGGAGAAACAAAAGCAGGAAAATTCAGTTTTCCCTTGTCTACAAGGAACTACAGTGCGTAAAAAGAACAAGAGAGGAACAGAAAACAGATACAACAGTCAGAGAATAAATTCACTGCTCTTTTTGTAAAATTTTTAAAAATTAAAATTCAAAAATAAAATAAAAATATTAAATGATTTTACTCTTTATCTGTCCAAATTCTTTTTGAATTGAAGATAAAGAACAATTACAATATTTACAAAGTTTTTACAATCCAATTAAATTTTGTTCAGCTTCTGATATCTCTGCTTCAGTTTGCTCTGCTTTATTTTGCTCTGCTTTAGCTTGTTCTGATTTAGCTTGATCTGCTTTAGCTTGCTCTGCTGTAGCTTGCTCTGCTTTTGCTTGCTCTGCTTTAGCTTGCTCTGCTTTAGCTTGCTCTGCTTTAGCTAGCTCTGCTTTAGCTTGCACTGCTTTAGCTTCCTCTGCTTTAGCTTGCTCTGCTTTAGATTGCTCTGCTTTAGTTTGCTCTGCATTAGCTTCATCTGCTTTAGCTTGCTCTGCTTTAGATTGCTCTGCTTTAGTTTGCTCTGCATTAGCTTCATCTGCTTTAGCTTGCTCTGCTTCAGCTGTATTAACTTTGGCTTGGAAATTAGTGTCCCAACATATATCCTGAAATAAATTAGATTATGATTCATTTTAATAACACAAATATTTATATTTTTTATTTAGTATTGTCTTGTCTACGTTACGTTTAAAGGGAGTGTACATGAAAAATGAATAGGGGCAGGATAGATTTGAATTTGATATCGATCAGTAATACTCTTACTTTTAACTGTTGCGGGTACCACGAAGGAGAACATGGTCAAAAATGTCTTTCTCCGAAGAACAACTTTACCTCCATAAAATTTATAGTAGTTCTACGCTCTTCGGTTTTTAATCATTTCTCCTTTTAGACCCAACTAAGTAAAATTAGTAACGATCCCTTTCCTTTTCGCGAGCACTCCCTTTAAATACAGTGAAACCCTTAATAACGAATACATCGAAAAACGTTATCAAATGTCGTCTTGACAATTTTTCAATGAGTTTTATACTATATTTTGTAAATTTAAGTATTTGCGAAAATAAATAAATACCCATGAATATGCGGGAACAGTTTTAAAGAGTTCCATATAATCATTTAATTAAAAAACTAAATATCTGCAACATTCCATTATCAGAAAGTGAAAAATACGACATTGGATGAATTCTTTCGATGTATTCGTTATTAAGGGTTTCACTGTAGTATTTTCAAAAAGAAATTTTAGGTTTTATTTTTAAACTTTGTCTAATTGGGATTTTCAAATTATCGGGATTTCTATTATTGGGATTTACAGTTTGTTTACCTTGTAGCCAGTAATCCCAAGTATCCAACTACTAAACATCTTAATCCTACATTTTCATTATTGTTTAATTGTTATGAGCCACCATTTTCTTTACTATAATTTTTTGATAATTTTCAATTTTTATTATTATTTCAACAATATTGCAAAGTTTGATAAAAACAAACCTTTACTAATGACCAGGGATATATATTAATGTTTACCTGACAATATGAACAGGGTTGTTTATTCCTCCACAGCTACCTAGCTCTCCCCTCCCCCCGCTTACCAAGCCTAGAAATACATTTATTTTTGGGTCTAAACATGTAGTAAATGCCCTACTCCATAACAGTTTCTCGAACAAGTATCTATCCAGGTACAACTCAGATTCTTTTGACTATCAATGTCAACACAGGGCTACAATACCATGAACCATGAACTATCAACGCCACTACCAATGAGCGCAATCTTGTTAGCTATCTTTGTCAACCTGGACACTAATAGCAATGATCGATCAATGCCAATACTACGGGCAAGACCTCATGAGCGATTGATATCAACCGGAAACGAGCTCAAACTCTATCAATGCCAAACCAATGGGCACAATCTCAGCTCATATTTTTCAACGAGCTCGTAAATTACTCTCAACAGTGTTATCAAAGCGAAGTCTTTAAATCAATTGGCTATATTTCTTCTGTTTAGATTATCATTAGGTCTTAACAGGGTAATTACGAGTTATGTGCTAAAATATATAACTTAGTTTAGCAATCCAATATGGTTACGACAGAGTTATATATATAGGTATATTGATTGGGTTAATCGCAATACATGATTTACGTATTTACTAATGGACACATTTAGTTATATGGACAATGGACAACGTAATTTACTATGGGGTCTTTATATTTGCTGCAAACATAGTACAGAGCAAATCTGCAGAAAAGTTTGATGAGGGAGAATTTTTTCATTCTGCTGGGATTTCCACATTTTGGCGCTGAGATGAATTTTGCGGAATTGTGCAAATGACACACAATTCAGTGGAAAAATTCAAGGAGAATTTTTTTCTGCTTGAAATCCTAATCTAGGTATAACCAAATTGAAGCAATCGCTCCCCCCTGGAAAATTGCTCCCCTCTTATATCATATGCATATACATTTGAATTCTAAATGTATATGGTTTATAATTTTTTCTCACATAACATAAACGATTGCATTTATTTTTTTGCATATAAAACTAAGCAACTATTCATCACATTGCATTTTCAAAAAAGACTACCTGAAGGGCCAGTGTTGCCCTGGGGAAAAAAATTAAGAAAAAAAATCGATTTTTATCCAATGTCACCTCCAGGCTACCCATGAGTGTCCACAAAAAATTTCAGCACATTCGGTCGAGCCCTTTGGCTGGATATAGGGAACATATATACAAATGTCTTATTTCATTATATAGAGAGTATTCATCCTATAGTCTCAAAATATGAACCTTAAGTTAAATCGTTTTTGAGACGTTTCTTATTTCAAGAATCAAAATCCACAAACTTGCACTATTCTTCCACCATCCAAAACTGGACTTTCTCAATTTCATGAGAAGCAAATGTGTAACCCTGTTATTTGGAAATACATTTGTAAATATAAATAAAAAAATAACAGAATTCTCATTTCTCAACACTAATTCATTAAAAAAGGCTGTTTTCCGTTGTTCACTTTTTCAATATGTTATATCGTCCAATATAAAAAATCATAACATAAAGACGACTTTCTAAATCTGATTTACTAACCAATAAGGGTAAACCCGTTAGTTTGATTAACCATGAGAGGTGCTCCAGAATCTCCATGACAAGTTCCCGGAGAATAAACATAACCTGAATTTCAAACGTTTAATGTTACATCTTGCCAAATGATTATTTCAAAACTAAAATTGCGAATTTTCGTTTTATAATTTCGAAATTTTCTTGAATTATTGAAAATTTCTGCACATTTTTGTTTTCTATACTTTAGGAATAATTAAGTTTAGTGTTTTTTTCTGTAATAAGTAATTTAATGAGAAGTGAATTGAACATTACAATATAGCACAAAATGAAAAAAAATTTTTAGACCATACAACTTTTAAGTATCTCTATATATAAAGTAGTAATCTCTGTATGTTTGTTTGTATGTTCGAACTTCGATCATATATCTCACGAACCCCTCGACCGATCGGGAGAACCATGGAAATGTTCTTAGCTTGATTTTATAAGTCTGAGATTACTTTTAAAGGAAAAGTTTAGGTTGCCGGTTAAAGCTGCGTGCCCTAGTTTTAAATATTTACCATCTAATAAGTCAGGTGCTAGGGTTTGACCATAGTGTTTTCCTTCTGCCCGGAATCTTTCTTCAACATTGGCTCCAAGCTCCTTCAATAAAAAATCACATTATTTTTTAAACACAACAACTTTTCCTATAACAACTAGCTCTTAGTTCTTTTAATATTTTCATAAATTAGTTTTATTCTACATTAGCTTCAAGCTACTTAATATTTCAATTGTAAATATTATCAAATAATACCCCACTACTTTTATTATTTTGAAAATGCAATTAATTGTTGTTATTTCTCATTCTACTTTTAATGAATTTTTATGAAATGTTGGAAAGCAATAGAATAAACTCTTTCCCTCCCAACAATTTTTCAAAAGAATTCAATTTGTTCAATATGTTGCAAAAATATTATTGAATTTTTTATTTCATTTTATCTCTTTTAAACCTAACATTAGAATCAAACTATTTGAAAATTTTGTTAAAAACATCGATAATCCAGGTTCTTTTAAACTCAATCCTGTAAACATCTTTATATTTATGTATATATAAATTTGGCTTGTCTTGTTGTTTGTTTGTTTGTATCCAATAAACGTCTAAACCGATCGGGCCCAAATTTGTTGTGGGACATCACGTGACCACAGGGAGGTTTATGAATGAAAAAAAAATGTGTTTTAAAGGTTTTTAATTTTGTAAAAAAAATTAAATTCTTGAAAATCCGCAATTTTTTTTTTGAAAATCCGCAAAATGTTTTTCTTCTTTGTTTTCAAATGTAAACATAAAGATCATGTTCACAATTTAAATAGAAGATGAGCCAAGTATTTATATATTTACATTATATATGTTATCTATAGCTAACCAAACGGCTGAACCAATTTGGCAAAATTTGGTAAAGAGAACCCTTTCTTAATTGTCTGTAAGCTAACTATATTAAAAAAACTTTCACTTTTAGTAACACTAGGTCTTGATAGGCGCTTCTTACAGTATTCACAGATACAGAGTGAGAGAGAGAAAATGGCAAACTGGAGAAACTATAGCCAGGGGTGTATATCCCTTGTATACACCCCCTGCACACAAATGGAAAAGAAAGAAACGGAACTACAAGAAACATTAAAGGCCTGCATTATAACTATTAATTACTACTTAACCGGGAGATTAAGGGAGGACCTCGGCTAAGTGGTTTTCCCCTCAATTTAATTATCCTCCCTTAATCTCCCGGTTAAGTAGTAATTTATCTTTTCATCTCCTGTTCAACAAAATAACCAACCGTGGGGGATAAAATAATAATGAAATCAATAAAACTATCAATTATGATTTTAATTCTCTTATTTCTTACTAATGCATATGGAAGAATATTTAATTTCTTGATCTAAATCTTGAATTAAATCTGTATGGATCACAGAAGGAGGATAATTTCTTATCCTCCTTGTAAATAGGGAGGATAAGTAATTATCCTCCCTGTAAATAGGGAGGATAAGTAATTATCCTCCCTGTAAATAGGGAGGATAAGTACTTCTCCCTGTAAATAGGGAGGATAAGTAATTATCCTCCCTGGATTTAAAAAAGGAGGGAATTTAAGGTTGGTTATTTCGTTGAACAGGAGATTAATCTTTTAACGCTATATTAACCTGGAGAATTAAGGGTTTGAGGTTTTTTACTTAACTGGATCCAGATTATGCTACTGACAGCTTTAAATATACTCCTTAATGACAAGCCTAGTTAGCTATTATTGAGTATTCAAACTCGTCAGAAAGACGTTAATTCTTTCGATTGCATCTGGTTTTATCTGTAAGCATCAAGAGAGCTCAAAACAGTCAGGTTCTTATACAGCTCTCTCCAGTTTCTTGTGGCTGAACAGAACCCTGTGTGGAATAACATGGCAGTAAACCCTAATTGGAAAAAAAGAAAATATTAGTGCAGAGAAGGAGGAGTTTCTCTCTCTCTTTCTTCCCCTTCCCTCTTGCCAGAAACAAGGAAAATGGAAACATAGAAAGTAGAATCCTGATAGGTAGTGCACCATTCACCATTCAACATTCGGCTGCAGAAAAAGATTGCTGTAAACGAGGCCGTATTCTGAAGCACTAGGTCCAAGATGAACTTACAAGAATCAAGAATTCTTTTGTCGAAAATATCCACTCCTACCCTAACCTTTCTTATCATTATCAAGGTGGAATTCTTAGTGCAGTGTTACTTTTATTTTCCCAACCTGTAAGAATATTAAGGAAATTGTGTGTTGAAGCTAACCTTCAACAGTTGTTGAGTCAGACATTCTGAAGACTGCAAATACATCTGATATCTACTCACAAACAGTAACTTTCTATTATACTTAATTTGATATTTCTGGCACCAAGATATCAAACTATATAATAGTATGAATCAGAAATATGTGTCAAAATGCATTTTTCTCTTGTCTACCAGAGACTAGAATGAGTAGATCTAAAAGAGAAGAACAGAAAACAGATGTATGATACAGCGATAACCAGAAAACTATAGAATAGAAAGACGACATTAAAGCTATACTGAAGTGCATTTGATGTTGTTAAAATGATTATAAAAGTCGACTATATTGGTCACTTTTTATTACATTTTTCATGGTTTTGTTTTCAAAAGGCTTCATAAAGTTTTAAGACACTGAGCATTTAAAAAAATCCCCAAAAGTTTGTTTCCAAATTATGTGTAGACGTGAACAAATTAAAAAAATTACCAAATATTATACTTAAAATTATATTTAACGTAAAATCACTAGTTGGGGGGGGGGGCAGGGGGTGGTCAAACCCCCCTACCCCTATGATTTGCCCATAGGGTTGCGATAGGGGAGTGTGATGCATGTCCCATAGTCCAACTTTTTAAAGCAAGTTCATTAAAAAAATTATACCTCTAACTTTCATGGTAAGCAAGGGAGGCTTTAAAAAAGTTTTAAAAGTACGTCATAAAATTGTCAAAAAATACTTTTTCTAATTTTAGATAAATATTATAACATCTATTTTTCAAAAGCTTTTCAAATAAATCAATTTTAAATATTTTCAAAAAATTAATAACGCCTGATTTCAAAATATGACAATTTTCAGTGACCTCATACTGATAGAGTTGCATGCTCAATTCACAATAGTACCCTTAAAGGTATTGTCTGATCATGGAGAAATTTGATATCGATGTTTTTGTCTTATAAAACAGATTATTTTCAATTTTGGTTTTTCTCTATATTCTTGCGCATTTCTTGCTTCAGAACACCTTTCGGGAACATTACAAATACAGTTTTTTTTACATATATTGTTAAAATTATTTTGTAGACTGAGAGAACATTTTTTGTACTTTATATTTATTCTAAACTTTTTTAAATTCTATTCATAGGTCAGCTTAGATAATGATGAATATAAATTTAGAGAAATAATTTTTTACTAAGAAATGAAATAAATATCTTTGATTTTTCTGGTCATCACCACATCAAAAATTACCTAAATAGCATTCTTTGCTGCAAAATCCCCAGTTCATATCTAAAACATGAAACCAGATAAGTTTTAGATTAGTAATATATGAAATCATATAAGTTTTAGACTAGTAATATATGAAACCAGATAAGTTTTAGATTAGTAATATATGAAACCAGATGAGTTTTAGATTAGCAATATATGAAACCAGATGAGTTTTAGATTAGTAATATGTGAAACCAGATAAGTTTTAGATTAGCAACATATGAAACCAGATAAGTTTTAGATTAGTAATATATGAAACCAGATGAGTTTTAGATTAGCAATATATGAAACCACATGAGTTTCAGATTAGTAATATATGAAACCAGATCGGTTTTAGATTAGTAATATATGAAACCAGATCGGTTTTAAGTGAGTAATACATGAAACCAGAAAAGTTTTAGATTAGTAATATATGAAACCAGACGAGTTTTAGATTAGCAATATATGAAACCAGATAAGTTTTAAAAGAGTAATATATGAAACCAGATAAGTTTTAAATTAGTAATATATGAAACCAGATAAGTTTTAGGTCAGTAATATATGAAATCAGATAAGTTTTAGATTAGTAATATATGAAACCAGATAAGTTTTAGATTAGTAATATATGAAACAAGATGAGTTTTAAATTAGTAATACATGAAACCAGATAAGTTTTAGATTAATAATATATGAAACCAGCTAAGTTTTAGATTAGTAATATATGAAACCAGATCGGTTTTAAATGAGTAACATATGAAACCAGATCGGTTTTAAATGAGTAACATATGAAACCAGATCGGTTTTAAATGAGAAATACTTGAAATCAGATAAGTTTTAAATAAGTAATATATGAAACCAGATGAGTTTCAGATTAGTAATATATGAAACCAGATCGGGTTTAGATTAGTAATACATAGAAACCAGATAAGTTTTAAATCAGTAATACATGAAACCAGATAAGTTTTAGGTTAGTAATACATGAAACCAGATATAAGTTTTAGATTAGTAATATATGAAANCCGTTGTACCGTTGTACCGTTGTACCGTTGTACCGTTGTACCGTTGTACCGTTGTACCGTTGTACCGTTGTACCGTTGTACCGTTGTACCGTTGTGAATCACGCATTGCAATGTTTGCACGGAGGGTCACTTGAAATTACGCATACAGTCCCTTTAAAGAAATTAAGTCTATTTTTGTACCAAACAGAAAGATATTGTTGTTTTGTTACATCTTTAATTGTTTTAATCCTAAAATAACTTTTACAGATAAACCACAAGTTAAAATAATCAATTATTAGAAATATGTCTAAATCTGTAATATCTCATTCAATCTTGATCAGACACAGAGCAGGTCCACTTAAAATTATACTGACCTCCCCTTTAAGAAAAAAATATTTTTAAATTACTTTGAAATATTTGTAAAGCTAGCGTGAAAATTAAATTAAAAAACTTTAAACTGTTTTCAAAATGTCTTAATAATTTGTATAGATGTGAGTTACTTGCAAACAAATACACATTCCTTTATAAAAAGCTGTTTTTTTGGTATGCAACAATTTTCATTTAATCCCCACCCCCCCTTTAAAAAATAATTGATTCTAATTTGTCTGAGAGTAAATGATACATTGTAAATAAACAGGTAAAAATATCGAATATTTTTCTATTCACTAGAATCTTATTTGTTCCATTTAAAATAGGGTTTCTAGCAAAAGGAGGAAATCTTTTCGCGAAAATTTTTCGTTTTCCGCGAAATTTTTGTTCGTTCGTAGAAAAAATGCGAAAATTTAGTCTTATTTTCGCAATTTTAGTTCCGCGAAACAGATCAATATTTTTTATTGCTTTTGTTTCCTTTCTCTAACTTCATTTTCGTAAAAAATGCAAAATTTTGCGAAAACGTTCGCTGGAAACTCTAGTTTAAAGATCTAACCTCTGCTATCTTCATGATTCTCCCTGGACTTATTGCCGAAGCAGTAAGTAACATTTTCTGTAAAAGTTTCAGGATTTTGTAGAATAATCACTTCATCATTTCGATCCATTATATCTGGAGGGGTTGATGGTGCACTATGTAGTTCATTAAATCATTTTGGAGAAACTTTAAAAAATTCTCATTTAGATTTTAATATTGAAAGCACAAAAAAGGTAGACACCATTTTGAAATGTCAGGATTCTGTAATTTTTGCGAAAAAAGGAATGCTGCAAATTATATCAAAGCTTAAAGACGACTTCCAAGCGGTTACTCAGCTGTTCACCCTGTAACATCTTTATCCATGGAATGCGAGTTATGAGATGAATGTTTAATCATGAAAAAAATACATTAATGTTAACTATGTGCATATACATTTTTTAGCATTATTGACATAAAGCTTTCTTGAAATCAAGGAAAATGAATTTAAAACAAAAACATTAAAAATGTAAAACAAAACGAAAAATGAAAAATAAGGAACGTTCCTAAAAAATTCTTTGCAAAGTTCTGATCTTGGAACAGGAATACTGCTGTTACAAACATTCTAAACAATCCCAATATCTTTGCAACCTGATGATGTAAAACTTAGAAATTTCAAACTTTGACTGTTTATTCTTATGGAATTCATAGTTTGAAATATCAAAGGTCTACGATATAGGGTTGCAAAGGTATAATGATTAAACAATAAGAGTTTGTGGCAAGAACTCAGTTCCATTATTAAATACTTATATAGAAGGGTGTTCCACGAAATAAAACATACAGGCAGTCTTTGATCTTTAAAATGATTCGTCACCTTTTTTATCACTTGATTTAACACTTGATTTATCACTTGATTTATCACGTGATTTATCACATGATTTATCACGTGATTTATCACATGATTTATCACGTGATTTATCACATAATTTATCACGTGATTTATCACATGATTTATCACGTGATTTATCACTTGATAACGAGTAAATTCTGAAAGAGTAAGACGACTTTTAGAATCAAGTTATAACTTTTAAAAGTCTAGTAAGAATGAAACAAAACAATTGTGTAAACAGACCCCTTTCACCTTTGTAGTTTAAATAGTGTCTAGTAAAACTATTTGCTTTGTAACAACATCAAATACACTTAAAGCATAGTTATTATCTTGCCTTCCTATTCCATTGTTTTCTGTAACTGTATAGTATTATCTAATTTTTAATTAACAAAAACTCCTGTTCCGAGCAGTTTCAAAATGTGGTCTGCCTTTTTTATTCTTTCAACATTTCAGGAGATTAATGGTATTTCCTTCATATTTCGATAATTATTTGATTTTATGATCTAATATGATGTAATCAGAACGATATGATCTAATATCATGAAATCAGAACGAAATTCTTATTAGTTTTGTGCAAATATTAAAAGCACAAAAAAGGCAGACAGGATTTTTGAAATCCAGAACAAAGATAAACTGGTTTCAAGGATCAGGCATGTAAATTATATTTGTAAATTATTATGTTTGTTGGACACCCTGTATTTAAATTGTAAAAATATCTAAACAAAATTCCTCAGAATTTCAGGTCTGATTTCACTGATATTACTATGTGTAAAATCTTACGGGTTTACATATTTTAATTTAGTTTTAAATTACTATATCAAATCTATTTTTTGTACTCATTTAAAGTCTAAAGACTTCTGTTAGCAGCGATACTTAAAACAAAAATTTACAAATTAGAAAGAAAAAAAATGTGTCAAGACTTTATCAAATTTTTCTTTTAAAATAAATGAGAAACAATTGATTTTTTGCGTTATTAATCTTCATATTATAATTAAGTTAAACAGACGGAAGTAGGTGGAAAAGTATGACCTGTAGGAACCCCTGAACACTCTCAACACAACATAGACGGATTTTGAGGACGTGCCGGTTTAGCGAAATAGGAAGACGACTTTATAACAATATTCAATTGCAATTTGAGTTTAATATGTTACAAAACAATAGTTTTACTAGACACTTATATGACACGAATTAAGTGAGATAGGTCGTTTTTATCGCACAGTTGCTGTGTCTCATGCTCATTAGACTATTTAAACCAAATTAAATGTCATAACTTGAGTTTAATAATTGTCTTTCTATTTCAGAGTTTTCTTGTTATTACTCAAAAGTGGAGAAAAACTGGGAAGTGTCGACAAATGCTAAAGTAGTTGCATGGTTCATTGTAAATGATAAAATTAAAAATGGTAAATAAAAGATAAGTGATATATAAGTGTGAGCCCTAGGATCTACAGACTACGAGTTTTGAAAACCAAAATTTCTAATCATTAAATCTATCATTTAAAAACGTAATAATTGCGGACAGACTCAAATTTTGTGACATGGAAGACCGAACAGTTGTGGCTTCTGACTGCCGGAAGACAAAAAGCTAATTTGTCACGGTCAACTAGAGGTCCCGGTTAAAACTCTAGAGAGTCTTAACTTTAGACCCCATTTTCACACATTAAATATATATATTTAGTATTTGATATTTAATACCTTTTTGTAAATTGACTAAATATTTTGAATGTTTAAGTGTGTTAGGTTGTTTACGCTATTGTTGACGGATTTTGAATGAGAGATCAAAATATGAATGAATATATTCCGATATAGACAGGATTCACAGGATGGACTTCATTGTAGTTAGTTTTATGTGATGGAAGGGAAAAATGTTGTGGCTTATGACCGCCTGCCTTTCCCATCTCTTTACTGCAAACCAAAATAAGCAAGCTATAAAGTAAAGATCTTACAGATTTTTGCCAAATACTTTTTTGAAATAAAAGCTAGAATTGAAGTTTTGAAATAACCTAAGCTACATAAAAGTATCAGGGAGTTGGTGAGGTATAAACCAACGGCAGTGGCCGAAGGAAGTAACGTGCACTTGCCGCGTTGAATTGAAAGGAGAGAGAGCTTAGTATATATTTTAGCGCTGCGGCTAGGACATGCTTGTGGGCCGAGCGCTGCGGCTTCAACAGGCTTGAACAGGTCCGCACAGGCAGCGTTGAATTACAAGACAGAGAGAGAGAATGCGCGTAACTCCTTTGGGCCTGTTCATTTAGGTTATCGTGAACAAAAAAAACCCTAAATCTTGAAAAGACGACTTCAAGTGTTATATCTGTATTGTTAATTAATCTAAGGATATATTAGAAAAAGAATACCTTATCACAATAGTGGAATTTGAGCGGTCCTTGATCAGTTGTTAAACAGTCTGTTTCTTCTCTATTATACTTCCCATAACCCACCAGTATACCAGCGTTAGTAATATCATTGTAGGTAGGACTAGCCAAACATAGCTGCAAATATTAGAATTTTGCTTTTTTTTGCACTGAACCTATAGCTTCTATAGAGAATCTGAAGTTTTCACATACAAATGCACAGGGGGGGGGGCAAGAAGGTGTGAACAAGATGAGACTAATAATCTGAAATATATTGTAATTATGTCTCCGGCCTACCCACTATTTAAAAAAATAATTAAAATAAATGTTAAAAATTAATTTAAGGTATTTTTAAAACAAACACCGGTCTTTTAACGTCCTACTCCTGTACCTTACCTTTTGCATAAAAAAAATTGTATTTAGCAAAAAAATCCTTTAAATTAATAGTTCCTTTTAAGTGAAAAATGTCAAGGTGCAGTAGTTTCAAAAATGAGTGTGCACAGGCAAAAAATAGAGTGTTTGACGTCAACACAATTAGACACTTCTTTCATTCGCGTAGTTGCACAAAATCGTTTACAAATTTAGATTAGGTACTGTTTATTCCTTGGTAATTTGTATCTAGCGATTAAAATTCTAGCAATTGTTTCTGCAGTAAGAATATTCACCTTATTTGTTGGATTTAGAGCTGCTTCACCATCTAATTGGATCATCATAATATCATATCCTAATCATATACTTTTTTTACACCGTAAATTTCGTAACTGTCTAAAATATTCAAAATCGCATAATGCAGCGAATCGCTATTATTGAATCAATATTATCAAAGTTTTGAATTATTTTGAAATTATTTTGTTTATCCCAGCAGCTAGAAATATTCCGATATATTTAGGATTTTAATTAAAATTCTTAATGCAATGGTAAACTGAACTTTATTCTGCTGTATTGAATAAATTATTCAATAATTAGGAATGTTTTAGCGCCACTTCTTGACCCCCCGCCACAGCGCCACTTTTGTGCCACCTGGTGGCAACAATTGGCAAAACATTTGAATCGGATTATTGAATGATTCTAAAGACGATTTTATATCCTTTTCTCTCTCTCATTCTAACTTGACAATAATTCGTTCATTCTTTCCAAAATGTCGTCTTTATCCCTATTTAAAATTTTTATCTACTAAATTATACATATTCTCCATAGGTTTTATACACGTATTTTATTATATCTGTATCTTTATACTAATCTTCAATATTTTGCTTATTCTATTCTAGTACAGTGGTCCCCATAAAACATCTCTATTCATTACTCAATCTTCTCAATTACTCCAACTCCCAATTTACCAACTTTTTTATCATCCTAACATTCATTGAATCCCAATCCCAACTTAAACTCCTTAGTTGATATCCATTCCAATTCCCAACCTATATTGACCTACACCCAATTAGTCCGATTTCATTCTCATACCTTATTCCCAAACCAAGCCCAATCCCAATATCTTGGACAGTAGTTGATAATTGTTTGGGATCCCAATAGTTTGGATTATACATAAAAGTTACGACAATATAGACTTTTTATATCATGCTTCATTTACGACAAATGACAAGAAAATATGAATGAATGAATGAAATATATGAAAGAAGCAAGCCAGTCTAAAACCAGCTTGTGTGCATTTTTTTATGCAGTAGTAGACTAAGCCGAGCTAAAGGGGTGTTAAGATCCTTTGCAACAAAAGTTATTAATATGTATTCATGTTTTCACTTTTACATCTATTTTATGCCTAAAATAGTTTTTATTATCAAATTTACCATCCTTGAATTTGCCCTGAATCTGGCAACCACAAAGCAGGCCAGACAGTCGCTATAGAACCAGTAAAGAGGAAGGATCCAAGATGTAACTCCTACGAAGAAAAAAGAACTGTGTGACCCGAGTATTCTCAATGGCAAAGCGAGTTGCTAAGAACCTATACCATTCTCTGTTGAACTGAAACTGTTTCTGTATTCGTTAAATATAATTTTATGATTCTTCATCATCGATTGATTAGAGAGAATTGCTAGTCCAACACAAAGAAGCCCCTCCTATATATACTATTCTACTATCTCAAGCTACGTCCCAATACCAATAACCAATTCCTCTCACCCTTTTCCCCGACCTTCTCTCCAATTCTCTATCTCCAATTTATCTCCTTTTAAATCCGACACACATTATTGTTTAATTTGTTATTTGTTAATAATTAGGAATGTTTTAGTGACCCTTCTTGACCCCCTGCCACGGCGCCACTTTTGCGCCACCTGGTGGCAAAAATTGGCAACACATTATTGTTTAATTTGTTTGTAAATCAAATTTTTTAATATTAATTTGAAATTAATATAACATCTTGTAAAAACCTCAAAATTCTTTATTCATTCAAACCGAAGATTGCATTAAGAATAAAACATTGTGTTTATGAATAAAATGTTATCAGAAGATTTTTGCTATTTCACCGATATATTTAAGTTCTACAGGGTGAGTAAAAAAAGTATGATTAGCGGCGTTTGGTGCAAAATTGTAATTGTTTTTTGCAACTCGCAAGAATGGTACCTTTTTTCTGGAATTTTTTTTTGGATCTCCAATGGCCCCAAACAAATGCGGGAAAAGTTCAGAAGAGCTTAAATGTGTATACATTATTGCTATCAAATTCCATGAAAAATTAAAATTGAATCACAGAAAATTTGCCCAATTGTAATAAGAAAATTAGCAATTTTTAGTTCTGGCCTAATTTTTCGGGAATTAATGTTTTTAATTAGTTTTCAGTGTATCTATAATTTTAGAATATTCTACGAAGAAAGGAACTATATAGTTGATTTAGAGATCACGTTAATATCCAAGATTTTCAAGCAACATTTTCTGGAATCCGTACAACAGGAGAATTCAAAAACTAGTACAATTTTGCAACAGATGCCGCTAATCACACTTTTTTGACCCACCCTGTATTTACGTATTTTCATTTCTATTTTTAGTAAAGTAAAACCATTCCTAACCTCCGAACAGACCATAGCTGCCCGTTCTCATGGTATATCCTTCCTTCTTCTCCACATTTCTGATACAAATATAAGCGATAACAAAAATTAGTTCAATATCTTATTTTTAGAAAAAGTAGAAAATAGAAATACATTACTTTGTTGTATATAGATGCTTTACCAAGGATTTAGCTTTCATCTAAACAAAACTTTTCACAAAAAAGTTAATTATTCAATTTTTAGGAAATACCTTTTGGCCGGCATTTGTCAGATGATTGAAAATATCTGCAAACCCTATCCATTGAAATGGACATCGTTTTTCTTTAGAAATAGATTGAAAAGAAACGGAACGAAATGTGTCTGATGAAGGAACAAAATGAAGAAGAAAACGTGACCATCTCTACCTATCCATACAGTAGGTTTCCCCATCGGTTCTATTACATAGGCCTTCTTATCCTCCAGCAGCCGGCACTTTGCTGTGTAGTTACCACTTTTACCACCCTGCAGTATGTATTAACCCTATTCCTGCTGATGGTTTTCAAGTACCCCAGCAGGGATAGGGTTAAGTTTCTATAAAATGTGTTTTGGAAAATGATTATTTGGCCGCTAGGTGCCACTGCTCTTGATATTTCAGGGATTTCACTTTAGTGATCGACACCTAGCAGACGAAAAATTGTCCTCAAAGGTAAATTGTATACAAAAAAATGTGATATTTAAACTACATATGAATGCATCGAACTGAATTTGACATTTATAACTTGTAAGTTTTAAATTTATTAGAATTATCTCTGGTTTGGTTTGTGTTTAATAGTGCTGCTCCGTGAATGGGTCCTGTGCATCTTTGGTGTTAGATATGTTTAACCATCATATCTCCTTATAGACGCAACAGTTCGCAGTCAAATTAGTAGCAATCAATATCGAATTCAATTCGATATCAGTCTATACCCCAATTCCTTTTTCGTGAAATTTCGCGGGGTTTAATAACAATTCAAAATGAACTTTAAACAGTAAATATCAAAAAGTGATTCAAAATTGACCGAAAGAAGATTGTTAAAAGAACCTGTAAAATCTTTCCCTGGGATGTTTAGAAAGATGAAAATTTCCCTGTATGATAATTGAAGGACTGCAATGGTTTTGGAGAATTATATTGACGTACTAAGCCTGGGGGTGTCGGAAATATTTTTTTTGCATTTTTTTGAAAGCGTCTCATTAATTCCTGAAAAAGTTTAATTTGGATAAAACTAATTTTGTTCTGGGTGATTGCTTATATTGATAGAAAACCTTATTGCTTTATATCGAGTAGATATCCTTAAACATACCGATGTGAAACCTTTCAGAAAGTAGGAAAGATCCTGCAAAAAAGTTGCCAAACCAAACAGAATTTTTATTGTGAACAAAAATATTTAGAACTTACATAGAAGATTTTCTGGGTTGCACTCTATTCTAGTTTTGCATTATTTTCATTCATGTAAAAAAGTATAAAAGACATTCTGTTGATGGTTTAAAACTAAACAGCTGATGATTCATTAGAGGGAGGGATAAAAAAACACCAATTTATAATTTCCAAATCTTTTCATCGAAAGTGATTGTAACTGGGTATACAGAGTAATTCGGGGTACAGGATACTTCAATGTATTGATAAGTACTGGGCTTTACTATGGTATACGGGGGGGGGAAGGGGCTACAAAAACTAGGGTTTCCAATCGGAATTCCGTTGCGCGCAATGGTTGCTTCCGCTTGCACCATTTCATTGCACGCAATTGTAAAAAAGGAAGCAATTAAACATTCGCGGAATTGCGTTGAATTGCGCGGAATTGCGCGGAATTGCGTGCATCAAAATTGGTTTCATACCTAAAAATCAATAATTTTAAATGTTATACTTACAAATTTATGCAGCAGATACAAGAATGGAATTAAATATCTCTGTTGATTTTAAAATAATCAAGGCTGCAAGGAGTGTCATAGTTTCAATAGTTTTCAAATTTTAAAGTTTCTTGTGGTTAAGCTACTAATTAACAATTTGATATGATACATTTTTATTTTGTTCACATTGGATAAACATTAAAATGGAAACTTTTTTTGGTTGAATATGTTAGGTTCGTTTAATCAAAATTAGATATTTTGCTACAGTGAGAACCAGAAAACTATGGTACAGAAAGACAACATCACAGTGTATTTAATATTATAGTTACAAGTCAAACAAAACTACGTAGTAACTTATTAAATCACTTATCCAGTTACATGGGTCTGCTTGAGTCTAAACTGTCGTCTTCCTATGCCAGAGTTTTCTGGTTATCATGCTACACATGAATATTATAAAACAAAAGATTAAGTTTAAATTCAATTTTATTAGCATTTGAGATTGAAATATTAGTGAAGTTCAGTTTATTGTATGGCACTTCCAAGGTTTAAATTGAATATTTTGTTGTTGAAAGGAATTGCGCAATAATTAATTGCATTTATTGCGTGCCATAAGGTCTAAATTGAATTTTATCAAACAATTGAAACACAACGCAAGAAAGTTGGACTGAATTGCGCGCAATTGCGTTGCGTTTATTTGCGCGCAATTTTTATGGAATTGCGCGCAAGGGCTCGCAATTGCGCGCAAGTAAAATCCACACTTGCGTTGGAAACCCTAGCAAAAACCAAACAGAATTTTTATTTTAATTAAAATATATAAGTAGAGTGAGAAGCACTTCTAAGCATATTTCTTTTTAGTTTTGCACTATTTTTATGGACGAAAAAGCTAGTTTTATACTAATCAGCTGATCCCTTAATGGAGGGAGGGATGGAAACCATCGCCTATAAAGGGTACTGACAGGCACTGTGGGGGTACTGCAGAGTACTGTGGGGTACTGGAGGTACTATGGAGTAATAGAGGATATTGGGGGATACGGTGGAGTACTGTGGGGTACTGTTGGTTATTGCTGGGTACTACTGGGTGTTGGGTGGTACTGGGGGAAGGTTCTAATGGGTAACGGGGGTACTAAGGAGAAATGAAGTTACTATATAGTACTACAGTGTACTGGGAGATACTGCAGGGTCATGGTAATACTGCAGTACCCTGTAACCTGTAGTACTCAGGTCTCTGTACCCTTCAGTTCCCTGCACCCTGCAGTGCCCTTGTACCATGCAGTAACCCTGTAACCTGTAGTACCCTGTAACCTGCAGTACCCTATACTCTGCAGTACCATGTAGGCTGTAGCCTTCAGTACTCTGCAGTATTCTTTAACCTGTGCCCTGAATTACTATGTACCCTGCATACCCTGTAACATGCAGGACCCTGTTCCCTGCAGTACCCGGTACCCTGCCATCTCTCAACCCTTTTGTACCCTGCAGTCCATTCAGTACCATTCCGCCCTGCAAGGGAAATCTGGGGTACTGGGATAACTAAGCATACCGCAGGGTACCCAGCAGTAAACCCCCATTCCCCCCAGTATCCCACAGTACCCCCCTGTTCTAGGGCTAGCACCTTTCCACTTTTTTGAAATCGTTCTGTTCCGTTCTGAACGAGGGCCTTCATCTAAATCGTTCTGTTCTTGTTCCTCTTTTTTATCGTTCCGTTCTCGTTCCGTTCCGTTCTGAGTAGAAGAATGGTCTTCCCGTTCTGTTCCATTCTTGGCGTTCTTAGTTGAAGAACGGTTGCATCCCTCTCGTTCTGTTCTTAATCAAGAACGTTTTCATCCCCCGTTCCGTTCTTAGTAACGAACAATTCCATCCAAGACAAAAGTTTTATAGACAGTACCCCCTTTTACTCCCCAGTAACCCCAATACCCCTCAGTTCCCCACAGTTTCCCGAATACCCTGCAGGGTACAGGAGGGTATAGGAGGGTACAGGAGGGTACAGGAGGATACAAGAGGGTACAGGAGGGTACAGGAGGGTACAGGAGTAGCCACAGTACCCCCAGTGCCCTTTTCCCCCCATGTATACCCCTGTAAAGCCCAGTACTTTGCTGTACATTTTAGTACCCTGTACCCAGAATTACTCTGTTTAAGGATTTCTACTCGATATAAAGCACAATTTTTTAATACTTATTTTGACTCAAACTCTTAACTAAATGAATTTAGAAAAATATGCCGGTTAAAGAAAGTTTTAGATAGGTATTTGCAATCATCCAGAGCAAATAGTTTTATCAAAAATTAAAATTTATAAGTTTTATAGGAGTTTTTTAAAAAAGTGCAAAAAAAATCATTTCTGCCACCCTAGGCTTAGTACGCCAATTTAATTGTCCAAAACCATACAACAGGCCTTCAAGTATTATACAGTTCATATTACAGCTTCCTTAAATTCTCCTTTCTCTAAAGTTTGTTTGACGCATTCCTTCTCTCCATCGTAGAAATCCTGGAAGGGTAGGTAGCAGTGAGCTGCAGTTAACACCCATCTAATCAGGATCGAAATCAATTTGTGTAGAACATAGACTAATAACAACACAGATAGAACATCAGATGTCATATTTTTTATGATTTAGCAGTTTTTCGTCCACAATAACCATGAGGCAGACCCAGACGCCCGAAGGAGTTAAACGCGCATTCCGCGCCGATTTACAAGACAGAGAGAGAGCCTGTTCTACGCCCCATGGCGCATAACTTCTTTCGGCTTCTGCTTCAGGGTTATTGTGAACGGAAACCCTTAAAGCTTGTAAAGACGACATTTAGTGTTCTATCTATTGTAGAGCTAAAGGGTTAGATGGAAGATAAATTTTTTGCTCGTCTCAAATTTTTTTTGTCCTTATTTTACTGCAATCAGATGTTTTAAAACATCAAAGGGTTACATGCACCATCAAGTTGCAAAGATTAAGTTAAATGAAAATTTGAGTTTGATGCCATTAGTCAGTTACTTTTTCTACACAGTTTATAACTTTATTATTACTTTGGATGAAAAAGGACTCCACTGCACACTGCTACATTATCTAGCATATCCCCATCATCGCCTACCAAAATATCTTCCAATTAGAAAAAATTAATTTTAATTTTAATTTTAATTGTTGCTTTTTTACTGATTTTTTTCGTGGATTTGAAAGGTCCAAATTTTGTCAAGTCCATGAAACAGTCCCTTTAAAGAATAAATGATAATCATGATTAGATTGAACAATCAAAATCTACCTTTATAGTTTGGAGTCCACGCCACGGCAAAGGGATAGTCGTCAGAATTGACAGACTTGGCCCCAACTAATCTTTGTCCTTGGTCCAACATTGCATCTTCGTCATAAACTTCATATTCATATTCTTCCTTAGAAAATACAATTGTAGGGCCCACTAAACTTTGGAAAAGAAAAACGACTGCAATAATTAATTTATGAGTTTGAATGGTTCAGTAAACATGAACTGGACATGAACTGGACATGAACTGGACATGAACTGGACATGAACTGGACATGAACTGGACATGAACTGGACATGAACTGGACATGAACTGGACATGAATTGGACATGAACTGGACATGTACACAATTAGACGCATTTGATTAACTAACATTATTCTAAAGCCACAGTAAAATTCTATTTGCTTTATAACAAAACATTTAATCATAGATAAATAAATAAACATAGATAGCTTATGAACGCAAAATCACCAAGAATTGTAAAGTCCGCGAACTCATACTTCTAGGGGTCAAAGTGTACTTCAATGATAAGCGGGGTGGTTTGATGTTTTAATGTATTTCATAATTATTGAATATATCATATTCTAGTGTATGCTAAAAATTCAAATTATCAGATATTCAGCGAGACGGTTTTACAATTTATTATTATTATTTATACCAACACAAATAAATGAGAATAATATTGCTTAAATGTCGTCTTCAATTCTTTCAATTTACTCACTTTAGATAAAGGGGTTGAATGTCGTCGTACTTTGAAATATGATTGTTTTTGGGAAAAATTTCATAGTGTCACAGTACTTTATAAATCTACAAAACACTGCTTTGGAAAAAGCGCAGTAAAAAGTTATCATTTACAACTGGAAAAAATATCTCCATCATTAAAGGGACCGTTCACTTATTTGGGTAATTTCAGGGTAAACTTTAAAACAGCCTATTCGCTCTTGATTGGTAATAGTCTTACTTTTCAAAGACAGCTGTGGCCGGAGAAAAAGCCGATTTTTCGTTCAGAATTCGAGCGCAAAGGGACGGTCCCTCTCTATAGACACTAATTGATGTTAATTTTTTAGTATGTTGTGGATCAAAATAAATTTCGAATATAAAATTAAACTGTAGTATCTAATCGTTAATTGTAAATGTCATTGTTTTTTAATTTTTTTGGTTTTTTAACTGTCTATTTCTAAAATAACACTATTTTATTGCATTCAAAATTGTGTATTGCCTGTGCAAAAAGCTGAATTGAACGCTGCCGGCGGCATGACAAATGAAAAGTTGTGCACATATGGCAACAAAATCTAAAAAATCTACGAACCAAAATAGGAGTGGTGATTAATTGATTGTCGTAGAGACGTCGTCTTTGTATACACATTTTACATGTTTTAATACGAAAAACGTAAATTTCTTGTTAACTCAATTATCAAAAGTTTTTATATTTTAGTACAGGGTGTCCCAAAAAACATGTGAATTCAGTGACGAATTCGATATCGTCTTTGTTATGAATTAGCATTGTAATACCTAATTTCAAAAGCCTTAATATTATTATGTCTGCTAGAGTTTATTTAATGAAAAGGGTAAAAGACTGCAAAGAAGTGTCTATAATGTCTCCGCAAGATGAACAGTGAATACGGACAAGTTTACTCTGTTTGTATACTGTAATTTTCTTGTTTTACTAAGTACAGCCGGTTGCAGTCAAAACATAAACAAACAAAATGTAAACATAGCAGACGAAACTCTTACAGATTACAGCTTTCTCAGTAGGTATCACTTTACTAAATCAAAGAATTATTCATAAAGACGATATCGAATTCGTCACTGAATTCCCATGTTTTTTGGGACACCCTGTACATAATAACGAACACATAATGACATTAAAATATGATAAATTTAAATGTTATTGGGCTGCTGTTACTGAAAAAAAACATTAAATAGTGTCTATAGAGAGGGACCGTCCCTTTGCGTTCGAATTCTGAACGAAAAATCGGCTTTTTCTCCGGCCACAGTTGTCTTTGAAAAGTAAGGCTATTACCAATCAAGAGCGAATAGGCTGCTTAGTTTACCCTGAAATTACCCAAATAGGTGAACGGTCCCTTTAGGAAAAGGTTAAAATAGGTTTTAAATTACATCTACGCTCTACAGTCTCTGATACCAGCAGATCAGGTAGACAAATATACAGGGTTGACAGGGTTGATCAGGCTTACCCTGCGTCTGACAAATCGGTACGCGCGTTTGAATGTGCTCATTGCCGTTCATGTAAATCTGCACAAAGGGCTTAAAGGGCGCTACGACATCTGCTCTATTTCCATTTGCTCTATGGCCATTTGCTCTAGTTCCATTTGCTCTATTAACCATTTGCTCTATAGCTCATAGATCACGACGTTTGCTCTATATGTTATCTGCTCTATACGTCAATTGATCTATGACATAACACGTCATTTGCTCTATACACATTTTTATGACTGTGATGGTCCAATTGCTCTACTTAACATTTTCTCTATGAGTAATCACGTCATTTGCTCTATAAACATATTTTACAAACTTATCTAATCATATTAAAACTATACTTTTACAATTTTACATTTTACAGTTCTTCCTACAGTTTCATTATTCCACCAACTTCCTGGAGATAGTTTTGTTTGTCTGGTATTTGTGAGACCAAGCTAAATATAGTTTTCACCACATATCAGGCTTTTTTACCCCTCTGATTATTGAGCAGTCTCTCTGTCATGATGAACTTTGAAGAACTGATTAAATCTGCAATTTGCGAATTTTCCAAAAAAAAATCCCGCATTTCATAGTCAAGTTACGCTAATTAAAACTATATTTTTACAATTTTACATTTTACAGTTCTTCCTTCAGTTTCATTATTCAACCAACTTCCTGGAGATAGTTTTGTTTGTCTGGTATTTGTGCATATTGTGAGACCAAGCTAAATATAGTTTTCACCACATATTAGGTTTTTTACCCCTCTTATTATTGAGCAGTCTCTCTGTCATGATGAACTTTGAAGAACTGATTAAAACGTGCAATTTGCGAATTTTCCCAAAAAAATCCCGCATTTCATAGTCAAGTTACGCTGAGGAATTCCAATAAAAGCTATTTTGTAGTGTATTTTTAGGTTATAGAGCAAATGACGTGTTTAGTCATAGAGCAAATGAGGTATAGAGTAGATTGAATATAGAGCAAATGACTTGATAGATTAAATGGAACTAGAGCAAATGGCCATAGAGCAAATGGAAATAAAGCAGATGTCGTAGCGCTGGCTTAAAGAAAGAAATCTTGGTTTTTCAAAACCAAAAAGACCCGGAATTAATTTACAATTAAAGATGTGCATTTACAATATAATTTTACAAATATGAATAATAAACGATAATAACAAAATAGTACTAGTCCTGCTAATGCCTTTATTGTGCGTTAAATCTTACAAGAGATATATATTATATATGTTAAGTTCTGATTAACTGTCAGTTAATTCCGGTTATTTCTGGTTATGGCTGCATAATTACTGACCCTAGGCCTGTGGAGAGTTATTATGCAGAACATACAGTTGACCCCTAAATGAGCCATTCATCGAAAGAATTTATCAAATACCGTCTTGAAAATTTTTCAATGGGTTTTTACTATGTTACGTAAATCTCAGTATTTGCGAAAATGAATAAATAGCCTTGAATATGCGGAAGCAGTTTTAATCATTGAATTAAATAAACTAAATAACTGCAACAATTCATTATCAGAAAGTGAAGAATACAACAGTAGATGAATTCTTCCGATGTATTGCTTATTAAGGATTTAAATGTAGAATAAGCCCAAAATATCCACCTCGATATATTTATTAGCTCGAGATATACATCTAAATACAGATGTATGATTAGTAAATTCCGTCCGTGCTACATATGCAGTGCAGTCCGTGTCAACTCTGCATCTTTGTCTTCCTGATCTGTGTACTTACCACAACACTTTCAACCTCAGCAAAATTTAGTACAGGTTCCGTGATTGTATAAACTTGAAAAACTGATAATAAAATAATGCAAAGCTGGATCAAAGTCCTCATTTCAACTGAACAGATCAAATTACAAAATATACAATATCAGCTTAAAATCATTGTTTCTTTTCAAATATGTGTATTTCTAAAGATTGTCATTTTTAAAAATAACAGCTGTACAAAAAGTTGTAGGATATCGAGTTTTTCTGTAAAAAATCAACTCTGTTTTTCAAAATGAGGAGGCTAGGCTTGGACGGATGAAGATCTGTAAAGATTTTGCCCGTTCGGCAGAGAAGCAGTTCTCGATCTTTCTAAATATTGTTAGTTATGTTTTTCTTCTTTGTTTATTGTTTTTATTTTTCATTTTTGTGTTTTTAAGTCTTTGTTTTAGTTGCACCAAAAGCCCCCCCCCCCATTGACGCATTATTTACGAACTAAAAGATGCACGCTCACATTTTATAATGACCTTCAGCGAAAATGCATTTCTTAATTTTAACATTCGATTTAAAAGCATTATACATGAATACATTTAATATCTTTTTTATGATCCTTAACCTTTGTTATGTTTATTAAATGTATCCAAAATTAATATCACATTACAAAACATGGTTTAAATAAAAATATTTAAAATAAAATCATTCATTGACATGTTTTATTTAAAAAAGAAAACTAGGATAGTTTTTAAAAATTACGAATTCTGCCTATTTTTCAAAAGAACCAAATTTTTGAAGACAATTCACTTGACCCCCGGGGAAGTTTTACGATAGATGTGAGGAAATATTTGGTAAATTTCCCAAAAACCCTTCCCAAAGGACAACTTTCCAAGTGACAATTTCCCAAGTGTTAACTCCTCAAATGTGGTATTTGGCCATGAGCAGCAACTTTCCAAAGGGTAGGTTAGGCCTTTCAAGGCTGCAATTGGGACCGTGTGCTGAGGATGTGATGGACTAGGGGCCGAGCGCTGCAGCTAGAACAGACTTGGGAAGTTGTCACCAGGGAAAATATTCTTGGGAAGTTGCCGTAAGTAGACCAAAAATCCTTATATAGGTTTATATCGGTTTACTAGCTATTTGATTTGAATTTGATAAGATTCGGAGAGTTACTAAGTTCAACTAAATATTTCTGTGCGCATTTTAAAAAACTAATCATCAAATAGATAATCAGGTACAACATGAGGCTAAGGAAAAATTGTCCAATTTGGCACTGCGTCACAAGTGTCAAATATAACACGGAAAATGAAAATTTCTCACATTAGTTGACATGTTTTCCAAGATTGAATTAAAAAGGGTAAAATCAGAAAAAAAGAATACATAAAATTGTACTTATTTTACTGTAAGATGAGCACTTTATATTAAAATTTTCACTTGTATTGATAATTTTGTCGGACAAAAAAACTAAGTTGACACTTGTGACGTAAAAAGACAACTGTACTGAGAGTATACAAATTCTACGTTGACATCTCTTGTACTAGAATCTATTTGCAAACATGAATTCTCAGTATACTTACATATAAAACTATGGAATCCTCTAAGGACTGTAGACTGTATATCGTCTTGGAAATTGAAATCTCATGAAACCGGAGAAAGGGTAGAGTATAGAATGCTGATAGACAGTTTGTACATTGGACATAAAGGTTAACATGCACATTTAAAGAAGAGGGGGATTTTTGTAGACGTCATTTTAAGTATGAATGAAAATGCAGAAACCAATTAATGTAAATTTGTCAATTCGTTTTTCTAACTCCTTGTGCAAAGTTCAAATATTCAAAAAATATTTAGCAATATGAAAAACATGACGCAAAACATTCAAAATGGCTCTTTTGGTGTAAAAAGGGGTTCGAGAATACTAAGAATTATAAGCGCAGCCAAGCGCGCAAGTATTCCTTCCATTTCATCCTACAAGAGGGGGTACATGGGGGCGTGGTTCACCCCCCCCCCCGGTTCGGCCATAACTTGTATGCTAAAAATGTTATTGATGTATTTTAAATTTCTTAACCTTATTTAGGTTTTTCGACATATGCCAAAATAATTATTTCGCCAACAAAGTCAATTAGTAATTATATATGTAAAATCTCATAGCATAAGTTGGAAGAATTTAAATTGTAATTTTTTGACTAAAAAAGCATGGTTCCCAGCAAGATATGTCACTATCTCTGTTAAAGTTAAACACTTTTGAATTGACGAAATAAAGTTTTTGAATTTTCAAAAAATCCATTATCATATACAAAAGTTTTTTGTCCCAAAATATTTTTTGTGCTCCAAATTGAGAATTTTACTCAGAAAAACTGTTATTTTTTCTCACGAGCAATTTCTATTCATATGCATGTTAAAAATTTAACATCCAATATGCCTCTGTTTATGTGATAAGTGAACTAACTTGGAATGAAAGGCCAAAAACGGAAAATGATATCGCAAAAAAAGTAAAAATAGCCATGTTTTTATTTCTTGTTTACTTTAAAAAGCTTATTTGATAAACGGAGAGTACTACTAGACACAGCTAAATTAAATGGTATGTAATGTATGTATGTATGTACATTATCCAACTGGAAAGAAACAAATTCTAAATCTGACGAAGCTGTAAGAATAATTTTATAAAGAATGTACAACATGGTGGGCTTAACCATTTATTAATGAAAAAAAGAACAATATTTTAATTAGGTTTCTAATTATTGTAAAGTACTCCACAACTCCATCTTTTTCTTTTCTTAAAGATTTCTTGAAATAGAACTTCATGAGTTTCCTGATTTCCTTCACTTGTGAACTTCATGCAGTACATAAATCTCCTGACAGACCCGGCATCATGAAACCTAAACAAGATTATGTTTAAGCTTAAGATATATAGTGGCCGTGGGCTGTCATCAACCCCCCCCCCCCTCCGAACACCCCATCTAAACGCCCTTGATATGAAAAATTTATGAAATGTTCCTTTAAGACAAATCCAATTCGGAAAATATGTTACAGTCTATAAAACAAAATATGCGTTGGTTGGTCTAGCTTTCCATCCTTCTTTCAAAAAATATTTCCAAAAATGACATAAGCCGTGGAGGGATAGTCTAGCTCTGTTGCAGAAATGTAGATTTTTTAAAAACTTTAAAATTGTAAATTATTTAAACAAAATTCATATTTTACCTTGGTATAAGCTCTTAAATGTTTCGGAGAAGTATTGTTGTGCACATAGGATAATTTTTACAGTTTACTGATGATCGTATACCTTCTTAATTTTCAGTTTTATACAACAAATCTTTCATGCTATGGTATAGAAAAACTGTGTACTGTTTACACACCCCAGATCTGTGTACACTGAATATACAGAGATGCCGCAACTCTCATTTATCACTACATGATCTATACCTATAACACCGATTTTTCGCTACGTTTTGAGAATTTTGAGATACTACGCGAAAAATAAAATTCTTAATTTTTTCTTGCAAATCCAGACTATATGGAGAGCTTTAGCTAGCAACAAATTGCGAACACATGAAACATAAATTATTTATACAGAGCAGCAATTTGACAGATACGGTTTGAGGTTGGATATAGTTTTTCAGAACTAGAAAAGAAGAGAAAAACGAATTTCGCCAAAACAAAAACGGAAGTGAAAGAGCTCTGGAAAACTATGTCCAACCCCCCAAATGGTACTCACATAAACACGTACTGTACGTCTGAATCAAGAGTTGAAAAATAATAGTATCGCAGTATCACTTAAAATTTTAAAGTAAATAAAAATAACAGTATAACTAGAAAGAAATTTTTAGACTGAGAACTGCGTTGAATATCAATTGAACGTGGAGAAATTCTCGTCATGTTCTGGTTCTATCAATATTTGGTATGGCTCGGAGCGAAGGTCGTCATAGATTCTTGAAATCATTAAGAATTAGCAAATTCCCTTCTGTCCCTGATCTCTGTACTCCAAACAGTAGTTTTTTTTTGTCCTAGCAATCTCATTTTTGGACACTATCCCCTGGAAATTTTGTGACTTTTAATGAATAGTAATTTAAAGAAGTTTTTGTTAGCATTTTTTTTTAAATTTATAGGGTCGTAGGGTACAGGACAGAAAAAAATCCAGTCTATGAAAAAAATCTAAAGCTACAGATCTAAAAACGATATTTTTAAAAAGTCCTTGAAACATGCATGCAGAAACATGTGCCACACTATGATATTTGTTTAAAACACAAAAAATATTTATTTTTTATTTTTTTGACCCTTTTTTAGGCATTTTTTTCTTCCACCCTCCCTAGCTCCCAAAAGTTATCTGTTTAATTTTTTTTCTTGTAGCATGGCCATGAAAAATTGGGCTGTGAACATGCATTTCTCTCTATACCTATGCTCTAAGGCCTTTTTCTAAGGCTTTTTTCCCAGGCTATACATAGATTCAGACCCCCCATGCCTACATAAGGTTAAACAAAGTTTTTTCCACTTGTTATGTTTATACTAACATCAAATATTGTTTTTCTACAGTGGTTGAAAAACGGCATTTTCCTTAATCACAGTACTTAAAGAACTGTCAGGTTTCTATCAGTTCTTGTGTTTAAATATATAAAAGCTATATGAAAGCAATAAGATACACAATATCAGGAGATAAAAGAGGAGAAAAAAAAACATTACAAGACGATTGAAAATCGTATCAAGTAACATTACTATCAACTTGAAGTGTCAGTTATATGTCAAAATTTCCAACTAGAGGTTCAATGTGTGCTATTAAAGCTCTCATATACTCAATTATTTCTTTTTGCTTAAAGGGAGTGTTGACGAAAAATGAAAGGGGGTTTAGGTTTACGGCGAAAAATAATCGCTTTTGATCACAACTAATCTTACTTATATCTGCTGCGTCTAAAAGGACAAAAAATGTTAAAAACAACTTGTACCGAAGAACTTAGAGTCCATACAAATTGAGAAAATTTCAGTATTCAACTCGGATCGTAAAAAAATAAATTTAAACGCCAATTAGTTTGTCCGCCAGGTGGCTCTGCTCTCGATGCTCTTCATGATTCCACATAGCGGAGACACCCAGCGGAAAATAAATGTTGTTATAAGTGCATTGTAAATAAAACAAATACAAAATATAATGCAATATCAACTGTATAAGAATGCGTCGAAAAATTATCGATGACTTTAAGTTTAAAAATCTAAATGATTTGTTTGATATTAATTTGATTTTTTACCATCCTAGTGGTATGTTGCAACTTTCTCAATTTGTATGGACTCTACGTTATTCGGTACAAGTCGTTTTTAACAATTTTCTTGTTGTAGACGCAACAGATTGAAGCAAGATTAGTAGTGATCAAAAGCGATTATTTTTCGCCGTAAGCCTATACCCCCTTTCATTTTTCACGAATACTCCCTTTAAAGGGACTTTAAGCGTAATTTTAAGTGACCCTCCATGTAAAGATGGCAATGCCCGATTTACAATGGTAGCCTTGAAATCTTACTCTGGTCAAAAATGTGGAAGATCTCGTCGTTTTACAGACTCCGCGACTCGAAAAGTGTTTATTTTCCGTTTCTTTTTAAAAACAATTGAAATGCGTAAATGAATCTGCAAATGAAAATACACCGTTTAAAGAAACAAAACATTGATATCTAATTCATACTTGATAAGAAAAAGTATTTAAGGGTACCGTGGTAAATCGGGCAATGTCATCTTTGCATGGAGGGTCTCTAGAATTTACAATTACAGTCCCTTTCAAAGTAAACAGAAAAAAAGTGCATTTGGAAACTCATCAGTGCATCATACAAAGCTTTATTTATATTTTTCACAAAGCCTTGAACATTGATCAAGATCATTTCAGAATTGTTTTTTATCAGAAACGTTGAATAAAGTTAAGTTTCAGCCAAAAACCCTATAAACCAGGACATGTTGAAACAAAGTTAAACTTGTTAAATCAATAACTTAGGCTTTTGAATTGCCCCGCAAACGTTGAGATCCCAGACTGTGAATTGTGATGGCGAATATTTGATCATCAGATGGTCAGATGGTCAGATTGATCAGATGGTAACATCCAGATCAGGGGCGTATTGTTGGGAGGGAGGGGGGGGGGGTGAACCCTGGGCCCCCCTAACCCTGAGCCTAATATATTAAACTTCCATATATTTTCTTAAACATTGACAATTTATCCATTTTACGTTATATGTCATAAATAATGAATTAAAAACTTTATTTTTTTCTTAATATCTTTTTTTCAAGGGGGTGAACAAAGACCGCTAGGTGGATGAAATAAACCAATTTTTGCAACATTCATTTGCGTTAAAAGTTAACGACCCTAGACTAAAACCTCTCATACGCCCCTGATACAGACTTCACCATGATGCAGGTTTTTCATCAAAAGAGCCCAAAACTTAAGACAGGGTATCGTTCTGAAAACCAGTTTTAAAACCCGGGTTTCGCGAACATGGGGTTAGACAGTTTTGTGAATATCAATATTTTGTTATGAAATATTATTTTATTCAGTTTGTTTATATACTCAATTTTTTTGAATCTCTTAATTCAAAATCTACACAAATGTTAAGACCCCAAAATGTTAAGCTTGCTGAATTCTGCGAAACAAAAAAAAAACACATTTCAGATTTTAAAATGTATGTAACCATCCTTTGTGGTGTTATAATGCATATTTCTGTAATAAGGACACAGGATAGAGTTAATCCACAGGATAGAGTTAATCCACAGGATAGAGTTCATCCAACCGATTTGTAAGTAAAAGCGAGACTCTTTAGTGTCCGAATTTAATGAATTTAAGCCCCGTCTCATATCCTTTAAAAACCGGTTTCAATTGAGCGCCGGCTTTAATCTTGAAAATTGAATACAATTTTAAGTTAAACCAACCATATTTGAGCCGCAGCTTCAAATTTAAGCCGCGACTCTGGTATCTTAAATAGCAGTTGCTTTTAAAAAATAACAGCAAATTTCTTCATTTTTGTGATGCAACTTTAATGAATGGCATAAACATTTTTTTCTTTTTTGTATGTTTACACAGCTGTAAGAAATCAAGATTTTTATAACAGACGGCAACTTTAGTAAAGAATGGAAAAGACTGAATCTTGTCTCAGCTTTAGAAACCTGCTCAATACACGATGCATTTTTGTTCACTATTTTGAATATCTAGCAGATTAATAGAGCTACATGGTCTTTCCTCATTTGCGGAATCTGTGCAAACATCAGAAGCGCAGTGAATTGCTAAACATCATGCGCCAATTTCGAATTGTTGTCTTACAGAACTAAATGTTTATCGGAGAAGCAAATGATATCCTACAAACTCAAAATACATTCTTAGAAGGGAAGGTCACGACTTAAAAATTGTCCTCAATATATAGCTGCACCGTTTTTGAAAAAATAAAGTTGTGATACAATTCCAATTTCAATTCAAAAATTTTGAATTGGAATTTCAAAAATGGGGATTAGCATTTAATTGTACTTGGGGATTTGTTTTCAAAACGAAAGGAAAAATGGCTACATTTATGCAAGAAATATATATTAATTGCATTTATCTGCTTTATTTTTCGTTTTTATTCCAAATCGATTGTTTTCAAAACTTTAGTTTTCATTCCAAAACAATCGTTTACATTCCATAATTTGATCGTTTTTCAATTTCTTAAATGATTGTTTCGAAAACTATCATTTTCAAAACAAGCATTTCGTTTTATTCTAAAAAACTATCATAACTTAGTTTCATTCCTGTCAAAACGATCGTTTTCAAAGCAATAGTTTTGTTTTCAAAATTTTTTTCAACGTTAACGAAACTTAACGAGCAATTTTTAACAAAGTCAAAACTGTTTATCACTACGCACCTTCAAAATTAACGGAGACTTCAGTTTTTCAGATAAAATCGAAATTGATTAAACCATCTGTACAAGAAAAAAATTTAATATCTTGGATTCAATCAAGGCTGTCAACATTTTTAAGTTGTCACTAAATTCTCATGCTTATCGGGGCTCTCTGTATATTATAGCCCTCTGTATCGGGGCTCTCTGTATATTATAGCCCTCTGTATCGGGGCTCTCTGTATATTATAGCCCTCTGTATATTATAGCTCTCTGTATATTATAGCCCTCTGTATCGGGGCTCTCTGTATATTATAGCTCTCTGTATATTATAGCTCTCTGTATATTATAGCCCTCTGTATATTATAGCCCTCTGTATCTGGGCTCTCTGTATATTATATATATATGTATAGCCCTCTGAGGCCATTATTTTCCAACGTACAAAGGAACTAAAGGTCCGTCCTATATTACCGTACTTTGGGGACGTATAGTTTGGCCGCCAGATGTCTCACGAATCGATCCTTATCTGATAGGTGGATAATAAGGACGCATTCAGTCAGAGACGTCATATGGTCGACCACTTTAATGTTGATAAAGAACAGTCTCTGAGCTAGTAGATTGTGTCGTCCATACTAATTTCACCCATATGACATACTGTGTATGGAGATATACGACCTCTGTTGGCGAAAACAAATGGAAAGTATCGTAAAAATAGATTGAGTTCTGACACTTAAACTCAAGAAGACATCTAGCGGCCAAAAACTATCAAGTACAGAGACATACAAAGATCGTCTAATGACACCTGGCCCGTTATTTTCAGGAACGATTTGGGCTCTAAATATAACTTTTTTTTTTATCAAAACTGTCATTGCAAAAATGTTAATTAGTGGGTCCCTTGTGGTGAACTCAACTCTAAGACCTCTTGTCTTTCAACAAATTGTAAAAGCCTCAGATATGGTTAACGGCACTGGCAGGTACAGGAAAGATGGTAAATGTCGTCTTCTTTTCGACATTTTAAAATTTTTGTAACGGTTTTAAATTCAATTAAACAACTAAGGGAAGACTTAAAAATCTTTAAAATTTTCTTAGATTTAAAGTTTAAAATATCAAAGGTTTACACCATCAGGTTGAAAAGATAAAGGGTTTAGAAAATTTGTGTTTGTGTAAAAGATTCAATTCCTTTTGTTTATGTTTTATTCATTCAAATTCATTTATTCCATCTGTTATTTATTATTTTTTCATAAATTAATTCCAGAACAATAAATCTAAACTTTTATTAATTTAGGTTCGAGTCCCCCCCAGCAGAAGAAGGTGTGTGTAAGCTGGGCTTATTGACAATTATTCAGGGTGTCCTAAGAACAATGACTAGAGGTCGTCTTAGATTGTTGAAAAAAGCTTGGCATTTCCAAAATGTGGTCAGTCATTTATTGTGCTTTCAATATTACAAGAGATATTGGATTTGTGTTCAGATTTTGACAATTTTTCATAGATTTTAAAAAAGGTTGGCGACTGAATATCTCAAATAAATTCGAAATATCAAAGACGACTTTCAAATTATCTTGCCACTGTCATAATTCTTGGGACACGCTTTATACATTGAACACACCCACTACGAACTGTTTTATATTGAATGCATTATTTTTTTAAACATTTTATAACTACATTAATTTACGTTTTCGTTTTCCTTTTAGCGGTTTAACATAAACTTTTCATATTATCGATTCTACATTTGAACAAAATTTCATGTGAATATTTTGCAATGATTATTTTTGACATTTCACCATCTTGTAACATCTTTACGATTTTAGATGGAAACATTTTACTCAAATTTTTATATTTTGACAACTTAATATTTTTAACGAATTTTGATTTTAACAAAATAAATATTTCAGTAATTTCACTTCAAGACAATTTTACATTCAGACATTTTTGCAATTAGACAATTTTCATTTAGACAATTTTATATTTAGACAATTTTACATTTAGACAATTTTACTTTGAGACAATATTACATGGAGACAATTTAACATTTAGATAATTTTACATTTGGACAATTTTACATTGAGACAATTTTACATTGGGACAATTTTACATTGAGACAATTTTACATTGAGACAATTTTACATTGAGACAATTTTACATTGAGACAATTTTACGTTGAGACAATTTTACATCGAGACAATTTCACATTGAGACAAATTCACATTGAGACAATTTTACATTGAGATAATTTTACATTGAGACAATTTTACATTGAGACAATTTTTCATCATGAGACAATTTCACATTTAAGCAATTTTTTATTTAAACTATTACACATCAGAACTGTTTTAAATTCTGAGCTTTACAATAATACAATTTTTATTCTTGTTAAACCAGACCTTGCATTGTAAGGTAAACAGACAGCCTCTCGAAGCCCAAGGGAGAAGATCCAGAGATGATCAAGATTATTTATGACCTTACACAGGCCATCAGAGGTAAACTCCATTCATGATCTTACAAAGACCATCAAGGGTTCACAGCATTCATGATCTTACAAAGGTCCTAAGAGGTACACACCATTTATGATCTTGCACAGGTCATTAGAGTTACACAGCATTAATGATCTTACACAGACCATCAGAGGTAAACACCATTCATGATCTTAGACAGAATATCAGAGGTACACACCATTCATGATCTTACACAGACCATCAGAGGTACACACCATTCATGATCTTACACAGGTCATCAGAGGTACACACCATTCATGACCTTACACAGCCCATCAGAGGTAAACACCATTCATGACCTTACACAGCCCATCATAGGTAAACACCATTCATGATCTTACACAGACCATCAGAGGTACACATCATTCATGATCTTACACATGCCACACAGACCATCAGAGGTACACATCATTCATGATCTTACACATGTCATCAGAGATATTAAACCATTCATGATCTTACACAGACCATCAGAGGTACACATCATTCATGATCTTGCACATGCCATCACAGATATTAAACCATTCATGATCTTACACAGACCATCAGAGTTACACATCATTCACGATCTTGCACATGCCATCAGAGGTATCACACCATCCATGCAAATCGTAACTTTCATGTAATTTTTTGAGCTCTAAACAATTTTGTTCATATTTTTAAAGTTTAAAATTATAAAAAATTACAAAATTATTGACCAAGGTTAAAAATAATAGTATTTAATAAAAACGAATTTTATTCTGCTTTTTAGATAAGTACAAAGGAGATCGTCTTGGAATGGAGAATTTGATCAAAGAAATGTACTCTCCAAATATAACAAACATAACCCAAGGTATAGCAATGAAATACCTCACATTTAAAAGGACTGTTCTTGTTTTTTCAAGAGACCTTGACGTTTAAGAGTGGCATGGCATATTCACAACAAGACCCTATTTTCCTTAACATTTTCACTAATGTAGAAGGTATTGTTTTTTACAAACTTGAAAGCTTTTAATTCTAACAATTTGCAAGTCTTTCGATGTAGAAACCATAATTTTGAAAAACTTCATTTTTTAAAGTAAAATTTGGATATCTTGTTCAGGCAAAACTTTTAAAGGTAGCGTTGTAAGTAAAACATGCCACTCTATGAATGGAGAGTCCCTTCAAATATCGTGCACGGTCCCTTTGAATATCATGCACAGTCCCTTCAAATATCGTGCACAGTCCCTTTAAATAACATGCACAGTCCCTTCAAATATCGTGCACAGTCCCTTGAAATATCGTGCACAGTCCCTTGAAATATCGTGCACAGTCCCTTGAAATATCGTGCACAGTCCCTTTAAATATCGTGCACAGTCCCTTTAAATATCGTGCACGGTCCCTTTAAATATCGTTCACAGTCCCTTTAAATATCCTGCACAGTCCCTTTAAATATCCTGCACAGTCCCTTTAAATATCGTACACAGTCCCTTTAAATATCGTGCACAGTCCCTTTAAATATCGTGCACAGTCCCTTTAAATATCGTGCACAGTCCCTTTAAATATCGTTCACAGTCCCTTTAAATATCGTTCACAGTCCCTTTAAATATCGTGCACAGTCCCTTTAAATATCGTTCACAGTCCCTTTAAATATCGTGCACAGTCCCTTTAAAGATGTAAGACGCATCAGAAGATACAGGGTGTCTCACAAAACCTGATAATTTGATAATAATCAGTGTCAGCTTTGCGTCCGTCGTCTATTTAAATCTTTCATTACTGCTCAATTTTCAGAATTCTCTCTTCGAACAAATAATAATAATAATAATAAAAAAATAAGATAAATATATATGATCCAATTTTAGAATTTTAGAATTGACTTATCAAGAATTATAAAACAAAAAGAGCATTTCATCAACTACGGGGTGCTTTTTAATCTTGGCATTTTCAAACGGATACAATTAAGTTTTGTGATATGTTTCATCTTTAAAATAAAGAAGGAAAGCTTATTACGATGTAGTAGTTTTAAAAATTAAACAACTATAAACAAATGAAGATTTATTTTTTTATTGGATTATAATATTAGAAGAATGAAAAATGGCAAGATTAAAGAAACACCCTGTTAAGGAAAAATAAAAATAATCCAATTACATGCCACAACTATAATCTTCTCAATTATATCTGTCATGTTATCAAATTATGTGACAAAAAACTATGGGCATAATTCAATATAAAGTTTTTACAGAAAACTTAAGAAATTGGGCCCTTCTGTTGAACTGGTTACCCAGCAAACCGTATGACGTCGAATACAATTGTAAGATGAACATCTGAACATGGCATTTTTAGTCAGTGTAATGTTAATATGCTCTAATGTCTGAAAAATAATGTCTCCAATCTTTTCAAACCTTTTTTGTCAAAAGTTTTTGGAAATTAATGGCAGATCTTCTTTCATTGTAAAATGAACTACCGTACTCTATCCAGATTCTGCATAAGCTGTATAGGGATAGAAGTACCTTGCAAGATAAATGCTTAAACAAGTTTACAGAACAATTTTCCCATGAATCAATCCTAAATAAAATAACATTCCATTAATTTTTTCATTTTGTCACGTTTTGTGATAGCTTTTAGAGGTGGTAGATTTATTTGTAATTTGGTTAGAAATTTGCCTTAATTTGTAATGGTTTAATTTGCCTGTTCAATAGTTTACAGGAAAGGTATAGTAAAGACTCAAAACAAACAGCTTAACAAACAAACAATGTAGCTAAAAACTTTTAGATGAAGAAGCATCAGCCGCGCTGAAGTCAATTGTGGACGGAATTTATGCAAACTTGCAAGAGGATAACATGAAATATTATTATATAAAAAATTGAAATTTTCCTAAGTTGACTGGACATAAGACAAAAGACCCGCATATCCAATTCAAAAAGATGCTTTTGTCAGATCATGACATGACTGATATATCCTTATTTTTCTAACTAAAAATTGAGTGCCAACAAAATTAAGGGACAACTGGCTTTGAATTGAAAAAATGTAAATAATTTTAAGTATATGTTGATCAGACAAAGTACCTTTATAGTTCAGAAAAATTATATATGATATTCAAATAATATCATCAATAAAGCTGCATATTTTGATTGCGATCAAGTCCTAAAGTTTTTAGGCTTTAGCCTATACCCCCTTTTATTTTACCTTAATAGTCCCTTAAAGCTTGTTATTTTTAATTTTTGTTGATCCAGAATGTGAGTACTACTACTCTATTTGACCCCATAGCTTCCGAGACTACAGGTAAATTAACAGAAAATAACTATTACAACATCAGCTGATCCAAGATTTGGTGATCTCTCATTGGTCCATTCTAAAGAGATGCTGATTTTTCATTGGTTTAAATTCACTTAAACTTTTGACCTAAAGATCACATGTCTGCCAGCACAGTGAAATTGAAAAAGAATCATTTTAAAGTCCTTAGCTTTGTCTTTATACGTTAAAATATCAATTAGTGAAGGTTTTAAGGCTAATTCTTAGCATAAAATTTGTGGGCCTTCCCTTAATTTATGTTAGCATTTATTTTTGATAAAACTTGTTTTTTTGGTCAATAAAGTACACTCTGGAAGCATAGTTTAGGTTGCTCTGCCTGTAATCTTAAATGAAAGTGATTCGTTTTTTTAAACAGCTAAAAATATTATAACTATTTATAACATACTGTTATTTTGGTTTGTAGAGTTACAAAGTTTTTGGACAGAAATTTTCTTTTCATCGAGAAGGTTCAAGCCTTGTTAAATTTAATTTTGTCCCAAGCTTTAGGGAGGGACAAAATAATTAAAAAACGAGAACCTTCGAGATACAGATAAAATTAAAGTCCAAAAATTTTATAACATGTAGCGTCGCGCCAAAATAATAGTTTTATAGGTAAATTGTAAAAAACAGTTGTGTACTTGTCTTATTTCAATCGCTATTTCTATAGATCAAATAAGCTTTGAAACAAAGCAGAATTTTATTTTCATTACAATTGAAAAAAATTATTTTGGAAATATTCTAAATTTGTTGGAGAAAATCCGGGAACCAACCATAACAAAAGTATGCAGCTAATTCAACTTTATTTTTAAATTCACAATAAAGTGACTAAGAATGATAAGGTACACAATAGTTTCATGAAAATCTTTTTAGCTTCTACTGGGCAAGATTATTCTTTTGAGTTTCATTATAACTTTAGATAGACTACTTTTTGAATCATTAAGTTTTGTAACATGTGTACAAATTTTGATATCTAGCTTCAATGAAGTTTACTACTTTTAAAGAGGTCTAATCTCCTAATGAAATAATTTGTATTCATTCTTGATGTATTAAATTTCTCTTTATGTGTTACTAACTGTTTTAAATGTTATTTTCTTTTATAAACATTATTCAGCTGAAACTTCTGAAAAAAACTACTTAATAAAAATCTACAATTCAGATGCAATTAATGGGGGAATTTAAAGTTTTCAAACTTGGATATCATCTATATAGAGATTACTTACACTATTCCTAAATAAAGCTTTATCTAAAAATATATAATTGAAAATTTATGATTTAGGCCCTTCACCAACAAATACTACCATATCATCCACTCCTCTTGCAAACCTCTCAAACATAACATTTGATGCAAATCCTACAATAATGACAACAACACCTGCAAATCCTACAATAATGACAACAACACCTGTAAATCCTACAATAATGACAACAACACCTGTAAATCCTACAATAATGACAACAACACCTGTAAATCCCATGATGGAAAGCATAACTGAAATACCTGACTCTGCATCTGAAATAACTGATGCCAGATCTGAAATAGTAGATACAACAACTGAATTGGCAGATACCACAACTGAAGTAACCAATGCCATATCTGAAATTACTGATTCCGCATCTGAAATTACCGATGCTGCATCTGAAATTACCAATGCCGCATCTGAATTAAATGATGCTGCATCTGAAATAAACGATGCCGCAGCTAAATTAACCAATGCTGCAGATGAAATAAAAAATGCTGCAACTGAAATAGCTGATACTCCAGCTGAAAAAACCAATGCCGCATCTAAATTAGCAATAACCACCACTCCCCTTGTAAATGAACCAGAAGCGACAAATAACCCAAGGAAGAGATGGACAAAGTATTATTGGTTAGCTAAGATTAAGGTTTACTAACTCCTAAAAGGCTCAAAAAGAATCTAAAATGGTAATTATAGTTCAAAGGTACATTGTGTTTAAATTTTCCATAAATTCATTGTGGACAATGATCACTTTTACTGTCTTTTTACTAACATAACCTACCTATGATTTCCTCATCAGAGGGACGTTTAAGTTACTTTACGACCCTTGAAATTGTGTACAACTACTTTTTTGGGAAATTATAAATTTTACTTACCCACGGGTTCCTTCGCCCAATTTATCCTACAAAACATCCAGAGCACAGCAAGGGATGTTTTGAAGGCAAATTTGGTCTTGGAGACCCTTTGTAAAGAAAAATTCCATTACCTTCCCTGTAAAGTAGTTGTAAATAATTATAATACAGTAGTTGGCGATTATATTAATACAATGAAGACGACTTTTTTACTAAAGTTTTGATTAATAACAAGCTTATTTTGAATTCCAAGTTTACAAGTAATCAAATAGAAGCTTTTTGAATCGACAGCTTCTCTTGACATCTAAGTTAATGCGTCTCCATGTTGTTTAATAGCTTGATTTAAATCAAAATTAAAATTGAAAGTCGTCTTCATTGTATTGATATAAACGCTTACCACTGTAAGTGAGTACTAATATTTTTTTGACATATAATTATACCAATCTGGATGTAAGGTAGATTATCACAGATTGTACCAAAAACAATGCCTATTTCTCATCTCAGGCTTGCCATGGACTATAATGAAGTACTACCGAACCAATCATCCCCTAGTATTCAGAATAATCTTCCATCTTCGACTACGAGGATTGTTACTAGTAAAATTCCAATTTATCTGAACCTGAAGTCCACTATCGTTTTTCAACCAGAGACAACATCACCTTCTGTGGTTAATTCTCCTAAAACTCAAGAATTTATTAATCCACAGATGTCTATACCGGCTTCAATTCAATCTCATGTAAATGTTATTCCAATGTTGATACAGGAACCAGATTTAATGATTAGCAAGAAAATAATTAAACTGAGCAGGGAACTTTTGAATAGTGGATATCGGGATTAATGCTTAATCACTCTTTTTCTTAATCTCGAGATTAAATAATGCTTGTTCTCCTCTTGTTATTAATCTCCAGATTAATTCTATAGTTTTCAGCTCTGCATAAACTTAGTTAAACCCTCTTCTCTTCTACTTGACATGGTTCAAGAGTTGAAAACTGTTGTACTGTTGATATTGTCGAGATCAATGTCCGATCTAAATATTTTCTTTAGCTACAGATTAATGTAATCATTTTTTTAATATCCTGTGAAGAGTGTCTGTGTAAGACGAACAGCCTGCCAGGGAATTTGGCGTTCTACCAATATAAAATAGAGAAATTTCTGATATCTTGCACTGCATACTATCCTGTTCGCTCAATCTTGTTATTCACTATTGTTTTTCTGCGAAATCTTTCTGTTTGATATCCCTGCGAGGTTCGACCAATGAGACTTTTGTCATTGATTGCGCGCTTCTGATTGGCTGTACTGTTCTTGCAAACGACACTCTGATTGGTTGAATTTTAGACACTTTCTGGATATCAAATAAAAAATAAAAATAAAAAGAAATGATCAAGAATTGATCTTGATTAACTTGAGTTTCCAGCTCTGTCCAGTGAGATTAACATGCGGTAAAACTATTTTTCGCATAGCTTATCTAAGCTAAAATATGCCTTGATTGGCCAGAGCTATAAATTTTCGGCTGCGTCATCAACATGTTGAAACCAGGCCGACATAGGATCGGGACAGGGCGCTTCTTGTCGCGCGTCACAAGGCCTGTGCAATGGGTCGGTTCAAAATAGTCCACTGAGTGCTATTGATTAAATCTGGTCCTACTGGTTGATCAGCAACAAACTAGTTTACCTCCAACCACCAACATCATGTCAGAACCTACAATCAATATTTCAATTCAAGCTGTAAATGAACCAACACCTGAGAAGAGCCCCCACGAGATTCTACCTGCCAAACATCAAAAAGGTAAAAAGATATTTTAATATGCAAGTTTTTTTTCATACTGTGAGAACAATCTGGAGTAAGAAGACGACTTTTAGACTCAGCTTTTGACATTGAATCGTCCAATGAAAATGAAACAAAGCAATTGAGCAGCGTGAACTGACCCATTTCACTTCATAAGTTTTATCATACGTTACTGATATCACTATTGCTTTGTTACGACATTAGTTGCTTTAATGTCGTCTTACTAGTCTTTATAATTGTCAACTTCCTTTGTTTACATGTTTTGTGTATCCATGTTGTTTAAAAGCTTGATATAAATTAAGTTGATATCAAAAGCCGTCTTCATTATATTGATATAATCGCCTACCACCATATATACAGAGTGTCCCACATCATATCGGATCACTATTAGCTCTAAATTATGATTTTTGCGACTAATCGGAAAATTTAAGGAAGATGAAACATTTATAAAAGATTTCTTGGAGAAAATACTAGACTTTAAGAGCATTATGTGCGTATTTTGAACTCTAAAGCTTAATTGGATATAATCCGATATGATATGGGACGCTTTGCATGTAGAAAAACACATTGTAAACAGATTTCATTGATATGATGCACGGTTCACTAGAGGTCCTCAGGTCCTGGTTTCAAGTTAATGGAGTCTACGTGGATGATATAATATAATATTGAAATGTAGAACATCCAATAAAAGAAAATTAAGAAATGTTCCTTAAAAATTAAGCGCCTATACAGAATGACTTAGATTAAACTATCCATGGATTAAACTAATTGGGGGAAGCAGAACCATGGGCAGCTGTAGTACATTTGTATTTCCGAGCCGGGTCAACCTTTCCGGTCCCAGTTTGTACTGTATCGCCCGGACATTGGGTAAATACAACTAGCCGGTGCAGGAATGTTGATGCGGTCAGGCTTCAAGTTAAATTTACTTTTACTAAAGGGTCAGAGGTGCTTGGAACCAGCTGCAAGCAGGATATGATTTGATTTAAAATTAAACCTCTCATGCAATCTATGTACAATGGATTCTTGGTTTTTTTGACGTAAACATATTTGAATTTTATTTCTTTAATTCAGTTAATTTACATGTTGAAACTATAAAAGAACCCCTACAGTCACCATCTTGGAGTGAGACAGCCAAACACGGGAAAGGTTATGATTTTAATCAATTTTTATTTATTCTAATATCTATTTTTTTATTGTAATGTGTATTATTAAGTGTGAAATAGTTGTAGTCTAGATTCTTTACCTTTTCTAGCGTTCAGTTTGAAAAAAAAATCCCGGCAAAAATTTTTTATCACCCATGAAACCTATTACAATAACATATTTTGTTATATTCAATTTTCTCAACATTTTCCATTCATTCCACAATAGGTGGATAAAAAAGGGTTGATAAAGTTATTTTAAATCCCTGCAACAAAAAATATTAGATGTCAAATTTGAAATTTCAAGGTCATGTGTGCTAAATTCCCTTAAAATTGAATTAAATACTATTTTGTTTTTTAGATTTTGATTCGAAAGGAATGCAGGAATATGATCTACATAAGTATCTTCCCAGCAGGAATCCTATCTGGGCTAAACTTCATATCAAAATTACAAAATTTACCAAATAAAGTTGAAATACAATTTACAAAGAATGAAAAATCATTAGTTTTATTTTGTAACTAGCTAAAATGCCTGGTGTTGCCCATGTTTATAAAAAATCCAATTTTGAAGAAAAAAATCCAATTTTTAGTCTAAATTACCCCCTGGGTACCATGGGTTCCCTAAAAAAATTCAACTAATTTGGTCCAGGCATTTGGCCAGCTTTAACTAACATATAAATATATACAAATATTTATACATGCGCGAAGAGCTTTATTATAAAGATTAGAAAAGTTTGGTAAAAATACAAACTTTTTGATTTAGTAATGTTGGTTTGAATAAATGTTGGGCTGAACCGATCTGGAGGGACTCATCATCAAAGGGTTTTCACCATCATTATACCAAGGATTAGATTAAAAGAGTTTGGGGCTATTTTTTTTTAAATTCTATTTTGCTTCTAATTGTGATCGTATAAATAAACTGAAAACACGAATAGTTTATATATTGGGACTGTAAGCGTAATTCAAAGTGATCCTCCAGTTCAGAACTGGACCCTGAAAGTAATCCTCCAATTCAGAACTGGACCCTGAAAGTGATCCTCCAGTTCAGAACTGGACCCTGGAAGCTTTGAGTGATCTTTGAATAAAATATTGAGGTTTGCAATTTTGAAAACTGATTATTTTCAATTGTGGTTACTCTGCAAAAGTGTCCTGCGCATTCTACTGCAGGAGAAAAACTATTTGAAGTATCAAAATTAAACACTTTTTAAACCTAGAAAACCGATAAAATCTTCCACACAAATTGATCAAATCGGTTTCAAGGGTACTGGTATTATCATCTTTGCATTGAGTGTCACTTGAAATTACGCTTACAGTCCCTTTAACAAATCCATTCCCAGATAGTTCTAGATCTTGAGTAGGTCATAAAATTTATCGAATGGTCTTTTGTGGAATTGGAAATTCTGGATCTGTATTCGAAGACAACTTTGGAAGGGGGGGGGATCATCCTAGCTTTAAAACAAAGGCGAAGGGGCTGCTCCAAGTGAATATTAAGATGTCCTAACCTGTTAGGTCAATGATTTTAATACCTTTTTGTGGATGAATAAAATCGAGTATTTCGTTAGAATTTGCATATTTATTTTCTATATTTTTCTATCTGTTACACATTCTCTCAGGTTATATATATTATATAAATACATTTTTGTAAATTTGTATAAATGCTAGCTATGGCTGGCGTTACGGCTGGACCAAATTGAATGACATTCTTTTAGGGAACCCATGGGAGATTTTTTAAATTCCACAGGCAACGCAGGGCACTTCATCAAGTGTAATTCATTAATGTAGGTTACTTTATTTTCTATTTTCCCCTCCAAGGAAATTCATCCTTGAAAAGTTTCAAAGTGGAGACATAGAGTGTAATTTCCCAAGTAAAGGTGTCAACATAGAACTTCTAGATTATAAACTTCAAAGATTTAGCTTTCTTCAGTCAGGATTCTATACAGCAGATTCACAATCTTTTGAGATGGGGGGGGGGGGGT